TAATACTATGGTAATACCTATAACAAAACAGATACTGTACAGTATTAATAAAAAGGTAAACTAATAGTAACTAACCTGATATGGCTCTCAGAGAATAACAATCTAAGCAGTAACCTATCACTATTGTCATGGGCTGCAGTCAGTTTCCAAAATGACTATGGATGCACCAACAAAACTGAAGAAAAATTAGGAAATCTGAAACCATAATTACTGATGGCAAAATTGAGAAGGTAGAGATGAAAGGCATGTTGACGTGCATATTTCTAAATTTTAAACAAAGTACACACCGGCCTGTGTGCACTGAGGGAGAAGTGGTTCTATAGGTGTAGCACAATTAAGAATGTAATTAAAAACTGTAAGGTAATAATTTAATAATCTTTATGCAGCAAAATATAACTTTACCTTATAAGTTCTACATTTCTAGCTTAACAGTGTTGCTACCTACAAAACCTTATAAAGAATAAAACTGTTGATATCACTTTGTAGCATAACAATGTGGGGAATTTTTTTTAAATAATCAGCTTGGCATTTTGACTTTAATCAAACCAAGTGTTGACTAATGTTTACCTTGAAGGACTACACAAGTGAACAACACGACAACTGTATTTGACCGTAACTCTGGCGGCACTTGGCATTTACTTCACCGTGAGTCAATTGCTGTGTAACTGAACATAATTTAACCAGAAGTTTTTCAATTTTTTTCACTTTTCACACATGTTCCTATCATTATAAAAGAGGCGACATCTACTGGAACCAAACAGAACCTGACCTAACCAACCAAATAAGTACTTAGCCAGCGGTCCGACTAATTACCCAAATGTAGCCGCAATGAAGTCAAATAATGGTCCTACATGAATAAATCGGACTGCCAATCACTTCTCGACTAGTATTTGGTGTCAAAAAGTAAAAAAAAATTGGAAAACGTACTTTAATCTGAGTTAATAGATCGCGTGCATGTACCAAGGGAAGAGTAATTACCCAAATGTAGTCGCAATGAAGTCAAATGATGGTCCTACAAAGTAAATCGGGCTGTGAATCACTTCTCGTTTTATTTGGTGTCATAAAGTCACAAAAATTGGTAAACTTAATTTAATCTGAGTTGTGTTAGGTTAGGTTAGGTACATGCACTCAATCTATTAACTCAGAATAAATTAAGTTTACCAATTTTAATGACTTCATGACACCAAATACCGGAGAAGTGATTGGCAGTTCGATTTATTCTTAGGACCATCATTGACTCATTATGCTACACTTGAGTACATTTGAGTATTACTGCTCCTCGGTCCATGCATGCGTCCTATCAGATTAAAATACGTTTTCCAATTTTTTACTTTGGACACTGAATACAAGTCGAGAAAATTGGCAATCCGATTTATTCATGTAGACCAATATTATTTTCGTCTTGACATTTTGGTAATAGTGGACCCTGCCAATTTAACCAATCAGAACGCACTCACGATAAAATAGCGTTAGTAGGAACTTAGCCGGTTACGGCAAAATATCCACAAAACATTTTTTTTTAGAAATGACTTAACAGCTGATAATGCTGTCACACTGAGGTGGTAAGTCCACCAAGGTTTGTCTTTGTCAGAAAGTCACAACTCCTCCAAAATTTGATTGATGCGCAAAAGGTAAAAACACATTCTCTTCCATATATTTTTCTAAAGTCACTCATAACAACACACACTGTTGTAAAAAACTACCCATAGTAGAAGATAAATTTATACAAAATTTTGTAAGACCATTTTAGCGTTCTCAAGAAACCCCGAGACCTTCTCCTAACAACATTTGATTCACACAATCACATCATGAAAGAAAAGTATTATTTCACTTGCCATTAAACGAATCTCAGGAATTTTATAGTTGCAATCAGAAGTTTTGTCAATTATAAGACACTTTTCTTCAATGGCATTTCTGGCGCAAATTACGTTTATGCGAGATATTTAAAAATTTATAACGTATGTTTGTACGTGGCGGAAAAAAGTTAGATTAGGTTACTCAAAACTTCTTCCCGGTGGTTTTCGATGTTTTAACACTTTTTACCATGATATTTATAGCAAATTTCTAGATTCTGAGGGGGGTGGGAGGCTTATCTTAGAAACTATTGATTTGCGCCAGAACCATCGGAACACAGTTTTAACTTTGATTTCGTATATTGGCAACAAGTGATTTTGTTTCCAAAAATGTTAACATTTACACAAGTTCTTGGTTATTATCATAAGGTCTTCTGGGTTTCGTGTCATCAAAATGGTTCAACCCTGAAATATCTACAAGTTTCATTTATAAATCTTACCTTTCTTGTCGTTAAATTCACACAACAATTTACCTTCTTACAACGAGTTTCTATTGTAGGCATAAACAAGTTAGTACAGTTAGAAATCAGGGTAATAAGCACACGTCCCTTATTGCCCAAATTCGTGAGTATAGTTTCTCTTGAAATACCTCTACCGTGTGAGAACTTAACCTCAGAAACTACTGTAATGTTATATTCCTAAGCTTGATAAATCACTCGTTAGGTTGTAGAGGAACACAGTTTCTCTACCACTTATCTTTATCCCTCATATTTGTATTGTCCTCCTTAAATCAACAACTACTTCACGTCATAACCATCTGCTAACCACCATGACGGTTTTCAAGTGTTAATATTCACTTACTTAAGACCGGCTACCCTCCAGAAAGTCATCTTCAGTGTGTTATGAAGGCCGGGTCGTCTTGTGCCACAGTTCTCCCTCAGCTGACCGGCATAAGATGGCGTTCACTCCACCACCAGTGTTGCCAAATGTGGTTGGTGAAAATCGGCTAGATTGACCTATAGAATCCGCTAAGTACAATATTACGCAAGTATCCTAAACAATGTGCAAACGTTAAGTAAATATACAAATGTTAAGTATCCTAAATATTCCTTGGGGTTGCTGATTACTCTGTATTCTGTTTACTTTAAATTACCATTTTTCTAATTTCAGAGGGAGAACAGAATAGGTTTTAATTATTAATATCATCATGTATACGAAATTGGCTAGAACTTCCGTTAAATCCAGTGATAATGCACCAGTAATGCTATCCGCAAAAGATCTAAGCCATCGCGTTTTTAAAGATTAATCCGCTAGACTTAGCTAATTATCTTCCCAAGTTGGCAACATTATCCACCACTACAGACAAATTAGTTTCTTTTTATATTACCTTTGATACTTAAAACCAGCTTTCTAGTCTAATGATTATTTATTTTCATATTTCTGAAATTTAATAACATAAGGGTTGTACCAATACAGACAATAATATTTTATGAAATATATATTTCTGCAGAATCTCCTGTTATACAATAATACTACTGCTATATTTACGACAACAATAACTATTACTTGTTTATAATGACAGTAGATGAGAATGAAATAAATACTTCACTATGAGGAAGTGCAGTAAAGAAGTGGTCTCAGTGACCTGTGCCCGGGTGGAATAATCCTGAAAAAAAAAGTGGCTGAATTGTGTCAGCGCTCACATACGCTATCTTACTTAGCTGACATTTTTTTATTTTTAAGACTATCTTGGGGAAATACGTTTGGTTCCCAATCATGGCTGACTTGGTGGGGTTTTTTTCCATGGCTATACCTTACTGCTCTGTCGAACTATGGGGATATTTATTTTTGTCTACTGTCTTGAATTCCCGATAAATCTATCAACCACATACCCTAATAGTATCTTTGAGGGGCCATGACTTTAGTTGAACTTCCACTCTGCACAACCAAACCTCAGGTATACTCAGGACTAGTGTTCTGTGAAACTCCTTGCCTCAGTGTTTTTCGTGCCATAACCTTTAGCCACTTCAAATCATCCTGCTTCAAATACTTTTAATCTTTGATGAGAAGTAACAATGATACTGGTCTAATTTCTCCTTTCATTTTCTGTCAGATAAAACGAAATATATTTCCTTAGTAATGATTGACCAAAACTGTTTAACCTTTAGGTCACATCCTAGCAGCACCTTCCATATTACATGAAATAAATGGCTGCAAACTTTTTCAATAAACAGTTTATTATTATTATTACTATTTATGAAAATACAATGAAAACCTATTATATCAAGATAAATTATATATCACAAAGAACTCACGGCACTAAACTAATTTGGTTGGTTCTGTTCTAGTTATGTCCAAATAACTCCACCTGTCACTGCTTTCCCAGGTAACATCCACCCAGCCCAGAGAAGAGCAACCCTAGGGCCCACCTCCCATTAACCTTATGAGCGGAGCTTTAATTCTGCCTCTTTCTATTCACTTGGGCCTCTACCTATCTTCTAAACACTTCCCTGAATCATTAGTCACCTCGACCATCTTCAACACCCACATCATCAGAGCTCCCCCACATCCTGCACCTACCCTACAGAGACATTATTGATCATCTAAGAAAAAAGTAACAAAAATAACAAATACAGGCGACTCTTCAGGATCCTTAGTGCGTCTTCTGTATTATTTTCCCTAACACAGTGTCTCTCCTTCCTACACTACAAATGTAACTGTAATATCACTTGACAATGGTTTAATTTAGGATTTAAAGTCTTACTAAGAGAATTTACCAAAACTGTCAATTAATGTTCAAATTTTTTAGTAAACTTAAATTCTAATTTAAGCTTTATTTGATATGATATTCTAAATTGTATTGTTAAAGGATATTTTTTCTGTCCAAACACAAATATTAACAATCGAAAATATTTGGAACTGTACATGTTGTTTAGTGGTAAGTTAACATGCCGTCCAGGATTGTTCAGTGTCCAGGAAAAAACAGCGACAAGTCCATGGATGACCTTAATGGTTGGGCTGTCTATGAGGTCTTTCACATTCACTTGTTCATTAGTTGCATAGTCACCAACAAATAATCAAGATATAACTTTATCATACATAGTTGCACGGAAATGGACAACAACAAATAAAGGGAGTAGACTAATTCAAAGCTTCAAATATTGTCACTGATGTCATTCACTATAAATGGCAAAAGGAAGACTTAAAGAATGTGTTGATTTTTATTTTGATATGAGAATACAAATATCCTTACACATAAGGTGTTTGTTTTAGTTTATTACTCCACAAATGCTTCATGAATTGCAGGCAGCAGCAGAACATAATACAATACTGTACAGCACTTATTACCAGCACTGGGTTTGTTGTGATGTCAAATATTTACCAACTTTTAAAAGGTTGCATTATTATAGATCGGTCCATGACTCGGTGGAGCATTCTGAGAAGTTAAAAGTCTCCTGTATTCAAACTGGTAAAGTTCTGTACAGGTATTAATATTTTCTTCAAACCTTAACAAGATACCTACTGCACTGCCTTTTGTGCACAAATGATAACACGAGAACAGCAATGATATTCCTATTTGTCTCATGATTTGTGATACAATATTATTATCCCATTACCATGAAACACACAACAATATCTTAATGCTTATAATAATATATAATTTACAGTGTAAAAATATGTAAAAAATTCATTATATTTGAACACATAAAAGTGAACTAAATCAACAAGCAACACTTACATCAATGGTAATTTTTAATACAGTATAAAAACAATTTGAAGAGGGTAAAATATATAATTTATTTCTCAGAAAATTTTGAAAAGGGGGAAATATCAACCTCAATTATTGTAAGTTGGGAATGTTTTTCTTTGTTCTTAACATAATACATAAACTTATGCTATCGCTCAACAAGTCCCAGAGTCTGAGGCACTCAGGTGGCTCCCCTCATATTTTCGAAGGTGAACCTGAGAGGGAGAGAGAGCAGGATTTATGGAACATTTACAATATGTATCAAGAAAATTGCTCAACTCAGAAGAACCAGAGAAGCTAAACGAACTTTTAAACAAGATGAAGTCAAGGATTGAAGACTAAAATTCTAGTATATCTGCACTGAACAATATCCGACACATACACTATATGGCCTTTAATGAATCCTAATGTTTCACAGCCTTTACCAATTTCTGCACATGTAATAATTTTGTGCATTTTCAAAACTAAACCTTTACTTCATATCTGACTTATTCTGTCATTATTTTTTTTTGTGCCTACGTCAAAATCATTCGAATAATGCTGAAAATTTCTCCAACAGTGGTTGACTGTTATAGGAATCATGATCTTGTTGATTTCTCACATAAAAGAAGAATATTTAGAATAACCTTACAGCTGCCTTAAGACAAACATAAATGAGGAGAGTATAAATGGTGCAGTAGGAAAGGGTGGAGAAACATGAAGAATATACAGTACTGTAGTAATTCATTGATGAACAGATGTAACACAAAATTAAAGAAACCACCATTCACAAGCTAGTGTAATGTGCCTCATTATAAATTGATAAAAATGCACAAATCTCACTTCTTTAAAAATCACAGTAAAGGGCACTTCCAGTATGTATGTAATATATCAGTTTCACCTTAACTGAGCTAAGTATGATTAAACAACACCTCATAATATATGTTTCTGGGTTGTTTGATTTCTGACCCCTTATAGAAAAAAAAGACGAAGGTAGGGAGGGAGGTTCTGTAAGTTTGGTAGGTTAGGTAGTTAGGTCTGGGCATATGGGGTCAAGGAAAAAGCCTGCCAAGCTTCAAATAAATTCATCAAGAAAATAAAGTGACAATCAATTCCTAAACATTTACAAGAAAGAAAATGTATTAATTAAAATCAAAGTCTTTCCCCTTAACACAGAAACACAATTGGATATAGAAATTATTATTATTTGGTAGAGTTCAATTACTTACATTGATAAGATAACCTACCGAGAAAATAACAAAACAGAGCCAACTTCCAAATCCCAACTGTACAATAAATTCTCACCTGGATGTAAATATTAACATCCTCTGCCTTGGCCAGAAATGGGAAGTTGCCACCTGTCTTGAGGTGAGCTAATTTAGCCGCTGGGTAGCATTTGTACATTTCCTCCTTTACTGTATGTGATAAGGCCGATTCATCAAAAACATCCAGGACTGTCACTTCGACCTTTAAACAGATTTATCCATTGATTAAACCACAAAGAGAAAGAGAAAAAAGAGAGAGAGAGAAAGAGAAGAGAGAGAGAGTGCATCTTAAAGCAATCTGGCACTGGAAAAACACAGGGATAAAACAATAATCACTCTCCATCTCCATATAATAACAACAAAGATCCTAGAGCAACATTTAAACCACAGTACTGTATACTATCTTTATTTTTCCATGGAGGATAAGTGGTGGTACAGTAGATCTAACAGGTGCTTCATTGATGCATGGGAATAAAAAATAGAGATGAAGACTACTGCCAGATAAAGCAGGAACATGGAAAATATTTAAGCTAATCTATCAAGAGGACAAATAATAAAACTACATTTATAAATTTCCTTTGATTCCATCCAAAGGGAAAATGAGTTGAAATTAATCAGCTACCTACAATCTAATATTTTTCAAAAGAACATATATTACACGAGACAATCCTCCCGCCTCACCTGCACTTTATGTGGCTGTACATAATCCGGTGAACAGTTGAGAGTGAGTCTTGATGCCAGCTCACTCTGATGTAGGGTTTCCAACTGAAAGAAACATATCAACATTTCTTTCATTTCAAAATTAAAAGTATTCAATCAACTATCATACCACGCGCACCCTTTATAGCAACTGCATAAGCTGTGGTGATCTCTGTTCAGCTTGGCCCTTAGTCACTAGTACAGTACTGTACATTTCTACCTCTTACAACAAATTAACACCCATTACCATATAACGTGTACTGTACTGTACAGGGTGTTAGAGAAGTCCTTGTGCACAAAAATAGCTATTTACTTTGTTCTACTTACAGTACATATTGGAAACAGTCACAATAAATGTTGGAAGTGAATACCATTCCCACTATTTACTGTAACTAAGTAAAACAAGGTACAGTATATAACAATGTAGATACAGCTTGGGGAGATTCTGCAGAAATATTTACAGTACAATATTTCAATATAAAATAATTTTGTTGCCTGCACTTATACCTGTTGCAGAAGCTGGTGTGTTTTGTGAGATGTGGCATCCCTGTGTTTATTTACATCTTTTTAAAACTCCCGGAATGGCCCTAAAGACCCTCTTAATAGTAGCCAGACTAAGGATGCTAGATAAGCATTACACAGAGTTGCCACATTTCACAAAACACATCGTGCAGGAAACTGTACCCGGGAACCACTATGTTATCTATTTTTTTTAGGTGTTGGATGCTATGGCAATGATTGTAGAAGGTACATCTACACTCAACTTTACATCAGACAACGAAAATTTAAGATCTAAATCACTGTACTGTACTTACTCTTTCTACCATGAAGTCTATAGAGTTGGCAATATTTGAATCCATCAGTTTTCTGGGAAACCGTCCAATAATAATCTTCTTCAACAGTGTGGCTGGCAACATCCAGAAACTGTGGGTAATAAATAACTTACAATTATAATCTTCAAAAACCAATACAAATTTTAATAATCCTCATAAAGAAGAGCACTGTGTAATGTCTAATTCCATATTAATAATTACACTGAGAACATAACCTTGGAAAACCATATAAATATTTTCTTTCAAATATTTAACAAACTGAATGACGTTTTCATTCTCTTATTTTTTTCATATTCATACAACTACTGTACATGAATATATATACAAGTATTTGATACTGAATCCCTTATCTCAAACGTCTACAAAATTTAAAATGCTCTGAACCACACAATATCACCATTATACATTTGTGATTCACAGTAATGTACCACACAACCTTTAGACAAAAAATTGGGAACACAGTGCCTCTCTTTAATACTGTACAGTATACTGTACTCGTATATAGCATGAATTAAGGTACAATACGCTGTTATATGTTCTAAAAATATTGTACTGTACATAAATTATGAAAAATCTCTCTCTTCCAAGATAATAAATGCCTTACAAATTCTAGTTAACTCTTTGCATCAACAATACAGCAGTACAGTACAGTATATCTCATCTCTCCTGAGTGATGGTCATTTACAGTACTGTATATACCTTAACAACTAAAACAATGTCTTTAAGCAGGGACAAGAAACCTTCCATACTACAGTACTGTACATCTATTTCTGGGACCCAGAGGAAGGGCACTGCTACAGCATTAACAAATGATGTTTGATTGATCATAGAATCCAATATATTTCTGAGCCTGGAATGATGGAACTCTTGAAATAAAGCTCTGAGTATAATATTGTGTTGTAGACCTGGAGTTAGCCACAAGTGTACAAAAATTTTCACGGGCTAAAATACAATAATTCTTGTATTTTGCCCAAATTTACTCTCACATGTATTGTATACATTCCATGAACAGCACAAAAACAATAATATTTCCATCATTCACTTTACCTCATACTTTTCAGTCTGCGCTCGAGTAGATGAAATAAATTATTCAAGAAATAGATACGAAAGAGAATGATTTGATTTCATGAACAAAGAAAAATAGACGGAATATTATAATAAGCATATAAATACATCTCTTGAATATTATATCAGTTATAAAATATAAAATACTATACAAAGAGGGCACTGTGTCCTTACCTCACTCCAGGATGAGCACTGAAATCATACCCAATGTCTTGGTCAGTTTAACTACAGTATAAGGTAACACAAAATAAATTGTGTATGAACCTTAACATCGGTGACTACACTTATATTCACACCGAGTTGTCTGGCTACATGTCTGCATGATATGCCTTGGAGAGACAACCAGGCAATAAAATATTTCTCATGAGGTTTAACTGGCTTAAGTCCTAGCTCAGCCATTAAATAAAAGTTGAGGATGCATATGTCACGGATCCAACAATACAAGTATTTAACTGTAAGTATAACTTTATTTCCATTAACTTTCAATGAATTTGTAAATGACTTAGATCAAATGTGTAATGCTATGATTTTCTCAAATAATAATTGATGAAGGTATGAAACAACTAAACAGTCATGAAAATACCTGAAACTGTGGAGAAAAAATTCAGTGCAGCAAAATCATAAGAAAGATAAAGACTAATGGGAGAATTAAAATGATATTAATAGTCTAAGTAAATGCTTACAGAAGACATAACGATCAGTAAATGCATAAATAATGAATAAAATACAGTCAAGTAGAATAACAAACTCACAATAGCTACCATGTTCATGCCCATATAGAAGGCAGCTCTGACACACACACACACACACACACACACACTTCTGAATCCCAAAACCCCATACACAGATAATGAAACCATATTCCTTACTTATAAAACCTAACTTCTCTTAAATAATAATCCTATTTCTTTCTGAACTTCGAATATATTTGTTTTAATTTTTATATCATTTCTAAATACTTGTAGATCTAGGGTTTCAGGATTTATTGTGACTGCATCTCTCATGTACTGTAGTCAACACTTACACTGTAGACGACTCAGCATATTTAAATATCTTGGTGTCATTGAAGGAGTTACAGAGGATAAGAGAAGCAACCCGAGGACAGTTGAACGTGCTCTCGGCAAACTTCTGACCCAAAAATCCACCGAGTGAGGCCTGAAATATATATCATCCCTTGATACATAATAAATATCTTTGTTGCACATTGTAATTAAAGAGGTATTGTCATGTATTCTAAATTATAGTCAAAAGTTTCAAGGGTAATACTGTATACTGAATGCCTTTGGTATTTTCTAAGGATTCAATGTCTTTCTCTTTGTTCCACATAGAAATCTGGAAAAGAAGAATGTGAGGCTAACTATTCTCATATCTTGTAAAGTAATTCCTCAACAGATCTCAGTGTTGGTGACTCATTCTTCTTTACTCTCAAGAAGTTTTACTCATTACTGTACTAACACTCAGTATGACTGCATTATTAACATGAACTTAATTTTATTACTTTTTTTTTAATTTGTGTTTATAAAAGCATCCCATAAACAATAAAGGGACCAAGTGCATGAAGCTTGAGAGTAATATCCGAGGTACAATGATAAATTAGCCACTTTCTCACCGCCTGGAAGGAACTGACACATCACTTTACTTCATCACTGCCACACACTCTATCAGCATATAAGAATGCATTATAAATCATCACAAGCTAACCTCAACAAATACCGTCACTAACCACACACACAACCTATAAGTACACTATGTTTTCTAAGTTATGTGAATGGTGTATAATGCATTTACTGTACAGGTATTTGCTTAAAAGTCAAAATTTTCAGAAGGTACAGTAGTCCCATTTTTCATCTTCAGGAATCTAATCCTCATTTTTTTCTAAGAACTAGCTACAATGATGATCAATTCATAATGTTCAACTTTGTAAATTAAATTCGATAAACTTCAAGCCATAAATATTTATCAGAAATTCAATATGCAACTAACAAAAAATTTCAACAAACCCCTAATAAGTGTGCACGGTCAATCTCAAGAATATCTAGGAGTCGTCTGAAACCCTCACACCATTCAGCAACAGTCCAGTAGGAGGGATACTCTATCTGGAAATAAAAAGTACACGAATACTAACAGTGCACAATAAAGATCATAATAAAGTAACAAAGAACAGACCAATCACCTGAATGGTTTGTAAGCTGTTAAGTGGTGAAATAATAAGCTATTAAATAATGTCTGATGGGTGTCAAGACAGTGACCTGCATTTTCATGCTGAAAAGTTTAGTGTTGCAAAAAAAAAAATCCCAATCATAACTTTGTCAAGTTTAAACCTAACCTGACCTAATTTAATTTAATCTAACTATGGCCATTTTCCAAATAAAGACATTTTTATCTAAATTTAATTTATACAACACAGTATTCGATAGACAGGTGACAAATTGTCCGATGACGAAATGTCTGCCTCCAAAGACATGAGGATTTATGTACCAATGTGTAATAATCTGTTACATTACAAAATGCCAAGACAACTCATCCAATAGTATGTTTTCTTATATTGAATATCTTAGCATATGTGACATCAATGATATATATGAAAAGGAAGTGACATATTGCATCATTAGTCCTTGAACATTAGATACATGCAAGAACATTTGGTAAAATTATCATTTCGGTCATGCACCCACTTTCCAAAGGTCAAAATCGTTCAAAACACGTCATAAACTATCCTAAAAGCATAATCTCAACCTAACCTACAGGTAAACTTAAATTCACTGTATGACCAAAACGATAATAACCCCAAAAATTTCATGAACTAAATCAAGGTGGTTCTCTCACCGATATGACTCTATAGCCGATGCAGTAAGGAGAAATTTGTTTGTAAAAGCAGTCAGCTGTTCCACATACAGGAGGTAGACACACGAGAGGACACCGGACACTCCTGGGTCCAGCATCATACAGTTTCCACACCTACAAAAATTAACAAAGTTATAGTCAAATACCTTATACTAAATCATTTGTAATTTCTTATACTGTATTATTAAAAATTATGTTCCTCTAGTGTAACATATAACTTTCAATATCTAACCTAACACAACACAACCTAACCTTATCTTGCCAACATAACCTAGCCAACTGAATCTAACCAAACCCAATCTAACCTAACTTATTACAGTATTTAAAAAAAAAAAAATTCCTTCTCGCTAAAATTTTGACTTTTTTCTTTTACTTTTTTCCTGTCACTTATTAAACTATACAGGGGAACTTAATAAAAAAAATTAAATAGCAGTCAAGACATGTAGCATTGTATACTTCACCACATCCGGTTTACCATAACCAACAAGTGCACACCAGTGGTTGGCTCACCTAGTTAAAAAATAATGGAATGATACACAAAAACAATGTGCCCTAAGAAACTGTCTGGACTGGTATCAACAATAATGAGATCGATCTAATCATAAGTGTACCCAGATCTAGAGGAGGAAAATATATAAATAAAATAACTGTAAAAAGTCACAAAAAGATTTCCCAACACTTCAAAATTAACTTGCCTTTAATGCATCGCTGTCGACTACAATCTGCCTGGAGAATGAGGTACGGTTTGACTTGTGTACTCTGAGGAACGTGAAAAGTCACTCTCGAATTCCATCTGGTGCAAGTGGCTAGTTAGAAAAGATATTGTAATACAGTATAATATAATAATGTACTTAGATGCACAATTTTTATCTGTGTGTGCATGTGAGGTTAATTGCAAGGAAAACATGAAATGGAAAGGTAAGCTAGGATATGTTAGTGTTTAAACCACTGGCTGCAATGGGCTATTCAAGCAACTTTCCTTTAGACTGTACTGTAGCTGTCTGCCCAAGTACACTGGAAAACATTTTGTCACTGGCCTCAAGATCTCGACCGAGTGCCCATATTTCTTTACTATTGGGACGGATATATCCAACAGCAATTGATTCTGAGTGTGTTCAGTGGCGTTTTTTGCTAATTCATGAGGGTAATACTGTACCCTGTATTTGTTTAATGGCTATGACAAGATTTCCATATTTGGTTAGGTTACCTGTAGACAGTCAATATTTTATAGTCCCAAAATAAGAACAATTAATCACAAGGACATGCAAGTAACTAAAGTTTTATAAATAAAATCTAAACATCTGTCTGTTTAGTGGCGCCTGTGTTGTAAATGTTAGGTTACTACATTGTTTTATACCTAAATTATTTACCTAAATTAATCACCACTGAAGTTATAACTTTATTTTAGTAACGAATTGATAGTATACAGAATGAATGAAAACTAGGTAAAATAAAAACCAAACCTACCCTAACCTTACTCAAAATCTAACCTATCCATAGCTAAAATAAAACTGACCTAACCTAACTCACTGTAAAATAAAGTAATGTATTCACAATATTATTTTGTTTGTTCCATCTCCTTATGTAAAATTCATTATAACAATCTTTTCCTATTCACTACCAAATCTGAACCCAGTTTTACCTGAAATCAGAATCTATTTTGCAATTTTCTCATTAAATTATACTCTAACTTAACCACACAGAACATACTTGTTTTAACACTTGAAAATCATAGGAAACTGAAAACATATGTACGATCAACTATGGCTATTAGTTTATCAGTAAAGAGAAACTTGAATTACTATTTTACTGAATATCTGTCTACTGCAGTATTTAACCCTCCAGTAATTCATACCTTGATAACTTGATTGAGGTACAGTACAGTATTTCAAGAAGCACTTCTGTATTACATAATATAAATACATCACTGGTGTACTTACCAATATACAAAACGTCAATAAATACACAATTCTTCAATATGGTTCTCTGTAATAACACTAATAAATATCTTAACGTAAAATAAAGTTAAATTTAATAATGAACGTGTATTCAGCCTAGATATTTACCCTGAAAATCAACGTTAATCTCCTTATGGTTACTGCTACGTATTCTAATCTTCACATGAATTTTAATCAACAGATTTTTCCTTACTCCTGTTGTCAAGTGTCATATGACTAGTCACTCCTCAAGACAACACCTGAAGAAGATAACTTAGTCTCTATTTACCTGTCTTAGCCTCAGTAGTGGAGTTAGACATCTCCTAGAGGCCCTAGACTTTCTTTAGTGGCACCAGTCTCTCCCTCTCACCCTACCTGCAGGACAAGGTATTATGGTAACACGACCATTTTTTTATTTCTTGTTTTGGGGTAAAAGGTGTTTTCATTACTGTTTTGTTTTAGAGTTAGTAACCAGAGAGGAAATATACTGGTTTATACAATAGTGTGAACACAAATGAACTGTTATTATTTCAGAGACTGTTCAATAGATGGCAGCAAAATTAGAGATAGGTATTTAATATCCACAAATGCCTCTGAAAACTAATATTTTTTAGCAAATAAACTGATAAAGTTAAATATTGCTTGTCTTGCTGTTTTGCCTTAAGTGAGATAATTTAAACCATGGTATTCTGTGTTTTAATGAGTTTTAAATCAATCTCGGCCCTAGTTCAAATGCATGGACAGTAGCTAAAGTTATATAAACAACGGCTAATATTCCTTACTTTTACTTTTTTACTTTTGTTCCAGATATAAAAGTGATGGTCATAATTTTAGTGCATGCGACGCTGGCCACCTGACAATACATGATGTAAATACGAGTTTTAAATATTGTGTTTTAGTATATACAATAAAATAGTGACACACACACACACACACACTTCCTAACCACGCCTGTCCACCTTCACATCTCATGTATATTTAAATACAGTAATTGATCAAGTATTCCTACCCACCTATAAATAAAAAAGAGCAAAGAAGTGATTTTGATGCAGAAACTGTCAGCAGCAGTGAACAATTAATGTACTTTATGCATTACACGTGATTTAACAACTAATTTATACATGATTGATTGATGAACGCTTATAATTACGATATATCCAATATGCCCAATACAATAACATATCGACCACATTTTCTTCATTGTATTTATTCTAGTTTTAATTTTTATTTTACCATAATATTTAGACAACATTAATCCTGCTGATCATTTTGTTTACAACTTTTATGGGATATAGCCCACTCGGGCACATGTCATCGACCCACAGCACCCCTAGGGGGCGAAAAGGTAAGAGTAAAACAATTAAAATAGAAAACAAAAATATTATATTGAGCTACACCACGAAGATGCCGGAAACCAGATTTTTGGAGTGAGACATTGTATGAGTATGGAAACACAGAAGAAGGCTTTGTGAGAAAAGAAGGATGACATGACATACTCAATTATCTAATTAGACTGAGGGCCTCATGATTAACAACCCTTCAGACAAGGCACACTATCATGCTAAGTTATCATGCTAAACACAGAGGGTGGTAGACCAAAAGCTGTGCAATAACGAAACAAAACGGCTTCAAAACAGCCGTTAAAAATTATCAAGAACAATGTTCGAGGGATCCTACACAAGCCTGGCCTCCTTACCTCGGTATGGCCACCTCTAGTGGGTGGCCATTGGGTAAATAAGGTAAAATTTATTCAATTTTATCTATGCTAATTATGGTCGTTATTATCATTTTCAAGATATCAACATAAGTCAGTGAAGAAAATATACCTAGACCTTGAAGAAAATAAATGGCAACGATGCTTTTATATTAATTATGCATATACTGACTAGAAAAACGCAAGGTACATGTTTTACCATTTCCAGTTCTCGCGGTAAACGCATTAATCCTTGCATTAGCTATTCTTGTGTCCTGGTGAGAATTATTAAGAAGCATATTTTTGTGTTTCTATTATAATATTAAGTTGTGGCTAGATTTTACGAAAGCACGAATATATTGCAAGTATATAATAAAGGTTGAGCACGCAGTAACACAGTGCGATGGAGTTTTTTAAAGTTGTGAACCAAATGTATTTCTCCAGAACAGGACACATGAAGAGTAAGCACTCCAGGTTATTTCACCTTAAATTTTACCACATTAACGTTTACCTAACCTAACTTGATCTAACCTAGCCTAACCTAACTTGATCTAACCTAGCCTAACCTAACTTGACCTGACCTAAGCTAACCCAGCCTAACCCTTAAGGTTAGGGTATTTGATCATCAGGTGAGATAACTTTCACTTTACTTTTATTCTCTTCACCACTGAGTGGCTCGTTAGCCGCTTGGGCGATCGATCAAGTCTCTGTTACGCACTGTTGGCAAGTACTGGGCATGCACAGGCTCCTCAATGTACCTGAACCTGCTCCAGTGCTGGTTAAGTCTGGTCTTGAAAGAGCTCACACTCGGTGCCATCACAACACCTCCTGGTAGATCGTTCCAAGAGTTCACAACTCTCACTCCGAAAAAGTTTGCCCTGACAGCCCTCACAGTTTTCTTGAGCTGTGACCCCTTGTGGGGCGAGCGTCCACCAGCTCCAAGTAAGGACACTCGACAGAGTAGTGCCTCTTGAGATGCTTATACAGTACACCTCAATTAGGTCACCCCTTGCCCGTCTGTTGTATAAGCTTGGCAAGTTCAGGCGCTCCAATCTCTCAGGGTAGCTGAGGTACCGAAGTGCAGGCACCAGTCTGGTGGCCCTCCTTTGAACATTTTCAAGCAACTGACAGTCCCTAGCATATCTCGGGGACCAGACGGGGTGACAGTACTCCAGATGGGGAAGCACTTCACTCTTGAAGCTCGTTACGAGGGACGGACCGTCTAGATATCTAACGACCTACTTATAAGACCCAATAATTTATTTGCCTGATTTACATTCTTTTCGCAATGGCCCGAGAACTTCAGCTCATTGTCAACATACACACCTAGGTCCTTCTCGCAGTCAGTCACAAATAGTGCAGTTTCTTCATCCTGTTGGGACATATGATACGCCTCCTTACCGTTGGTACGCCCCAGGTGCACCCTCTTACACTTCGTGACATTGAATCTCAGCAGCCATTTCTTCGACCATTCTTGGAGCCCACAGAGGTCCTTCTGCAGCTCTTCACAGTCTGCTTGGTTCTTTATTTCCCGAAATAACTTGGCGTCACCGGCAAACATTTGTATGGAGGAGTGTACAACGTCAGGCATGTCATTTATGAAACAAACAAACAACAGCGGGTCCAATACACTGCCCTGTGGTACCCCGCTTGTGACAGGTACGGATGATGATTTCGTGCCATTAATCACCACACACTGCTTGCGGTCATATATACTATGTTTGAAACTATCCAGCGTATTCGAGTTAATGATCGTGTTTGGTAACTTGTTCCATTCATCCACTACTCTACTTCCAAACCAATGTTTACCTATTTCGCGCCTAAATCTAAATTTGTCTAATTTAAATTCATTGTTACGAGTTCGCTCCTGGTTGGATAGTTTGAGTACCTTTGTAATGTCCCTTTTGTTTAGCGTGTGTGCGAGAGGAATTTATACGTGTATATACATACCCATGAGTGTGTATAACTAGTGTAAGTATAGTATGAGAGGGAGGGAGGGCCAGTGCGGTGTGGCAGGATGGGCGACTTGGGTGAGTCGCGCAGGTGAGTGAGTGAGGAGCGGCCCTGAGGACAACATGGTTCGTGGCGGCCCCTCGCTGGCTGATCGCCTCATCTTCCTCCTCACCTTACTGTTTCTTAACACTGAGGGATGTTGTCGTGAGTATTATACTAACCTGCTATATCATCTCTAACCTATGTCTAATTTAACAAAACTATTTCAACTAACCTAAACTAATATTGCTCCACCTAAACTAACCCTAGTTCACACTGATCTCTAACCTAAACCAATTGTCAGATGTTAAAAGGGTGTTATGCAGTGTGACACTACCAAATATGGCAGGTTTTCTCCGGGTACTTAAGTTTCCTGTACTAACGCTGGCCAATGTAGGTCGTAAAAGATCAGACTGACCGCTCCAAGGGTTAGTAAGTTGATAAGTGATGGAAATTATAAAGATTAAAATAACATTAAGAGATGGATATTCGATCCTAAGCTAATCCCGGACATTTTTTTACTTTTACTTTTACCTTTTATCCTCTTCGCCACTGGTCGGCTTGTTAGCCGCTTGGGCGATCGGTCACGTCTCTGATTACTTTTCCTTTTCATTTATCTTTTTTACCAAAAGATCGGCTCTCTAGCCGCCCGGGCGATCGGTCACGTCTCTGTCACGCACCGTTGGCAAATACTGGGCATGCACCGGCTCCTGAATGTACCTGAACCAGCTCCAGTGTTGGTTAAGTCTTGCCTTGAAAGAGCTCACACTCGGTGCCGTCACAACACTCTCTGGTAGATTGTTCCAAGAGTTTACAACCCTCACTCCGAAAAAGTCTGCCCTCACGGTTTTCATGACTTGCGGCTTCTTCAATCTTGAGCTGTGACCCCTTGTGGGGTGAGCGTCCGCCAGCTCCAATTATGGACACTCAACTGAGTAGTGCTCTCTGAGATGCTTATACACCTCAACTAGGTCCCCCCTTGCCCGTCTGTAGTATAAGCTAGGCAAGTTTAGGCGCTCCAATCTCTCAGGGTAGCTGAGGTGCCGAAGTGCAGGCACCAGTCTGGTGGCCCTCCTTTGAACATTTTCAACTAACTGACAGTCCCTAGCATATCTCGGGGACCAGATGGGGTGACAGTACTCCAGAGGGGGAAGCACTGCACTCCTGAAGGTTACGAGGACGGACCGTCTAGATATCTGAACGACCTTCTTATAAGACCCAATAATTTATTTGCCTGATTTACCTTCTTCTCGCAATGGCCCGAGAACTTCAGCTCATTATCAACATACACACCTAGGTCCTTCTCACACACAGTCTCAACTAGTGCAGTTTCTTCATCCCGTTGGGACATATGATATGCCTCCTTACCGTTGGTACGCCCTAGGTGCACCCTCTTACACTTCGTGACTTTGAATCTCAGCAGCCATTTATTCAACCATTCCTGGAGCCCACAGAGGTCCTTCTGCAGTTCTTCACAGTCTGCTTGGTTCTTAATTTCCCGAAATAACTTGGCGTCATCGGCAAACATTTGTATGGAGGAGTGTACAACGTCAGGCATGTCATTTATGAAACAAACAAACAACAGCGGGTCCAATACACTGCTCTGTGGTACCCCACTTGTGGCAGGTACAGATGACGATTTCGTACCATGAATCACCACACACTGCTTGCGGTCATGTAGAAAGTCTTCTATCCACGCTAGGACATTTCCCCGAATTCCGTACCCTTCCAGTGTGATTTTCAGCCTTTCGTTGGGTACACTGTCGAAAGCCTTGGCAAAATCTAGGTAAATATTGTCGATATTACAACCCCGTTCCAGAATATGGGTCCAAATATCCAATACCTTGAGCAATTGTGTTAAGCAGGAGCGCCACGGCATAAAACCGTGTTGGCAATCTTTTACAAGGTTGTTTCGTATTAGATGTTCCATTGCGGCATCTCTGATAATACTCTCAAGTACTTTACATATTATGCTGGTCAGGCTCACCGGTCTATAGTTGTTCGTGGAGTGACGATCGCCCTTCTTGAAGATAGGACTCACATAAGCCACTTTCCATTCATTGGGGACCATTTGTTCATCCAGGCATTTACAAAACAGGATCTTCAGGGGCTCTGCAAGCTCGTTGCACAACTCTCTTAGCACTCTAGGATGCACCAAGTCAGGTCCGGGACTCTTATGGACCTTTAGCCTGGACAGTTTATTTCTAATACCCTCTTCTGTGAACACAGTGTGGGTCAGTGCTGTGTCGAACCGTCTGTCCTCAAACGCAGGAAGGTTAGTGGCATCCTCTCTTGTGAACACCGAGGAAAAGAAGCTGTTCGATGCCTCAGCTTTATCCTGGTCAGAATCTGCGTAACTACCATCCACCAGCCTCAGGTCTGATACTCCTACTCGCGTTTTCAATTTCGACTTTGCATAGCGATAAAACGCCTTTGGGTTTGACTTGACCTCGCTTGCAACCAGCCTCTGGAACTCCTTTTCAGCCCTCCTACACTCTATCTGTGCTTGGTTTTTGGCTCTTGCATACATCCTCCTGTCTTGCTCATCGTTTGACCCAACCCACGTCTTGAATTTCTGGGTTTTCTTCTTAATTTTGTCGACCGCCACGTGGTTCATGTGTAGGGATCCCCCCGTATTCCTAGAAGCACTGGGTTTGGTCTTGGGTATATATTTATCGACCAAATGGGTCATTTTACTAGTTATGATATTCAGCGTAGTGTCTGCGTTCTTGTACCTTAATAAGTCAGGCCAGTTGATACTCCTCATCTCTTCCCTCATCCCATTGTAATTTCCCTTGTAATATTTGCACCTTGGCCTGGCCTTATACTGAACTAGGTAACAGTTAAATCTGAATGACAACACCATATGGTGACTGGTGCCAACTGGGGCAAGGTGTTCCAGTTTGGCCACCATACCCTCCTCGTTTGTTATGATGAGGTCAAGTGGCTTGGGTGTTTGCTCCCCTCTGTAATGTGTCGGGTCTCTAACATGTTGGAACAGAAAATTATCTCTCAGAGTTTCTACAAAAAGAGTAGCAGGGTTATTCAAGTCATTCGGGGTGGACTCGTTTCTCCAGTCGATGTCGCCATAGTTAAAGTCCCCCATGATAAAGAGGTGGCTAGGGTTGAGCATCGCCGCGTTGTCTATTAAAGCTCTTAAGTTCCTTTGATTTAGTGGGCCACAGTTTGGGGATCTGTAGAGACACTCGACGATAAGTCCCCCCCCTTTAATTTAATTTTACACCACTTGGACTCTTCAAAAACATCCTCTCCCTGTACCCTCGCCTGGCTGGCTCTAAGGTCTTGCCTAGCGTAGATAACCACATCCCTCTTGTAAGTCTCTTGAGAAAGGTTCGTAAATGAGTCATATCCAGCAATACTGAACTCGCATTCCTCTGGGTCGATTCTCCTGTTCTTGTACAACAGTTCTACAACTCCTACAATATCTGGTTGGTGTACTCTTAGTAGTGTTTCAAACTCCTCTCTCTTATCAAGGAACGTGTCAGTATTAGTGTACATGACATTCAAGCCAGAATTTGTTCTCGGTAACATCTCTGCTCTTAGTAATAAACCCGCCACCCCCCCATTCTCAGAAGCTGCAGCATTTGCTAAGTACACTGTATTTGGCAGGGTGTGGTTAGAAATGTCAGTGTTTACACGGCGCTCGCCTCCTCCTGTCCGGTAGGCTGAGCTGGTGCCACCTCCCGGGTGGGGGATTGAGTGGGTGGAGGGTGCACTGCTGCCCCCTGGCCCTGTGTCGGCACACTTGTTTCCACTACCCTCCCCCTGAGTATAACCCATGTACACCTGTCCCCGTTCCTCCTCGACTCCTCCCTCTTCTGCTTCAAGTCCTGCAGGAGCTTCTTGTGTTGTTCCCTCTGCATTACCGTGCGATCTGGGTATTCACCCTTAAGAGGTACAAATAACCCTTATGATGAACAAATAACCCTTAAGAGGTACAAATAACCCTTAACATGAACAAATAACCACTAAGATGAACAAATAACCCTTAAAAGGCACAAATAGCCCTTAACATGAGCAAATAACCCCTAAGATGAACAAATAACCCTTAAAAGGCACAAATAGCCCTTAACATGAACAAATAACCCCTAAGATGAACAAATAACCCTTAAAAGGCACAAATAGCCCTTAACATGAACAAATAACCCCTAAGATGAACAAATAACCCTTAAAAGGCACAAATAGCCCTTAACATGAACAAATAACCCCTAAGATGAACAAATAACCCTTAAAAGGCACAAATAGCCCTTAACATGAACAAATAACCCTTAAGTGGTATAAAATGACAGGGTTGGATCAATACTGATTTTTAGCGGTCAAATACAAATACTTTTATTTCCACATTCAAAAATACAAACCCAATACCTACATATCAGAATTACATTTTATCATCATTAATGCCCGGAAGATTTCTGGGATCAACTTAGCTCGCTCAGGACTGTAAAAATTACCAGAATGTTCAACGTTACTGCTTGCAGATAACAATAGCAGTAATAAATATAAACAAAATTACAAAAATAAAACAAATTCAAGTGTTTTCGTCCTCACAAATTGTCTGTAAGTAGCAATACAAAATATAAAATTTTCCTTTGTTTATGGAAGAGGCAAAAGGCAGTAGCCTCAAACTAGCCTACTGCCTGTAACACTAACAAGTGTCGAAATACAAATACAAAATACTTTTTCTTCTGGGTGCCAAAATACAATTACAAATACAAATACATTGAAAACGTATTTAAATACAATCAAAATACAAATACAATTGTATTTGAACCACCCCTGAATTATACTACTACAAATAAGAAAAAATCTCAGTGATATATGCAATCATGCGAAGGGGCGTCTTAGTCAAATATTCATAGGTTTGTGTGTTGGTCGATGCTTTCTTTATAGTATCTGTCAGGAGGAGGCAGATACTGATATTGGTGGCGTGAGTAAGGTAGAGAAGGAAGGAGGAAACTAGTTATTGTCTATCGGTACAGGCACTAGACATCCTACCCTGTCCCATATATGGGTGTCTTAAGGGCCTTATTTCATATTCCGCAGACTCTACTGGCGGATGCTGGTCTAGGGAGGTTGTCTATTGCCTCCCTCTCACTCACAACCCTGTCCCTCTCTCCCTCAACTCCCCCCCTCCCCTGAATTTGATAACCACAAAGGAAATTGAAGACACGAAATTCCCAAGCGATGAAAATAATTCGAGTATTTGTATGCATCTGTTGCTTAGTATTAAAAAGGTAAGCAACAGCTGACGTGATCTGAATAGTTTTTGATTTGCTTCTATATAGGTTAAGTTTGGTTAGGTTAGGTTAAGTTAGATGTGTGGAATGTGTTTTATGTACAACCTAATAAACATGAGGTTAGAGTTAACGTGTGACCCAGGGAGGTCAGCTGTCCATGTGTTACTTGAATCAAGTCAAACTGGTCATACAAGAACATAAGAACATAAGAAAATAAGGAGTCTGCAATAGGCCGGTTGGCCTGTGCATGGCAGCTCCTGTCGAGAGTTACTACCACTCTCTATCATCCATGAATCTATCTAGCCTCCTTTTGAAACTTTCCAGCGTTCCAGGACTTATTACAAAGTTGCTTAGCTTGTTCTACTCGTCCACCACCCTATTTGTGAACCAGTTCCTTCCTATCTCCCTCCTAAACCTAAACTTATCTAACTTAAATCCGATGCTCCGAGTCCTATCCTGTTCGGATATTATAAGAACTTTATCTATATCCCCTTTATTGATTCCTTTCACCCACTTAAATACTTCTATCATATCTCCCCGCACTCTTCGTCTTTCTAGGGAATGCAAGTTTAGTTTCTTTAAACTGTCTTGATATGGAAGTCCCGGAATCATTTTCGTCATTCTTCGCTGCACCGACTCCAGTGAATTGATATCCATTCTATAAGGGCACCAGAACTGAACCGCATAATCGAGGTGTGGCCTGACTAGCACAAGATATAGTTGCAATAAGACCTCTGCACTCTTATTACTTACACTTCTAGATATAAAACCTTATACTCTGATTGCCTTATTTCGAACATTAACGCACTGTTTTCTAGGCCGCAGGTCCGGGCTTACAAGTACCCCTAAGTCTCTTTCACGGGTCGACTTCTCTAGGTCGATGTTGTTAAGGCTGTATACTTTGACAGTATTTGTTCTTCCAATATTAAGTACACTGCACTTGCTGGTGTTGAATTTCATTTGCCATTTTTCTGACCACTCCTGCAGTTTATTTAAATCCTCCTGTAGTGCATTTGCATCCTGCCCTGGATTAATCTGCCGCCCTATTTTGATGTCATCCGCAAACTTGATTATGTCACTGCTGATCCCAGTATCTAGATCGTTTATGTAGATTATGAACAAGAGTGGGCCCAGTACTGACCCCTGGGGAACCCCACTGGTTACACAGCCCCATTCAGATTTAACACCATCTACGGCTACGCTGATCCTCTGTGTCCTATCGATGAGCCATGATTTTATCCAATTTAAAACTTTCCCCTCAATACCATGAGCCTTAACTTTTCTCAGAAGCCTCTGATGCGGTACTCTGTCAAACTCTTTGCTAAAGTCAAAGTAAATAACATCGTAATTTTCGTCATTATCTACTACCTCGAAGACTTTCCTAAAATACGTCAGCAGATTTGTCAGACAAGATTTTCCCTTTGTAAACCCATGTTGAGAGTCGTAGATAATAGATTAATTTGTTTTTCTCTAAATGCGATCGGATGCTATTTGCTATAATTGATTCAAGAAATTTCCCCACTACTGACGTCAAACTAATCGGCCGGTAATTTGACGCTGATGCTGTCTCCCTTTTTTAATATGGGTACTACATTTGCCTGTTTCCACAAGTCTGGCACAACTCCCGTGTCTAATGATTTTGTAAATAAATTTACGAGGGGTCCACTAATCTGTTCCTTACACTCTTTCAAAACGTTGATGATGATGACTGTGCACGTCATTACAGTACACAAGGGATGTATACACCGGTAAATAGAATCTGTACACACAAGCGCTTCCACGATAATAAGATTAGTAGAAAGTTTGGTCACATACCTGCACTTGATATATTGGGGATCATAGCATTCAAACACGATTCAATCTTCTCTGAATGGTTTTAACATATGATGGTAGTCACATGAAGTTTTGGCCCCTCCCCGGTATATTTCATCTTGAGATTAATCACGCTATCCTAATCTAATCCCCAAGTAGCATTGGGGTGGTTGTTTCTCCGGGTGAGTAAGCTTGGCTAATCTTTATGTAAATTTTCTGATTGTTTAATTGGTAGTACATGTAAATATCTTCTATCATTTTCTCTAAGCCTATCAGTAAAGCTAAGGAACCTATAATTATAATATACGGTTATTATATGAGCATTATAATTTTGTTTTTAAGGTAAGGGTGAAAACAGCATTACTGCTCCACTTGTAATAAGGTATTGAATCGTAACTAAAATATACCACAAATAAAAAAATAATAAAGTACAAGGAAAGGTAAAGACATTTTAACATGCTAAACATACATTACCATTTTTCAGTTATAGTGTATTACCATTGGGCAATAAAGTTCACATGAAAATTAGACAGAACATACCAACAACCGCCATAACGGCTAATATACTGTACCTGTACAGTATAAGCTGAGCGGTGTTGACGATGAAACGGTCTCACACACACACATACAAGCACGAAATAAAATAAGTTGTTCTTTTATAAATGTATGCATATTATATTCCAATCAATAGGGGCACGGTAGTTTCACGCGATGGCAGGTGAATTCTTCTGGGTAAACCTCTACCCGCTACACAAATTAGATTGCTGTACTATAAATTTTGTGCTTACAGCGTCCTGAAAGTGCGAGTTATTTGCGTGGCAACGTTAAATTTACCTCCGCTGAAAGTGTTAATACTGATCTACCTTGTGTATGTTATTGAATATTTTGGATCACCTGAAGAATCTCTATCCCAGCTTATTTCACCTAAGGATTAACCACCCTGACACTATTTGGGGGATGGGTTAGGTTAATGCTGATCTGACTTTCTGCCTCATTTACACACAATTGCAGGGTCTCAATTGTTTCTCTGTCTTTGACAACACATCATAAATATCGTTTCTCACTTTTGATATGTTTAATTTGTTTTCCATTTCTGTAGTATTTATTTTCGGGTGAAATATTTTTTCGCCCCTCCCCTAAGGCTCTAAAGTGGATCGGTGACTTGTGTCTGGGTGGGCTAATCCCCGCAAGAAAAAACAAATGCGAAGAGTGTCTATACATACAACGAAGAATGACGAAAATGATTCCGGGACTTAGAAATCTTGCATGTCAAGATAGATTAAAGAAACTAAACTTGCATTCCCTAGAAAGACGAAGAGTGCGGGGAGATATGATAGAAGTATTTAAGTGGGTGAAAGGAATCAATAAAGGCGATATAGATACAGTTCTTATAATATCCGAGCAGGATAGGACTCGGAGCAACGGATTTAAGTTGGATAAGTTTAGGTTTAGGAGGGAGATAGGAAGAAACTGGTTCACAAATAGGGTGGTGGACGAGTGGAACAAGCTTAGCAACTTTGTAGAAAGCTGGAACGCTGGAAAGTTTTAAAAGGAGGCTAGATAGATTCATGGATGATAGAGTGGTAGTAACTCTCGACAGGAGCTGCCATGCACAGGCCAACCGGCCTATTGCAGACTCCTTATGTTCTTAGACATGTTGTCTGTATGTTAGTGTTTATACTTCTTGTATGACTGTTCATGTTCATTTGTTTTCTTGTGTGTGTATCCAGTGTGTATGAAGTGTTAACTGAACAATTGGGTAGTTATAGAGGGGGTTACGAGCCCCACCGGATGCACCAATGGATGTGCATACTTGTGGTGACATGTTTTCAGCTGTACTAAGAGTTTTTTCTCGCTCACTTATTGAAAAAAGCGTCACTAATAGAGAAATAAATAGTTTTACACAGTTGCAGTATTGTATTGTAAGGTTTACTTGTATCTACTTTAATTGTGTATGTGTTATATACCGAAGATTATATGCATGTTTATAGTCCACTGTGAACCGGCTTACACTTGGTTAACAATTAACATAATCTCCCTCCCTCACAGAATTGAGTTCAAGTTGGACAAACAGCTGCGATGGTCAGATAATGTTCAAACAGCACATGTTCTGCTACAAGTATTACGAATGTGTATCTTCGTCCTGGACAGAGAAATCCTGTTCTCCAGGGACCTACTGGATGAGCGACACACAACCATGTGGCTCAACCACGTGTTTTGGTCAGTACATGTGTTTGTGTTTGTAACAATAATAATAATAATAATAATAATAATAATATTATTATTATTCATTGTAATAATAATAATAATATTATTATTATTATTATTATTATTCATTGTAATAATAATAATAATTAGTATATTTAAAAATACAGCAGCTATAGGCTGAAAATATACAAGACATACTGTAATGTATGATACCTAATTACCTATACATACTGTACAGTATAGTGTGGTCTTGTCTTCATCCCTTGGTGGCACTGCAGGTGGAAACAGCCCCTCGGAAGCATACAGCTGAACATTGTCACTAAGAAATTAAGAACCTTAGCCAAACCTTGGTAGAATGCAAAATTTGAAAATACCCTGTACTATACTGTACCCTTATTGTACTGTACTGTACTGTATGTACTATATTGTACCCTTACTGTACTGTACTGTATGTACTATACTGTACCCTTACTGTACTGTACTGTACCCTTACTGTACTGTACTGTACCGTACCATTACTGTACTGTACCCTTATTGTACTGTACTGCACTGTACTGCACTGTACTGTAATGTACTGTACTGTACCCTTACTGTACTGTACTAGAATATTATGAATCAGAACACACATTGGTTTGGTTTATTGAGTTGGTATACGTGAGGGTCACTTGTTCACACAAGATATGACTCGTCCCGAGGGATGTTGCTCACATGAGCTGGTCCTCTGTGTGTTGCACGACACTCTTACGTTTGAAAGATTTTGTCAATGCCCAGTTGATGAATCGATAAAAACTGAAACAAATCCTTGTTATGTATTACAAACTGATCAAATCACAATTAATATAAAACTCTCACGTTTGTAGTGCAGCCCACACACCTGTACACCCTATTAGCAGCCCACACACCTGTACACCCTATTAGCAGCCCACACACCTGTACACCCTATTAGCAGCCCACACACCTGTACACCCTATTAGCAGCCCACACACCTATAGCAGCCCACACACCTGTACACCCTATTAGCAGCCCACACACCATATAGCACACACCTATACACCCTATTAGCACACACACCTGTACACCCCTATTAGCAGCCCACACACCTGTACACCTATTAGCAGCCCACACCTGTACACCCTAGTAGCAGCCCACACACCTGTACACCCTATTAGCAGCCCACACACCTGTACACCCTATTAGCAGCCCACACACCTGTACACCCTATAGCAGCCCACACACCTGTACACCCTATTAGCAGCCACACACCTGTACACCCTATTAGCAGCCCACACACCTGTACACCCTATTAGCAGCCCACACACCTATACACCCTATTAGCAGCCCACAGCACCTGTACATCCCTGTTAGCAGTCCCACACACCTGTACACCCTATTAGCAGCCCACACACCTGTACATCCTATTAGCAGCCCACACTGTACACCCTATTAGCAGCCCACACACCAGTACACCCCATTAGCAGCCCACACACCTGTACACCCTATTAGCAGCCCACACACCTGTACACCCTACAGCCCACGCACCTGTACACCCTGTTAGCAGTCCACACACTGCACACCCCATTAGCAACCCACACACCAGTACACCCCATTAGCAGCCCACACACCTGTACACCCTATTAGCAGCCCACACACCTGTACACCTATTAGCAGCCCACGCACCTGTACATCCTGTTAGCAGTCCACACACCTGTACACCCTATTAGCAACCCACACACCTGTACATCCTATGCAGCCCACACACCTGTACACCCTATTAGCAGCCCACACACCAGTACACCCCATTAGCAGCCCACACACCTGTACACCCTATTAGCAGCCCACACACCTGTACACCCTATTAGCAGCCCACGCACCTGTACATCCTGTTAGCAGTCCACACACCTGCACACCCTATTAGCAACCCACACACCTGTACACCCTATTAGCAGTCCACACACCTGCACACCCCATCAGCATGTAACACACATAACAAGTTCAAAACAATACACCTATCTAACATGACCTAAATTGTCCTTACCTATCCTACGTAGAAAACACCATACAGTATACTCTATTGAATGTACAGTCGCCTGCACTTATAACTGGTACAATGGCTGGCGTGTTTTGTGAGATGTGGCATCTCTGTGTTTGTTTACATCGTATTAAAACTCCCGGAATGGCCATAAGAAACCTCGCAATAGAAACCAGACTAAAGGATACTAGATAAACAAACACAGTGTTGCCTCATCTCACAAAATGTTCCAGCCACTGTGCCAGGTGTAAATGCAAGCAGGTGTACATTGAAACCACTATGGTTGTGTTTATCAAGATTTTGAACATGAAGTAAGGAATTAATGGTTAACTTTCAGTGCACTTTTTTTTTTAAGTTAAACACAAAATAGAAGAGATTTAATTAAACCTTTACATTTTTTTTTTACAATCGTTGTGTAAACAGCTGTCATAACTACTAGTAAAATATTTGCTCTATAAACAGGCACCGGAAGCTTTGAAGCAGAAACCCAAGGGACTGGATATACAATACGTGGCATGGAAGGTGTAACAAGTGACATGGGTCATGGGAGGTACAACAAGTGACGTGTCATGGGAGGTACAACAAGTGACATGGGAGGTACAACAAGTGACATGGGAGTACAAGGTACATGGGAGGTACAACAAGGACATGGGAGGTACAACAAGTGACATGGGAGGTACAACAAGTGACATGGGAGGTACAACAAGTGACATGGGAGGTACAACAAGTGTCATGGGAGGTACAACAAGTGACATGGGAGGTACAACAAGTGACATGGGAGGTACAACAAGTGACATGGGAGGTACAACAAGTGACATGGGAGGTACAACAAGTGTCATGGGAGGTACAACAAGTGTCATGGGAGGTACAACAAGTGGCACAACAGTTGCCTTGAGTGGGATTACACAGTCAGGTAACACAAGACCACCAGTACCAGGGGCAACACTTTACCAGCTGGAGGACAACGTGCGAGTGTGGACCTGCGACCAACCTGACTCTGTGTGGAGCAACCAGAGGAACACGCTATTGGTCTTCCCTTGGGACACCACCTGGGACAACCCTGGGAACTGCACTGGTAAGCTCTCAAGGATGATACACTGATCAGGGACTAAAGAAAGGTTAGAATTATATTCTCTAGTCTAGATATAAATATGTAAACTGATAGAGATGTTATTTTGAGAGGGAACCATTACTACACTGTTGTAGAGGTGTCTTATAGTACAGTAATAGAATATGGATCACCTTTTGTCTTTCTAAAGTTACTGACTATGAGAGATTCCTATATTGTTTGCATGTGAGTAAATTGTTTGGGATAAATAGTAGTAAACATACTAACAACTGCATAAATTGTTGAAGAGTACAGTAAGAAAAATGAGACAAACCTGAATAACAGAGTGAACATAGGGAGGGTGTGGTAAACAGGCAGTCGTACACAAACAGCTGTATTGTTCCTCCACAGCTGGGTACAGTGACTCCCAGCCGTGCAGCACACCCGACCCTCCCCAGCAGCTGATTGACGCCACCTTCAGGGAGACTCTCAGCAGGGAGTCAGGTGAAGTCTATGCTCTCTACTACCAGTGTGACAATGGCCTGGAAGTCTACCCCCCCGTTATAGGAATTTTGTTACTGTGCGTGGATGGCACCTGGTTCCCTGCAAGTAATGACTCCTGTATCTCAGGTGAGTTATATAACAACCAATATAAAACTACAGTACTCCACCACACAACCAACACAAAACTACAGTACTCCACCACACAACAACCAACATAAAACTCTTCCACCATCACCAGTCCGCTCTACAAATATATATTTTTTACAAGGATTAACCCACCCTGGCACAGATCGGGGCCCTGGGCAAAAATGTAATAATAATAATTAGTTCATAGTAAATAAAATTTATAATAAATAAAAAATAAAAAATAAAATAATAACAACACTGATAATAATAATAATAACAATAATAATAATAATAATAATAATATTAATAATAATAATAATAATAATAATAATAATATTAATAATTATAATAATAAATAACCTTAAAGAAATACAAAAATTAATTATTTTACACCAATATATGTGATAATAACCTCTAAACCTTCTATGGTGCTGTGTGTTGCAGATTAACTAACAAATAAATCCCCTTTGTGACTCATGTGATGCTGTGTGTTGCAGATTAACTAACAAAATAATCCGCTTTCTGACTCATGGTATTGAAATATAATATATACAGGATTAGATTAACAATTTTCCTCTCACGAGTCTTTCTCCTCAATTTACTTTTTTCCTCTTTCCCGTATATCTCATTGATAACTGTTACCTTCTGTTCTATCCCTTACCTTATCTTCCTGGGATGGTTGTGTGTGTGTGTGTGTGTGTGTGTGTGTGTGTGTGTGTGTGTGTCCTGAATGAATTGTAATAATGGCATTATCTTGATATAAATAATGTATATATGAATGAATCCATGAATCATTAAGTAAATATATGTATTGATGTAAGAACTTGTATTCAAATGTAAAAATCCTTGTACAGGCTGCTCTCATATATACTGTTGGTTATGTCCCTCAAAAGGCTGGTACACTATGAGCAACAGTAGTCCATTATGGTGAGCTACAGTATGTTCCTAGCACAACTAAACTCTCCCTTTTGATGATAATACTGCATTGTATCAGTTCTCCATTCATATATTAACAGAAATTTAATTAACACTGTAAAATTTATTGAATCAACATGCGTAAATATGATATAAACCTGCTATAGCCTGATGTAAACAACTCAGGGTCTTGTGGCGCCGTGATACATGTGGGCAGCCTATGTTTATTTATGTTTTACGAGTGTTAGGAATGCCTTGTATGTTACAGTATCTTATTTTTTTCCTGCTGTATTTGCTGTTAAAATAAACATATTAGTGACGGGTGACGTGTCTCTGATAAACACATTCCACATTTTTTTTATGTAAATTCTTAACCATTAATCGCTGTTTCGAATGAGTTCAATTATAATAAAAATATCACTTGTTTTTTCTTTGTATTATTTATGCTTCCATTATTTCATATGTGCACTAATACCCCTAAACAATAGGGAAAATAAGCTAATGGAAAAAATACATAGAAGTTATCGCTAATCGGTAATTGTCACTACTTCGTGTAACACACCACATTTTTTTTTATATCTGACACATTCTTAATGTCTATATTTCAACGAAATATCTGTATATTTCAATAATTATTTCCAGGTGAAGCCATGGAGATTTAAACTATGGAACTTTACAATTATGCCAACTCGGAATCAATGGCGAACCCAGGATTTTTCAAGGGTCCTATAGGGCGCCATTTGCAATAAGTATTCATAAACGTAGTCGTGTATTGTAAAGAGTAAAGGGTCCTCCTTTGGTGTACATCAACATTATGAAGTAGAGTAATTAAAAAAATGTCATCTGATAATTATGATAATACTTCAATAAAACAGCAGCTTATATTACCATAAAAAGAGTACAGTGTGTATGTATACTTTATTACTTTCAACGAAATATTTATCCATTCTTTACCTATTGCACATTCATCAACAATATACTGCAACGACAAAAGCTAACGCAACATATCAAAGTACTGTGACTCCCAAACTTACCACACCAAATCAAAGCAACCAAAGCACTTTTGATATTACAGATTAAAGCCCACAGTTTACTCGCCATCTCTCAATGCATGCAAGCCAGTGGGATGTATGCTTGGATGCTTGGTATTGTATATTATATAAGCATGAAACTCATAACCATGTAAACACAAATTCGCCAAAGTGAAGGTGCGGCCACACGTGCGTACATTTTGTCGCCAACATGTGATCAACAAGAGGAAACTCCTATCTTTTTTTTTCTTATTTATACGATCTAGTGCACGCACCCGCACCCTACCAAGAGTCGGAACCCTGTGCCTCATTTCGTCTTGTTGATCACATGTTGACGACAAAATGTACGCGCGTGTGGCCGCACCTTAAGCCAGACATCATCATGTTTAGGTATATGGTGTGCTGGCCACCGGTGGCATGCGACAACAAACCTTACGACAAGCTCATGCGCGAGTTTTGCCAGGAAGTTCTGTCGCACATTACCACCTAATCTAACCTAACTTACCATGCTATAGTATTCTCTGGCTCTCCCTGGGAACACGGAAATTGTTTAGCATTGAAAAAATCAATCAGAGACGTGACCGATCGCCCAAGCGGCTAACGAGAGCCGATCAGTGGTGAAGAGGATAAAAGTAAAAAAGTAAAAACAAGTACTCAACCAAGGCGGAAGGAGTATCGCCAGAAATCTTATTACAGTAATACAGTATTCATGAACTAGGTTCGCATGCATAGCAGAGGTTTGTCGCGCGACACCGGCTCACACACAAGAAGTTCATGTATGTGAGATATTAACACTGCAGTCGATAGTCTGGCATCTCTGGGATTCTAGCACTCAAGTCAGGGTCAAAAGATTGCGAAAATGTGGCAATAGATTTTATTCACGTGTTAAGATGCCGTTTAAGTGTACTGATCCGAGGTACAGTAACTAGGAAAACAGAAAATTGGACCAAAAGTTCAATGAATGACTCGGCTATTGAAAGAACTTCACACTCCTGTAGCCTACTGCTTACCAAGCTTCTACAGACCTTGCTGCTTACAATTACTTTTCGGGCGAAACGAAAGACATATTTACACACTTTTCATAAAATACATGTATCTATACTATATAATAAATTACAGTGTGGAAATATCAAGCCAAGCTTGGAAAAAAAATAAGTTAACCAACAAAGCCTACGTGCCAACAAAGTCCACCCTTCAGTTTTCTTTGTAAAAAATAAAAATATTTGCTCATGCATGGTTCATAAAGGAACTGTACTTCAGAAAAAAAGAACATCATGGTAATATATTTCCAATAAAACCAACTTCGGACATTGGGCAATACCATTTTAGCTTTACATGTCAACACAACACGACAGTATTTGTTTATAAACATTTATAATGCGGTAAACTGCAAAGGACTGACAAACGAACTTCTTTCTTCCGAGTCGTCAGACGCCCACAGAAAAAATAAAGTTCCTGCCTTTATATGTTTTCCGAGGCATATAAGAACATAAGAAAATAAAGAGTCTGCAATAGGCCGGTTGGCCTGTGCATGGCAGCTCCTTTCAAGAGTTACAGCCACTCACTCTTCCATTAATCTATCTAGCCTCATTTTAAAACTTTCCAGCGTCCCAGCACTTACTACAAAGTTGCTAGCTTGTTCCACTCACCTACCACCCTATTTGTGAACCAGTTTCTTTGTTTTCTCATCTCTAGCTTCCTTGAGAACCGATCCATGGCAGTTGTTGTCCAGGGATCGATCTCCCGCTCTTTCTCTACCAGTAGTGGTGTCCCACAGGGTTCTGTTCTTTCACCTACTCTCTTCCTTCTTTTTATCAATGATTTACTTCACACTACAACTAATTCTATCCATTCTTACGCTGATTATTCTACTCTTCACTCTTCTTCACATTTTCCCCTTCCTCTTAACTCTCAAACTAGATCTGTTTCTAGAACTGATATCATTACTTCTATCAACGCGGATCTGAGCAGCATCTCTGAATGGGGAGGTAGAAACTTGGTTAAGTTCAATAGTAATAAAACTCAATATTCACCAATTGCATTTTGTAAATTGCACGATCTCCCACCAATTATATTTCAGGACGCTATCATCCTGCCAAATTCAGAAATAAATATGTTAGGCTTCACCATTTCCTCCAATATGTCCTGGAAATCACACATCCTTAGTATAACTAAAGCTGCCTCCCGAAAGTTGGGAATGCTGTACATATGCCGCAGCTACTTCACTCCTGAGCAGTTGCTGCAAGTATATAAGGGATTCATTCGTCCTAACTTGGAGTACTGCTCTCATATCTGGGGTGGCTCTTCTGTCCAACTATTAGATAGGGTGGAATCCAAGGCATTTCGTCTTATAAACTCTCCTCCTTTAGTCGACAATCTCTCTCCCCTTTCTCTTCGCCGCAATGTTGCTTCACTCTCTCTCTTTTACAGGTACTTTAACGGGCAATGTTCAGGAGATTTGGCATCCTGTGTACCGCCGGTAAGGCCATGGGCTCGTAACACACGTCTTGCCCGCGGTGCCCACCATTTCTCTGTTGATATCGGTCACACGAGAATAGCCCGTTATAGTACCTCCTTCTTTCCTCACACAGCCAAACTGTGGAATGCTTTGCCTTCTTCTGTGTTTCCATGCTCTTACAATCTGCCTCACTTTAAAAAGCTGGTTTTCCGACATCTTCGAGGTGTAGATTAATACAGTATAACCTTTTTATCTATATTTTAAATTTTTTTCCGTTCTTGTTTTTTCGCCCCCCAGGCTCCATTGTGGGTCGTTTGACCTGTGCCCGGGTGGGCTAATTCCCGTAAAAAAAAAAAAAAATTCTACCTCATTCCTGAGTGTGAGATATCTACATGTACGTACGTTGTGTGTCCATACAAATAGATAAGAGACATCTAAAGATAATTGACTACTGGCCACAATACAGTACGCTACAGGATCCCTAGGTCTGCCACTGCACGGATTAATAGTGTATAGTTGTATTAAATAAAATATGTCTGTTGTTGACAGTCTCGCAGAAGAAAATCTCAAGGCAGAGAGATGAAACCAAAAAAGGACCACTCACTGAAAACCCGCCTATTGGGTGCATAAATGTTATGTGGTTGTGTTGTTTAGTCCTGGTTTCATATTACAAAGTCCGTCCTGGAAAGTGCAGATGTTTGCGCATTATTTAAAAATCTTGGTTAATAAAAGTGTTTGTTTTTTCTATTCAGTGTGAGACGGTCTACTATTCGTGATGACTCTATATATATATATATATATATATATATATATATATATATATATATATATATATATATATATAATGCATCCATTTATTTATTTATTTAGGGCGGTACTAAGCCGTCAGTTGTGGTGTGGTAGTTGGCGCCAAATATCAGTTGTTTACCTTCTACCGCAGGAAGCGACCACTGTTGAGTGCTGGACATTGTCATAAATTTGTATCTAGTTTTTTTCTCCAAAATGTCAGATTCAGAAGAAGACATTATTGAAGGCTCTGGCGATGAGGGGGAGGCGATGACAGCATCAGAGGTTTTACAGAAATTGGAGGAGGTAAGCTTAACACGTTACCGGTACACTGTATTGTGTTGGCTGCACTGTTATGTACGTATAGTAACAATGGTTAGCTCTTATCACTCACGTTTAACTAGTCTTCATAGAGTTCCAGTGACTTTCATGTTAAAGATTCGGTCGAATACATACACGAGAATCATAGGTTTTCTTAAGTAATTGATGGTGATTTAAAAGACTGGCCGCCCTTTTTGGCGGAAATAATGTTATGGCGATATGACCCTTCCACCACTACCAACGATTTTGATCGATTAAAGTGGGTAGAGCTTTGAAGTCGAGAGGGAAATTGTGGGTACAGAATATAAACAATAAAAAGAATTGACCCAATCAAATCTAAGGAAACCTGACTTAATTTCTACCTGACCTAACTTTACCGTTGTCATGGTGATTTTGCTCCATTATCAATACCAAACGTCCATATTCACAATAATGACAGTCTGCACTACACTTTGGACACAAACCCTCCAGGGACTTAATGTGACAGCAGGTTTTTGTCCCTTGCGACTTAATACGGTAAAATTTTAGTTTCGGTCATCTCCGTATTTAGATTTAAACTAAACTAACCTAACCTAACCTAACTGCTCTCTTACCTGATATATACACCTAGACAAGAAAGAAAAGAATGTATCAGTTATTTTATAGGACATGATTGAATACTGGATTGATTAATTAAAATTATCCTGGCATTCATTGGTACTTTCTTTTAAGGGGGGGGGGGGAGGGTATCTTTAAATGTTTAAAGGTATAACATTATCCTGTACTGTACACTGTTTTCAGGCATGGATTACTGAGCGGATTTCACCTACCCTGGAACGTCATCAGAGCGAACTGGTGGATTGTATGCTTGACCAGATCAATCAAATGACTGAAAACCTAAAACGATGCAAGAAGCATGACTTTCGATTAGCTATTCACAAAATGGAGGTAAGTTGAGATAAAATTTGAATTTAAGGTGGCAAAAAGCACCCAATATTATGAACCTGTGAGACTTGGCTTGTGCTGCATCTTGAATTACTGTGTTATAGGTACAGCATTTATATTCTACTTTTCTGATTCCTTGCTGTAATATTTCAGATTACAATACCTCCTTAGCTATACCTATTATTTTTATATATATATTAGTGTCTTAATGTTTACAGAATGCTGATAAATGGGTGATACGTAAAATTTCTCCCTGCAGATAGATCGAATAAGATATATAATAAGCAGCTACCTTCGTGTCAGACTTGAAAAAATTGAAAGATTTGCTCATTATCTGCTGGAGAAGGAAGCCAACACCACAGAGGAGAGCCTGGCAGTCCTCTCACCACATGAAGTTGCTTATGCCCGAGAGTAGGTAAACTTTTTAACTCACTGCCTGATAGTTTAGTTGAAAGTGGCAGATGATCTTCCTGGTTTAATATAGATGTGTACAGTATAGTATATTTGACTTTATATTTTATACTAGATAAAGAAAATTATTACAGTTAATATAGCAAGGTAATACAGTACAGGTATAGTCGAATTCCATGTCATCTTGAGAATAGCTAAAGAAATCTTGAAACAGCCTTTTTAAGAATATTTTATGTATTGTGCAGTACTATACCAATGTATATTTTTATCATTATTATAACTAACTTGGTTATATTGCATTTATGTTGAGTAAGTTGATGGAACAGGGACTTGAAAATATAGTACATCATCAACATCCTCGCAATATGTCAATCTTTAAAGACCATTTGTTTCTGGTGTACAGTACAGTATATGATAATGTGACACACCAGGAGGAATGCTGGGACTGGAGCGCTTGAAGGCTTGTATATTATTTTCACTTAAGATGAAAGAAGAATAGGGGTTTACAGATGCAAGTTGATCATTTACCTTGCATTATTATCAGCAGTGTCTGTGTGTGTGTAGTATAATCACTTATCACAGATATACTAAGATGAAACATTTCTGTCCTCAGCTATATATCAAGTCTTGAATCGCACTTCCAGTCCCTCGTGTTACAACATGTACCAGAGAACCTTCGAACTTTTGATGCTGCCAAGATGAGTGTAAAGCCCAATATGGACAGCTACATCTTCCTCAGAGCCAAACAGGAGACTCAAGGAGTGTTACTTGAAGACGAGACTGGAGAAGGAAGGCAAGATTAAAAGGGTGCTACTATAGTGTGCGGTTGCATTAAGTTAGGTTAGACTTAAGATATCTCATAGACTGCATGCTATAGTAGCACCTTTAAAAGTTTATCTACAAGTTCAAACCCTCATTCTCTGTCTTTTTCCACTAATCTGGTAACAACTTTTGTAATTCATGTTCGCTATCTGAAGTAGGTAAGACCAGTATTTTCTACATGTACTCTACTGTTCAAAATATTTGATACAGTACCAAGTGAATTTTATTCATTCATTGCTACTCACAACTTCTTTCATCAAAAAGTTTCATTTATATTCAATAGTTAATTACTGTACTGTAAGTTACCGATGCCGTTTTTATATATATATATATATATATATATATATATATATATATATATATATATATATATATATATATATATATATATATATATATATATATATATATATATATATATATATATATATATATATATATATACCTGTTTCTAGATTGGAATTTAAAAAAATGCCTGTTTTAGTTAGTTTTCAAAAACGTTAAGTTGGTTAATGACCCATGAAATAATTTAACTAATTTTCTCAAAAAAAAAAAAAAAATGCAAGTTTTGCAGTTACAGTTTTGCTGATTGTGAATGTACACATACAGTACTGTAGTTGTATGAATGATGGAGTTACACTTGGGACCACATGGTTTGACGGGTTCATTATGAAGCTTCTCTCACAGTCTTTGTCTTTTCAGTAATTTCTGTCTAGAATTTCATTGTTATGCTGTTCAGTACACACAACACACATACGACAAGATTAACGTATTCAAAGATTACAGGTACGGGACCATTTATCTGGTATGCTTGGAGGTTACCGGATATTTTATTTTTTTTCCCCAGAATTTGGAGTGCCAAGCCTAAAATTTAAACCCTCTGTAACTGGCTGTGAAGATTGTTCTGATTACTAGATTGACCCTAAAAGTATCTTTAACTGTACACTGTAACATTAAGGCTTAGAACTGTGGGCATATAAACAGCGATAATGAAACCATAAAAAAAATTAATAATAAGATACAAGTTAGTATACACTCTGAGGTACAGTCTTAGGGCTGCTGGCTGCCTCAACACTCGCCTTAGCAAAGTAGCCCTGCTGGGACACTCTTCTTTAGCAACGGCACTCTGTGCGGCAGACCCTTTGTCCTCTTCACCTTATATATTTTGTTCACTTTCTCGATGTAATGTTGTGTGCATGTAAATGAATAAAAAATGAAGAAAATGGCCGTAATATACCATAGCTCACAGGTGGGGAACAGATGAAAATTTCCCCACTCGGCCCGGAAATTACTTGACACTTATTTTAATTAATTCGTCCAGAACATGGCTGGTTTTTGGAGTGCTCTGGATATTGAGACACTATATAAATGGTCCTATACTTATATTTTGTTTGTTTTAGTGGATTGCAAAACCAATTAAAGAAGTAGGTGTGAGTTAACAACACATAGCTTTGCAACATTCTTCCATTAAACTAAGATGTTCTGCTGTAGGTTTATTCTGCAGAAATACAGTGAGAAACATTTGGCATTCAAGTCATCACAGAGCACAATACTGTAATCTGGGATGGAGGTTTTGTTTGTATGATTACAAATAATGTCTAAATATTCTTAGGACACACGTGGATTCTTTAGTCACCATTTTCAGACCAGTAATGACTCGCCTTAGAGACTGGGGTCAGCATTTATAAAACTTTTCTGATCAAGTGTTCCTATTACAGAGATGAGGAGGTAGACTTAGAAGAAGGCAGTCAACATCTGATGCGCTACAAACCTATCAGCCACTTACTACACTCTGGTGCTGTCACCCTTATCTAAGTTCAGCTGTGGTTGCAATATTTCTTGGAGTTGTTTTGTGGTCCACACATCTTGGCAAACTGTATTTGAAGATCATTATGTACATATGTACTATTGTAAAGTATTCAAGTGCTGCATTCATTGTCTTTGTAAATGTATATGTCCATTCTCATAGTTACAGTATATGTAGTGTATTAGTGATGTATCTGATGTTAGACATCTGCAGATGTTAAACTTTGACATCTGTGCGAATGCAGATGTTTATGCATAAATGTCTAAGGTGATAATATAATGATTAAAATTCATATTTAATTAAATAATTGACTTTTGATTATAAATATTAAGTATCCATTTAAAACTGGCCCATTTTCTCACAAGTTAATTCATTTTATTTTGTAATAATCACTTGCATGCATGCTTATCTTTTTGGACAACTTTTCCCCATACGACTGTGTGTTACCAGGATGTGGGACAGGGATCCAACTCTTCTTGCAGTCCCCAACCTCCACCCATTGGAAAGTAATAAACTTAAGTCAATGCCACAGTTACATTAAAGATCAAGTGAATAGCTGCTGAAGTCTCAGTATTTGAATTGAACGAGTAGCAAATTATGCTTAAAAAAAAAAAGGTGTTTTCTGCTTTGTCTTCTTGTAGCTGATTTAGTCTTCCATCATAAATAAGAAAGTAAAAAACCTTGAAAACAGGTGTCACACGGGCAGCACAACTGAGTGTGTAGTTACTGTCGTATACCTGCTACAGTCATGGTTTCATTTGTAATTCTGTTCATGTGAGTGATGAGAATCATGAGAAAGTCTTGCTTCAAATTTCAACAATAGAATATGGTAAATAGTATACATCTGCATCCCACAGGTGTGAAAGTAGATGTTAAATTTTGTGTGGATGTGACATACATCACTAATATATATACAGTATACAGTACATAATGTACATTGTTATATTCTTCAGTATGTTCCTGTTACCCTCAGCTTAATTTCAATAGCAGTTACTTGATGTTAAATTTGTTCTTTGTATAAATAATGTACCATATTGTTAGGAACAATCTGACTGAGCCTTAAAATACAATGACATTGATGCCAAATAAGGAAAAATATTGTCTTTTATGCTTATAACTTTGTAGAAATTAGTTTATATAGTAAAATTTGTTCTTTCACTTAAAGAATTCTTAATTATCATAGCCAAATTCTACCTTAATTAGGTTAGTTTAAATTAGTGATGATGCAGTTCTTTTATAGTGTGTGTTGTCTGCCTGATTGTACTGTACCTACACACAGACCATTTTAAATTCATGCTATTTCCCAATAATCCCAATTTAGTATGACATTCTATATAATACTTTTTTATGCAAAACTGCAGTGTTTATATGGATGATCATATAGATAATCATGTAAATGTGAATATATTCTGTGATACAATATAGCTTTTCTTCATTAAAAATGCACAATGCCTTACTCAATTAGTATTTTTGTTTGATTGACTGACCTAAAGTTCAATTGGAAATAAAATGACTTCCATTACAAGCTTCACCATAACTGTGCTTTTTCAGCTGGCAGTATAAAGTGTTTTGATTTGTTGGTACACATATACCTGATGCTTTTCATGTGTTCAATTTTTCACTAAAGCTTTCTCACATGGATTTCCAGATGACACAGAAGGGATGATGGTACATTGGGTGAGTATACGCATAGTCTTCCATTTTCCATACATCCTACAGTTTATATACATGATATAAAGATCTTGTGTGCAAAAAATGCCTTTGGCAGTACAGTAATCCCCTACCAAACACAGTCTTAAGTATCCACATTTTATATTTTGTAAACAGTTTTACCAGCCACTGTAACTGTGATAATGGAATGAGTTGGGGCTATTACAAGTCTTTTTTATATTTTCCTCTGATTTATGAAATGAAGTGAACTGTATCCACAAACAACATCAGGCATTACACATTGATCAAGTCTTGGGGGAGAAAGGTCTTAAATTATCTAAATGGTGGGACATGAATTAAAGCATATGAAGTCAGAAAGATTAATACATTGAATGTTCAATTTTATTCTGAAATGGGAAGGAAATTAAGTACTGTACTGTACATGGCTTCCTTTATGAATTTTAGACAAACTTAGGTTACCCCTCATGTACCACTGCACCACAAGAACCTGATTTGTGCATAAGTGGTTTTCTTTTTACTGTCCACACTTTGTTTATATCTGGCTAAGGCTCTTACTTGAGCATGTTCATTCAATAAATTTCACAGTATTAATTAAATTGCAATTACTGTACAGTAGTCCTTCACCATATGTGGGGGCTAGGTTCCTGAAAACCTCATGGATGGATTATGGGAAATGGGTTAGGTTCCATGGCTGTGGATAGAACTCATCACAAGCCTAACTAAGTTGCCTATTCCTTTACTGAATAATACATATAAAATAGCTTAATATACATTAAATAATAATATAAATTTTACAATACATCTCTATGGAGATGATATGTTGCTATAAAATAAGAAAAATGAAGAGCATGGGTGTGTATGTGTGAAGTGATCGTGTGTGTATGAAATTGGCAGGTCACCAAGTTAGACTGTCCCTGTAGCTACAACCTCCTAGCTCTCCCTCTACCGGACCAAGCTGTGTTATTGTTATTTTTCAACTCATATTTTTGGGTAGATGTATGTAATTTTATTCTTTCATAATTTAAAAAACATAGAGAGAATAAATATTTCTTATGTCCGTGGGAGAGGAGAGTGTCCTTAGCAAAATGATTGCCACATGGCAATGCAGTTTTTTTTATTTATTAGTATTATTTTTATTCAATCCTTACATTTGCGGAGGAATACATTAGAACACAGAAGGAAAACGATGCCATACTAATCAGCGGATACTCGAAATTCAATGCAGCGGTTGGTGAAATGGTATAGAGTAAAAACCGTGGATACCCAGAATCAATGGTTGGCGAAGGTCTACTGTAATATATGAATGGAGAACTGATACAATGCAGTATTATCATCAAAACGGAGAGTTTAGTTGTGCTAGGAACATACTGTAGCTCACCATAATAGACTACTGTTGCTCATAGTGTACCAGCCTTTTGAGGGACATAACCAACAGTATATATGAGAGCAGCCTGTACAAGGATTTTTACATTTGAATACAAGTTCTTACATCAATACATATATTTACTTAATGATTCATGGATTCATTCATATGTACATTATTTATATCAAGATAATGCCATTATTACAGTTCATTCAGGACACACACACACACACAACCATCCCAGGACGATGAGGTTGTTGTATACAGTGGTCCCTCGGTTAACGAACACAATTCGTTCCACAGAGTCGTTCGTTAACCGAATCCATTGTTAAAATGGGATATTGGGAAATTGGTTCCAGCTCACAGAAAAGTACATGCAAAGTAAAAAAAAAAAATAAGAAGTAAAGTACACTTACTTTGAGGTGTGTATGTAGAAGGTTCCTGGTTGATGATGATGATGGGAATTAGAAGTGGGGGTGGAGGAGAAGGAAGTGGGGATGGAGGAGAAATCACCTTTCAAGGGGCCCATGCTTGATGCAGTAATTTCACCAATAAAATTTTAAGTTCACTAGGTGTAATTCAAGATTATTTTATTTAAATCAACACTGCACTGCGCAAAATATCAATATGTAACTAAATTTCAGAATGACTAATAATGTAAAAATGCAAAATATTCAAGACTAACAAAATCAATGTTCACACCACTGTAAACAAAGCCAAACTGACATGAGAGATCCTACAGCACCATAATTACGGTAAATAATTAATTTCTTCGCCCACAAAAGAAGTAGAGACGTGAAATTACTACCATATGATCAGTGTTTGCAGTGTCTTTAGCTCGTTATATCCTTCTTCTTCCATGCCTGTCCACTAACAAGTAATTTATGATCGAAGGATAGGATTTTACTTCTCAGTATCATCCAAAGAACAACTGTGGAAAATATGAACGGAATATATAAATGCTTCCCTGTGCTAACCGTCTGCCCCACCTTTACCCAGATAACAATTGCATTCGTATTCTTAACGTTTAGAACATGGACAGATATCATCATTCCCATTGATTCCCATAAAAAGAGCTTAAAGTTTCAGGTGCACGGTATCAGATCTTTTGTGCAGATCACTTGAAGAGTAGGCAGTCCAGCTTATTTTACCTGGTCATTAAACATTCTAACATTTCCTGAGGTTAGGTTAGGTAAGCGTTAAGGTGGTTAATTTTAAAGTGAAATAAACTGGGGTGCCTAATCTTCAATTGTCTTATTAAACAGAATTATATTTGGTTCACAACTCCAAAAACTTTCCATCGCATTGTGTACACCACTGACCGGCTCGTTAGCAGCTTGGGCGATCCGTCACGTCTGTTACACACTGTTGGCAAGTACTGGGCATGCACCGGCTCCAGTGCTTGTCAAGTCTGGTCTTGAAAGAGCTCACACTCGGTGCCGTCATAACACTCTTTGGCGGATTGTTCCATGAGTTCACAACTCTGACTCCGAAAAAATTACCCCTCACAGTTTTCTGGACCTGCGGCTTCTTCAACCCTGAGCTGTAACCCCTTGTGGGGCGAGCGTCCGCCAGCTCCAGGTAATACCTGCCTTCACCTTCCATAGGATGTAAGGGGGTGCCCAATAAACTAACCCCCGTGGACAATCTAAAAAAAAAAAAAATCTAATACCTTGCGATGGTCTTGCCTCACATCCTTAGCCCTGCTTTCATGAGTGTGTCATATATTGACTGTCAGCGATATTAACTTTTCTCATTAATAATATATTTTATGTGTTGAACCGGCGTGTTCAACCTTCATTTATATACTAATAAATTATTGTATATACTCGCGTTTTACAAGGTCTACCCACTTAACAGCGATTAGGACAAAATCATAAATAATTCGTGTCAATTATCACAAAAATATGAGTGAAACTAAGTCTAGGATTAATGTGTTTCTATCGAGGACTAAGAGTGGTAAAACACGCACCAGACTTAACACAAACACTTCACAAATGGACCACGCTAAACTCTAAGGGGGGCAGACAACGTACCTAAGTAATACTGATCTATCCAAAGATACGCAAACTATTTATCTTGGCCTAAATGAAATCTAATTTAGCCTGGAGAAGTTGTGTATGGGCTTAACTATGGTAAAATAACTGTGAGTATGTGTGTGTGTACAGACCCTGAACTGACCCTTAAATACTGTATATACAAAAATTGAAATGTTAATCAGCTAAGAACATTTATTCAAGTATTGAACTACTCTAATTAAGGTAGTCAAAATTTTATTTACATGCAAAAGCATTTCTCTACTCATTTATTATTCATTCTGCATCACGTTATACTTCCTTGTTCAGAAGATTTAGGGAGGTGTCCGTCTTGGTAGGTATACAGGTAGTCACCCAAAAGAGTCCTGTGCGAACCACGATTCAGACTCGTGAACCCGAAGCAGTAGACACTGATACATTATTCTGTCCATAAATGCTTCGGATTCAAGAGTCTGAAACTCGGGGTTCATGGTTCGCGACAGGACTTTTTTGGGTGACTGTGCATGGTCAGGTATTCAAATTATACATGAGGTGTGGAAATGGACAGGTGTGTTGGTCATTATGTAGTGTGGAGTTGGGTAGGTGTGGCTAGAAAGTGTGTGCGTGTGCTGAATATTTAAAACTGGTCTCCATTATCACGTATCGCCAGGCAGCCAGCGTCGCGTGTCCCAGATCTAACGACAATTAACTTGAACACAAGAACTATAAAGTAAATGTAAGGGATACTAACCGTTGTTTATGTCCTACACTGTCTGTATTTGAATCCATACCCGAGATGGATTTGGTGATAGGAAGTACATGTATGTTTTATGATTTATACACACTTAAACACAGAATACCATATTTCAAAACAGAAACACCAGTAAAAATTTAAGTCCTTCAGTATACTTACAAAATATACAAGTGAATATATCAAGATAAAATGAATACATATTTGTTTTTTCAATTTCTTAAAAAAAAAATTAAAAACGTACTTTTGTGGTGGAGACATAATAGAGTCGTATCTTCGCCAGTCAGTCTTAAATGTTGGTCAATTAACTGCCTGGCTTCACTATGAATATCAATAGTCTGTGTTTGTAGTTGTTTCAGAATTGTTAATGCCCGCCTTAACATCATATGGTTTTCCGGGTTTATTGTAAAAAAAAATAGGAGGTTATTTAGCACGTGAGAAGGGTGTGATAAGTTATGGTTAATAAAATTTGGTTCTCACGGTACTGCTTCAGAGACACATTAGGTAAATTAGTTCACATCTCCCGAACTAATCTAAAGATCTTAGTGGGCATCTACCAATCTAACATTACTGCCATCTTGACTAGTTTTTGTACTAATGACAGTCCATCTATTTTCAAAGTATTGTATAAACCTGTATATTTCCTCTCTGGTTGTGCGCCATCTGTAGAAATTAAGAACATAAGGATGGAGGAAACTAGAGCGGGCACAATGGCCAGAAATATGTAAGTAGAAAGAATAAAAAAAAGGGTACCTAACAAGTTGCGATGTTTAAGATGTTTATCTAATATGAAAATAAGATGTCACCGTTGTTGACGATATGCGCTGCTGGAAAAAAATAAGTGAGTGACACTTAACTGTTGCGTGGCCTCCATTTTGAATGTTCAAATTAGCAATTTCACAGTAGTTTATTGAAGGCGAAGTGAATCTATACATCATTACAGTTCCATAAGCGAATTATTATTATTATCATTATTATCACCAGTATTTTTGTTATTCCTGCTGCTGCTATTTCTGTACTGGTGATACAAGCCAGAGCGTACAGTATATCAATACACAACAAAACGTCATACAACAACCAACATCAGGTTTCCTGGGACATGAGGGAGTTAAATAAAAGGTTTAGATGTCCTTGTGTTTGGCTGATGAGGACATCCTGCTTGAAGCACTTTTCCCCTGCTGGTGCTTTGTGGTAATAATTATTATTAACCAATGGAATTTCACCAAACTTTACCAAATTTAATATAACCAAAATTAACTTCACCTGGCGAGGGGAACAAAATTAACCTCTTGTGTTTCTCTGGTCCAAGTTCTACTCACAAACACACTCACGCCAAAGCTGATTGGTTGAGAGAAGCAGCACTGACCAAATACGAACACTGTGGTGCCAAACATAGGCTGTAGATACCCTGCGGTGCATTATTTGTTTATCCAGAATTGTCTGTAAATTTTCATTTTCAGATATCTTTCCTCACAAAAAAGTACGGCAACTTTTTTTGTAATTTGATCCGTAAATGATTGTTGAAGTGTAAGATAAGGGGCAACCTGTACGACAACACTTACCTGGTGATATAAGCTTAACCTCACTAGGCTGAAAGTGGGGCCACTGTCAACTGTCAGCTGCAGCAGTGTCCAGTGTGTGTTTAGTCATCTGAGGTGAGGACGATCTCTCAGCCAGATCGCCTCTAACAAATACAGTAACTTCAATTCCAAAGGATGAACTCGACGGAGGGGGCAGCGACAGTGGAGGTGTTTGGGTCCACTTCGAGGTTCAAGGTGGTGGATTATATAGTGTTCAGCGCCATGTTGGTTATCTCCGTGGCCATCGGGGTGCACAGCGCCCTGAGAGGACGCGGCACTTCCTCCACTCAGGAGTACTTGCTCGGGGGGAGAACCATGCCCATCCTCCCTGTCGCCCTCTCACTTCTCGGTGGAGCCATATCGGCCATATCAATACTTGGTCAGTACACTGTCATGTTTTAATTTTGTTTCGTTATATGTTTAATTTTCCACAAGCTTTGTTTATTTACCTTAATTTCAGCAGTATTTTTAAAATTCCCTTATCAATCAAGTCCTCAAAAGGGAAAGGAAATCATTAACAGATGTCACAGAAATAGAAACATTTAGAAGATCAATAAGAAAAGCAGATCCCAAATGACTATCCATTTCGCGGTAAATAAGGATAATACTAATGGTAAATCTCGGTGAGACACTTCGAGGTACAGATATCAAAGATTATTTTCCACTCGATATATCAGAGAACCTTATGATTGTATGACAATATATGTGACCAGTTAGGAATAAAATTTTAAATCATAAGACGATCCAGGAAGCTAATTTTTCAACAGTGGGCAGCTAGGGAAAGTTACTTCGATTGTAAAGATTCGCTTTTCAAGAACGAATATCACAAGCATGTATAGTTAAAGACCAAACTATATAGGGAAGCTAAACTTTAAATTGGCATATCGTTAAAAAGCAAATAGTTACGGGTTTATCTGTATTAGCCAACAAAGCGAAAACCAGGATTAACCATATGTTAAATAAATGGATATGTAGGATTATAGAAGCTGTGAAAGCAATATTACATTTACTGAAACGATGAAATCCATATTAAAGACCTCAACGTGTGCAGAGACTAACAGCTGCCCGCCAACTTAAAGACTACGGGGTAAATATGAGTCGGTGATAGATGAGGCGACTACAGTATACTCCATTACGTGTAAATGCTTCTACCATAAAATGGTTTAAAATGACATTGGTATGTTTGGTGAGTATATTAACACCTACGTTAGGATAGATGAAAGAGAACACATTATAAAACGACATTAATTTTCTTAGCTCTGTCAGCATTACAACACCAACAGAACGTCAGACTGCTCCCCTTTATCTATTGAATTCCCATATATCATAAAAACCCGATCAAAGCTAAGTACATTATCTCCTCTGTTGGTGCAACTATAAACAACTCTAGCAGAGTTGATAAGCAAATATCTAAAACTAGTAATGAAGGGGGATGTAACCCTCCATCCCCTCAGGATCTACACCTCAGGCCTTGCTGCAACTTAGAGTATCATATATATTCCCATCAACATGTAAGGTAATACAGTATATTATATAAGTAATGGTGTTAAAGTTTGGTGTAACCTTGGAAAGCCTTGGCTTTGGCTTCAGGATTTTTTGAGTGGATGGCTTTGACTTCGAAGCAGGAGGCTTGGCTTTGTCCCAAGTCTTGAAATTTGGTGAAAACATATGCCGAAAGGAAAACTTTTGGTGCGCTTTACCGTGTGGTAAGGCTCTCATAATGTTTCACGAGTTATAGTTAATCTTTGGACAAAACCGCGACACGACTTTTGTCTTTGATTGTACATTAAGACTAAATGTGTAGACGTCGAACTGTGTGTGTGGGTACACTTGCCAACAAAGGTCCCGTCGCCTCGCCTGCCTTTCTTCAGGAGACAGGACTTGTGTAGGTGTATACGGTTCCATGACAAAACCCCAACGGGGCTGTCATTTGTCAACACTAACCTAGCCTAAACATAAAAGTGTTTTATTTTTTTTTTTTATATATGAGACTGGGGTTTTGTCCGTTGGGGTTTTATCCGGTCACCGGTGTATAGTGTCCTACAGTGGTATTTTGTAAGTGGTATGGTGGCTGTGACGAAAGTCGCAGAGTTGAGCGGCAACATTGTAAATAAATGCACAAACATGTTTCCTGCCTTACTGAAAAAATATGAGGTAGCCCCCCCTTCCCTGTATCTATGCAATGCCGGATTTAGACCTGTGGAGGCCCATGGGCAGCCTCTTTGTGGAGGCCCCCCTCATTATAACTACCCAAGAGGGTGGGATGGCGAGTGAAGCGAACCTAAACATCTGGGAGTTCCGGGGGGCGCTGTAAGCCCCCCGGGAAAATTTTGAAATTTGAACACTTCTTTGGAGAATTTTGAAGCCATATGCAGTTATATTGAGGAAATTAGAACATTGAGAATTTTTTTATTAACTGTATAATTATTGATAGTGTACAAATTCCCAACACACACACACACAAAAGTGAGACATGACTGGAGTCATTCATGTGGTTTCAAGTCGACCAGCCCTGATATAGCTACCTCACATGTCAAAAATTTTCAAGAGACTTCACAGAAAAGAATATATTATTAGTTATTACAGAGAAATGATTCTTTGCATTGTTAATCAGATAAACCTCTACTCAAATAATGGTTCTGTCCAAGAATGCATGTATAGGCTTCTTTAAGTCCAAGGTCAGATAGATTCAGAGTAAGTATTAACTCAACTATTAATAAAATTTAAGTTTTGCATCCAAAAGTAAAACATTTGCAAGACATGTTCTAGGAAATGACAACTGACAAGATCATTCATCACTGAGAGGCGACGACTTCACTCAACAAGCACACATGACAATTCTCTCTCTCATTTTACATCTTCAAGACATGTTTATGTCTGCTCGTGGGAAGTTCACGAATCGTGGACGACGCAAGTCTCCTCTTTAATCGACAGACACATGACAACTGATGTGCAGATACTACACGACCCAACCCCCTCCGACCGAATGTCAACAAACACAGCACCCTGATGGCATTCGTAATGGTAGTGATAAAGAAAAAAAATATTTTATTTGTATTTTTTTAGTCTCAATTTCGTTATTCCATGTAGTTCATTTTTAATATATACTTGTTTGTGGAATTCTAAATATATTATTAGCAGCACAAACAACAGCATTCATTAAAAATATACCGTTCATAGGAAAACCAGGTATTCATGAATTTCAAGGAGTAGCTAGCCTAATTTTTATCACGCTTCTTGCTGAACATAGTTTTACGTGATGGAATAGATAAACATGAATTTTAAAGAATGAAAATAAAAATAATCCAAATGAATAAACAAATAAATAAAATATTTTAATATGTGGAGGCCCCCAGATTGTGGAGGCCCCTGGACAGCTGCCCACTTTGCCCACTCCTGAATCCGGCCCTGTATCTATCTTTTTTTATTATTTATTGGGCAATCCCCTACATCCTTGTGTAAGGTGAAGCGCAGAAGCGTTTACAGGGCCCAAAAGGGAAGCATGCTAAGTTCATGCTTGCCTTCATTTCTCACGAGTTAAGAACGTAGAAGCCTGAAGAGTCAAGGGCATAGAAGCCTGAAGAGTCAATGGTTTATGTCATCAAGTTATTGGAAGCTCCAACAACTTGTCCCTGAATACGAATTCGCAACTTTCGACTTACACCAGGTACCCACTTTACTGCTAGGTGAACAGGGACTAATGGGGGCTAGGAAGTATGTCCAAACAACTTCCACCGGCCCGGGAATCGAACCTGTGACATCTCGCTTGTGAAGGCAAGAGTGGTACCACTGTACCACCAGCACCCCCCCTGTGTCTATGTGTGGTGACGAGAACCTCCTGCCCAACAGCCACAACTTCATCCTCGGTGTGACAAAGCATTAGAGGCTCGAATTTGCTGATACTTGACACGGTTTAAGAGACGTGTACTGTATATTCTGGAGACAAATTAGTCTTCAAGTTGGTCCTGTACTTTTTAATACTGTTGTGTACATCGTCCACCAACACTGTGACCCATATTTCACTTCAGTCTGGGTCATCTATATATTAACGCTGCTTTTCATCACTTATTATGTCGGAACCACAAAACCACCCCTTTAAAAAAAATAATAAAAATCCGAGAAAATACCAGAAAGTTCCAATCTCCTTCACCTAATGATATTCAAATACTAACATCCCAGATACTGCCAAGTGTCTAAGGAATTTTGTTCGCAAGTATACATTTCTAGATTTAGAAGACGGCCACTCTGAGAGGACAGGAGCTAGGAGTTCTGAGCTCATGGAACGAACTACCAAAGAATGTTATGACAGCACCAATTGTGTGAGCTCCTACAAGTGTTCAGGTTACATTCACGAGTTATGCATGTCTAATACTTTCACAATAACTTGATAAACAGAAAACAAACTAAACTCTCCATAAGATATTTGCCTTACCAATAACAGTCCCTCAGTTTGGTAATCAATCTTTTTATTTAATCATTGTTACTCTTATCTCCATATTGTTACGAGTTGGGGATTTAGAATATAGTTAAAAGTCTACCCAGATCCCAACAGGCAACAACAACAAAAAACAAAGACAATCGGACTATAAAAGGGTAGACAAAGGATGCGAGTTTTTGTTGTGTATAATAAAGTACCATAAATTCCTTAACAAAATATTCAGCTATCTATAAGTTACCCTTAACCATACTTAACCTAAACATTAACAGTATATACATATTTATACAACAAACAATAATTTGAAGCAAGTGGACGTGGGGGAGGCAATATAAGATTACAAATACTTAAGTGCGGAGCTGAGATGGCTGACGAGTAAGGCTGAGTATTGTAGAAGACGGTAGGTAGTCACTGTGCCGTAGGTTTCCAGGATAGGTGATCCTGTGGTCACTTCCCAGAGTGTAGTCTCCTCGAATTGGAGCTGACAAAGAAGACTTTGAGGAGGTGACGCAACAACCAGGATATGGAGAAGGGAAACCCCGGAGTGGTAACTAAGACGAGTCATACTCGTGTTTCGTCCCTAGATGGCGTTGCTCGTGGTGCTGGGTAGGTAGATCATGACAATTGGTGGCGGGGTTCGTAACAATATGCAGTGTGCTAATGAAACCCAATCCATCATCACCCATCCTTCCTATATACCATTCACACAACCCATCATGCTTTATCATGCTTCCCCTACTCTGTGCAATTTCCCTTTAGTCAAACTTAATCATCATTCACTGCCTTTATTCCTTGCATCTCTCGTTAATGGTATTCATTGCCTCCTCGACTCACTTTTTACACAGTTTCAATATAGTTTTACATATACATCCGTGTGTATATTAAGCCAAACTAAACTGAACACTGGTAACTGTTTGTGTCCTTCAGTCCTGTTTGAGTTCTCTGCCCCATCCATGAATGCTGAGACTCATGAACTTGTGAAATCAACACAATAAACGACCCAGTGCACCATCTATGGGCCTTTTAACATTTGTGTGATGTCTTGGATTCACAGGTTCATGATCCTCGGGTAGGAGAACTGACAGCACTCTTCCCTGACTGTAAACACCTCTCCCAGTCCACCATAGTGTTAGAATGCATAACTTGGCATCTAATCGTATTCCTGATATGTGTGTACTGTACTAAGTGATACTTAATGTGTGTACAGTACTTACTGATACTTAATGTGTGTAATAAGTGATACTTAATGTGTGTACTTGATGCAGGGAATGCCACAGAGATGTACTTCTATGGGACACAGTTGGTCATGAACCTTGGTGGGTGTGTGGTGGGCACCCTGGTGATGCGGAATATCTTGCTGCCAGTCCTCTATCCTCTCAACATCATCTCCATGTTTGAGGTGAGTCAGTGAGTTAGTCAGTTAGCCTGTAAGTCTATCAGTCAGTTAGTTAGTCAATCAGTCAGTCAGTCCACAAACATTCAATTAGACACTCATGTTCAAAGTCAGTTTGTCAGTCAGTGAATTCATCCCCTTAGTTTATAATTTTTATTATTATTTGAAACACAGTACAGTAATGTACTGTACTGAGATAGATACAATACTGTTGATACTATCACAATGCCGTGTCTCGCCCAAGCTTACCCCAAAACACACAGAGCTGGACAACACTGATATGCTGCAATGGCTAGCTTTAATAAGGGTAGACCTCCTGAAGCACTCTCTAGGTTGAAGAATAAAATCCTGGGCAAAAAGGACCAAGGCATACCTACCTTATTTACATATACCTGTATTTGCAAATAAAGGGTACAGGACATAATATAAAGGCACTTCCTACCTAATTGGGAGGTTAGCATAAGCACCACTGACTCCCAACCCTCGGACAGGAAGGACCAACCTTAGCTACATGGTGTGCTCAGAGACAGGAGAAAGAGAGGCCAAGACAGACATGTCTACAGACCAGAGCTGGAACAAGGAGAAGAGTGTCCTCCAGTGAGGGTGGTGTGGAACAGAGGAGGCAGCCAATGGGCCCTGACCCAAGCTGGTGGCCTAGTAAGCTCCACCCATCGACACATGCCAGATGAACATTAATTAATTTACAAGCTTACATAAGGTTTTAAATGAGAAGTCAGAATATTTATTTATAAGAGTGCAAGAGGCAATTAAATATGAGCAAAAATACATGGTATAACAATGGGAACATATAAATAATAATTAAATATCGGGCAACTCAAGTGGCCGCGCCCATGACCTAGGGATGAGGCCTGCATCTCTTTACTTCCGGTGGGTGATGAAATACCTTGGCTATCCTAGTACGTGGTCCTAAGCACAGTGGGCCATGCTGTATGATGCAATGACATAGGAAAAATCCCATAGTCTGAATAGGGAGGAAGCTGAGCTCATAGATAATACAGATATAAATACAAATATAAATACAGTAATAAGGACGTTCTCGTGACAATACAATTACCTCGTAATGTGCGGGAAAGATACAATACTGTACTGAAGATACAATAAGCGTTGTGTGTACTGTATGTAGGTGCGCCACGTATGAGACATACTGTTTAACTAATGGTACGGTCCTCCTCTCACACACAGTACATAGAGATGAGGTTCAAGTCACAGCTGCTACGGAAGATGGCGACGGCGATTCAGCTGCTGGCATCCATGGTGTATGTGGGAATTTGTCTCTACGGTCCGTCCCTCACCCTCTCCTCCGTCACCAGCCTCCCCATCTGGGCCTCCTGCCTGATCATGGGTTTCATCTGTTCCTTCTACATCACTATTGTAAGGCGACTCACCTTGACTTATAGTTCACTCCACCCTCACTCATCCTCATTTCCCAGCAAGATCTATATTGATTGCAGTAAGAATGTAGATGTATATTGCAAGTGGGTTATTGTGCTTTTATATTGTTATTTATTGATATAATATTATAGTTACGTACTGTATTGTTATTTACCAAGGAGCAGCTTCAGTCATATCACATCATAATGAGGTAAACAGGATGGAATTTGGCGGGAGTATCGGAAGCCTGCGGCTGTGTAGCAACAGGTGAAGATCAAGACCAGTAAATATTTAGGTTTAGTAAAAGTTAAATTTAACCTTGTAGGGACTTGACTCAATAGAGTGAAGGTACAGTAGAATTGAAGTACCTGTATAGTATTATTGATGTTGGTGATCACAACCCAGGTATCACAGTCTTAGGACATTAGAGTTGGTGAAATTAATTCATTGGGGGTTAAGGAGAGCTTTAAAATAAGTCAGCTTGAAGATATTATTGATAGTGTGATTGAATTTGTGGTAGCTTGCAGAACTACCGTATGTCAGTCTAACTGATATATAGGCAGTGTATTTTCTCTTAGTTTAACTTGAGCCCAGCACATGTACGTGGATGACACTGATGCATACAGATGTACAGGGCGGGGTGAAGGCGGTGGTGTACACAGATGTGGTGCAGACACTTATCATGTTCGGCGGGGTGTTGGTGGTGTCCGTTTTGTGCTGTGTACAACTAGGCGGTCCAGGCATTGTGTGGACCATCGCTGACCAAGGCGGACGACTTGAGTTCTTTAAGTAAGTTGTCACCCAATACTCTTGTCTTCTTGATTATTGTTTCACCTTCATATTCTATCTGCAACAGGACAAGGAATCTTCTATCTCTCATGCCTGTTAATTATATTTATTTATATTTTTTCTTTTAAATTTTTTCTCTCAATATTATCTTTGCCAAATTGACGATTCTCCCAGTCAATCTGGTATGAAAATTACCTCTAATATAGATAATGTGCCAGTAGTAATTAGTAGTACAGTAAGAGTAACGCCTTACTTTAAGTACTTATGGTTGTAGAGTTGGGTGTCACAAGTGAGCGTCTGTAAATGAGGTAGCTGAGACAGCGAGAAGTCACACACTAACACAAATTCTGGGATTGGGCAGCATGGACACTAGTCCTTTTGTGCGCCACACGTTCTGGTCGACACAAGTGCTGGGGATGTACGTGGTGCTCAGCATGGCCGGCCTCAACCAGCCGCAGTTCCAGAGGTTCGTCTCCGTCAAGAACCTGAAACAATCACAGTCGTAAGTCCAATTCATATTCTTCTTTCACACTTTCTGTAAGCTGTTGCCAATATGAGCTAAAGCTGTATTACCTTCTGGCTTTAACTAACTTCCACACTATTTCATGTGGACAAGACTCTGCATTTTGTTCATCGTGGGGCTGTTCATGCTGTGGGGAGTCTTCTACTTTTCTGGCCTGGTCGCCTATGCCGTCTACAGCGACTGTGATCCTCTCACCTCTGGAAGAATTGAAAAGCCTGACCAGATCATTCCCTACCTGGTGACGGACAAGTTGAGTCACCTGGTGGGTATGTCAGGTCTCTTTGTGGCGTCTGTGTATGGCGGCGTCCTCAGGTGTGTACCCTGCCGGCCCCTGTACACTCGCACACATTCTGTAATTAATGTAACACTGAAAAATAGTGAAAATTGACGTTTGTATTATCATTTGAAAATCTGTTAACTATTATCCATTAAAAATAAATCAGATTTTGTTAATATTCTCTACAGCTCATTGTCATCACATGGGAACTCCATAGCGTGTATCATCTGGGTGGACTTCCTGAAGGAGAGAGATTACTTCAAGAACATCAGTGACCGCAGTGCCACCAACTTCATCAGAGTCTTGTGTAATTTGTGTCTTTTACATTTATTTGGACTTAAATTTCAACATCCCTTACATTTATTGTCAAGAAATTTAGTTGGATATTTCCTTTGATTTTATGTTGAGAGGTTACGTAAATTCTCTTATTAACTTTGCTTTTACCAGGAAGTGAGAGGAATTTTGCTATAATTCACCATCAATGAAGACATTTATGTCAATACTACATAGAATATTAACATTAATTCGAACATATGATGAAGGTGAAGAGGATGAGGGGGGAGGCTGTAGGTGACAGTAATGTGTCATAATTCTAAAAGACTTGTACATTAATTGTTCCCTTAACTGGTAAATTTACAACGTATCTAAATTTCCTGCCTACAATAATTTACAATGACATCGAAACTGTACTGAGACTTTACCGTATCTACCAGCTTTCTCTGTCAGTTTTTGGGCTCATGTTAAAGTACAAACCTTGGAGAGCTTGGAGTGTGGCACTTGTGTCGAGTGTGTGAGGCACATCTGGTAATGTTTTTTGTTGACAGCCTCCATGACGGGTGTGGTGGCCATCTGTATGGGTTTGGTAGTGGGCAAGTTGGGCACCATCTTCCAAGTGGCATATAGCCTCCTCAGTGCCATTAAGGGCCCCCTCAGCGGCATCTTCCTGGTGGGCATCTGTGCTCCCTGGGTCAACACCAAGGTGACGTACAACTGCCTGAAACTGTACTGATGCTGTAACTGCCAATGTCCAGCTCCCATGATTGATTAGAACATATTATAAAGTTCAAACGTTCTACAACTCCTTCTTTCAGTACCTGTGATTTATATTGCCTGAACCAAGACATATTGTTGACATATGATGAAAATAATCAACCAGGTTTCTGTTCATGTTGTTTATATAGTTTATTGTTATATAAAGCCTTCACGTGATTCCTGTGACACACACGCACCAATAACCAGTACTCATTATGCAGGGGGCAACGGTAGGCTTTACACTGGCCTTCCTGTTCAACATGTGGATGGTGATCGGCAAATTCGTTACGGGTAGCAGCACTCCAAAGAAGCTGCCCCTCTCCACCCTGGGATGTCCAGAGAACCTCTTAAATGTCACCCTTTCCACCACCACCACCCCCACCACCATTACTACCAGTCCTGAGTGAGTAATATAATATTTTATGCATTAATGTTTGTTTCACTTATCATGTCATTCAAAATTTTTACACTGTTAGTTATTCATTAGTTAGTAACAGTTTTGCAGGTTAGTTTGTTACATTACATTAAATTGGGTTAGGTTTGGTTCGCTAAAGTTAGGTTAGATTATGTAAGGTTTAATTGTAACATGACTGGGAACCATTTGATCTGTACTAATAGTGTGTGTGTGGTTAGGTCTGGCAGCCACACCATGTATGACATCTCTTACTGCTACAACGGCATCACAGGAGTCCTCAACACCTTCATCATCAGCACTCTCGTCTCCCTCTGTACAGGTAACTCACTCATTGCTGTGTAGGTTACTCATTCAGTGCTGTACTGGTAACTCACTGCTGTACAGTTAACTTATTGCTGTACAGGTAACTCACTGCTTAGTTTCTTTATACATTCTGTAAAACAATACTGTGTTCTCTTGGTTCTTTCAAAGTGGAAGTTTGGTGAAGTTATAACAATTAGTGTCAGGCATATTACAGGACATCCAGCCATGGACAAGTATCTTATATTTTGTGACTGCAATAATTGTTTAAGTAACTAGTGTGTGGTGGCAGGTCCGATGGCGCCGCAGGACGTGGAGGCGAAGCTAGTGAACGCGACGGCTGCTCGACTGTATTTGTGGCTGTGGAGGCTGGTGAAAGGCCACCACCATACTGCTACTACCACCACACCAGACAAGGAGGCCCAAGCACACATGCTCTCTCCTCTCGATTTACAAACCCCAATGGAGTGATCTTCGGTGCTAAGTGTGACAATCAATGCAATGAAAAGTTGCAGCCTCGCACCTTGTCCTCATACAGTACATGACGTCTCGGCCTAGTACAGTACCTCTCAGTTTCGTAGTGCCTATTCTCTCACACACATACACATAAATTCACAGCCTACTGAGAAGAGTACAATATGTTTCTTCCACCTTTATTTGAATATACTGTATGGGCAAAATCTCTGTATTTTTATAAATTAAGTTTTCATATCCTTTACTTGCCATTACTTGTGTCTTTACAGCATTAATAAGTCTACTGTATATTCCTTATATTTTATCACTTATCTGTACAGCAAGTGATGTCTTATCATTGTTACGAGTTGGGGATTTTGAATATAGTTAAAAGTCTACCCAGATCCCAACAGGCAACAACAACAAAAAACAAAGACAATCGGACTATAAAAGGGTAGACAAAAGATGCGAGTTTTTGTTGTGTATAATAAAGTACCATAAATTCCTTAACCAAAATATTCAGCTTTCTATAATTTACCCTTAACCATACTTAACCTAAACATTAACAGTATATACATATTTATACAACATACAATAATTTGAAGCAAGTGGACGTGGGGGAGGCAATATAAGATTACAAATACTTAAGTGCGGAGCTGAGATGGCTGACGAGTAAGGCTGAGTATTGTAGAAGACGGTAGGTAGTCACTGTGCCGTAGGTTTCCAGGATAGGTGATCCTGTGGTCACTTCCCAGAGTGTACTGAACTCTCCTCGAACTCGAGCTGACAAAGAAGACTTGGAGGAGGTGACGCAACAACCAGGATATGGAGAAGGGAAACCCCGGAGTGGTAACTAAGACGAGTCATACTCGTGTCTCGTCCCTAGATGGCGCTGCTCGTGGTGCTGGGTAGGTAGATCAGGACAATAGATGGCGTGGTTCGTAGTGCGGGATAGGTAGATCATGACAATTGGTGGCGGGGTTCGTAACATCATATATTTACCGAGTATCTGAAATTATTTTACAATTAACTTCATCGATACTTACAGCTTCTCTTTGATTTTGTTAATAATATATAAGTATACTGTCACAGAGAACACCAACACCCTGGCTAACCTTTAACCCACTAGTAAATATGTTCTTTATTCGTGAGATGTGCAGGATACTTGTATAATGTCCTGCTCTGGTGCTTTAAATACAAGTGTTTACTGGCCAAGAGGTGTGTCAGGTCATTCCAACTTGTAAAAGTAATATCTCCGTTAGCCGGAATCCCTCTTAACCAGAACTCTCCGATAGCGAAATTTGTTCGAAAATTTCTGGAAAAATTTGGGTTTAGGAACTATTTTCCGAGGGGGTGTTCTGGAAAATTCAGATAAAATTTTCCCAGTGCCCCCAAAATTCCATTGTTGCAGCTAATGGAGATACTGTGTAACTAGTGTGTTTACATCTTTACCTTCTAGATTTCTACAATATTTTTATATAGTATAACAGGGTTACAAGTTCTACTAATGCTGTACGTGTCAGCACCATTTGTGTAGTAATATTATATATCAGACATAAGATTAATGATTACTGTATAATTTGTGTAATAAAACAAGTCAGGAAATTAGGATGTTCCCTTCAGTTACTCTTTATGTTATAGTATACAGTGTGCAGATATATCACTGCAGGTGCGTGTGATCCATGTACAGTATATGATGATAATCCCAAAGAAAAAAAAATAACAGGAACTTACGAGCATTTCACGTCTTCAGGAGTGAACAGAGACTGAGGTGGAGTTCATATATGGCCAATATATACATACAGAAAGAGAGAGTTGTCCACCCTACTCCCATCACTAAATGATCTTAATACTATAGTCTTTTCCAGTAATAAATTATTCAATTTATTCATGTCAACAGACTCTGTATACTTTAGCAGACTATATACTATAACATTCCTACTAATGATTGAATTACAAGGAAAATTTGAGGAAGCAATAGTTTAGTCAATGCAATGAATATTATCTTTCATATGAACACACAAAGCATTGGATTCCTGGTCTGTCCTAACACTTTATTTATGTTGTGTAAGTCTAACTACAAGATACTTCCCCGTCTGCCCCATGGAACCTTGTAAATACAACCACCTACAATATTTGGAAAATTCTTGATTAGCATTTTCTTTACAGCAGAAGAATTACTGAAAGGTATATTTAAATTCCATGCTTGATGATAAGGAACTTACAAGAATTTTTCACTGAAAGGCAAGACTAAAAGAGTTATTGCATCATGACACAAAGAATCTCTTTAGTTTTACCATTTAGTGAAAATAAAAACAGTCATCCTTATTTAGCAAAACGTCAGTTGTGTTCTGAGATTTTATCAGACATAATACCTGGTGAGTTTTGGTTGTTGGGAAGATTTGTGGTTACTGTAGAGTTTTGGTTACTGGGGTTCACAGCAGGGGGCGGGCGACGTGGGCGTGAGGTTGTAGTTGGCAGGGGACTTGCAGCGTCTGACCGCCGTAGAATATCCACTTGTTAATGACTGTAAAAACATCTATGTCACACTCAAGGCAATTATTACAAATTAACATTATCTTCTTTCAGATTATCGAGAGTTTGGTTGGAATATGCGATTAAAAAGTTAAGCAGAGCAAAACACTATCATTAATGTTGATGCAGGACGAGAGGTGTTATGTGAGGTAAATCATTTTAGTTTTCACCGATTTTCATAATAGTTGTATGGTGTTTATACACCATACATTAAAGAAACATGAACACACACCAAAGCCCAGAATTGTTGGAATATGTTTAGACCTGCCTCAAGTTAAGCGTATATAAGCATTGCCCATAGACACACATTTTTAGCTAAATTTGAGACATAAATAAGGCATGTGCAAAGTTAAAAAGCTTTTCAGGAGTACTGTACTTGGAGCATGCAACAGGTGTGAATCATTCGGATCCTGATTTCAGTGTTGACAGAGTGGTATGTGCAGGAGCTGCTGTTGTCTCATGTTGAGAGTCTTATTTGAAAGTGAGAAAGTGTTTGATATAAAGAAAATATAAGATTAATTAGAGAGAGGGTAGTAAGTCTCACCCCATTTGTCACCGAGGAGTACTGGACAAGCGCCATGTTCCAGCAGGGGGTCCCAGACACCTGCATGGTCCACATTAAACCACACCAGAGCAGAACCTCGTTGGGGCGCTACACCCACACCAAGCCAAGGGAATACCGTCCTCCCTCCTGTACATGTGTTAACTATAATAAACACCATAATTCAGCCGATGAAACACACAGTGAGAAGTTTGGTCCAAATTCAACACATATCGTAACTTGACCGACCATACAAACTATATGCCATACTGAACAAATACTAAAACTTGAGACCAATAAATAAAATGGAGTTGACATACTAAGTTACTATGCTAGGTGTTGTATATAGATAGATAGACAGATACTCAGTATATAGATATTTTCTTTGTTCAATATTGTTTAACTACCCTTTGAAATAACCCCCTGATCTTTGTACAGTACAGTATATTTGTTTTACATTTATTAAATTTTTTTATTAAATATTTCACCGATTCTTTTATGTGTGTATTGACGTAACGAGTGAGATCGTTCATAGGAATATTTTAAGTATTAGTTAATTGTATTTAATTTTCTGTCTCTTACACTTATTTTTAATGTCTTACCTTGTGGTACATCAGTGAGGTATATGAGGAAGGTGGCAAAGCGGTGGAACTGGAGGTAGGGGGTGTTGGAGAGGGCGTCGTGGTGCACCGAATAGTGGCCTCCAACACCGTAGTTCACCACCTACACACACACACACACACAAATACTTCATTGTATATACAGTATTGACCCTGCTAATACTTTCTTATTATCATATATCATCAGGAATTATTATCGCCATGTTTTAGTAAAAAATATACTACACCCCCTGTGCTAATGTGCATTTAGTGCTTCCCCAGAGTTTGTTGGGTTAAGAGAAAGCTAATTGTCATAGATACACTGAATATTATTGTTTCTGGTTGCCATTCTCTATTTATATGATTTCATTAGTTAGTTTTGTAAATTGCCCTTCATAACACAGCAATGCTCAATCTATTCCCGCCTCCTTCATTCATTTTATGTTATCTTAATACCTACTAAAATCCCAGTAAGTGTTAATGGAGCCCTGCCTACCGGAACTACATTATATAAGCAAAAATGTGACATCCGGGTTGAACATTCCATAAAAAGGAAAATCTCTTTCACTGCCTCTTAACGCACGCACACACACACACACAGACAGAGTGTCTCAGGGTCCCACCTGGTATGCCTCAGCTCCGTAATGTTGTTGGGCGTTGACCCCTAACAGGTGCTCGATGCGCTGAGTGAGGCGGGGTAGTTGAGGGCTGTCATGTTCCCACAGCCACGCCCTGAGGGAAAGAAGTGGAGAGACTGAGTGAGGATGGGTATGTGAAGATTTGTTATTCTCCTATAATTATGTCTTAAAGGAGGGGCCGAGTGAGATGAGACATTCCGCAATCTGGGTATTTTCGGAACAGCGCGACGCCTTGTGAGACTTCCTAAAACATGGGGCAATACTGAAATGGGATGAATGAAGCAGTAATCTTCTCTTGTATGGCTGTGCGTCTTGTAAGTTATGTCTCAATGCGATTCCTAAAAAGCCCAAGATTCCGATACTGTACACAACTCTATGGCCACATGACAGCTTTACGTGGTTGTGAAGGATAATGGTTGACATACTCACGTAGAGCTGGTGCGTTGTGGCCCCACCCGGGACCTGCCATTGTGCTGTACCGTGCTTGACTCTCCCAGGAAGACTGCCGCAGTCTTCTGCACCTCCTGTGCCTCCTGTACGCCCACCACGCCCATCAGGGTCACTACATAAGGCCGCAAATAATGAACCTCCATCTTCAGCGGCCCGATCACATACAATGGCGACCCGTTGCTCACGTACCGACAGTACAGACGCGATGTTACGTTCATTGGCTGTAGGGCAGATAATGTTTCTTACTGTATGTAAGAGAGTGACTGGTGATACAGCAACTTACAATGTCAGCTGTTATGACTGGTGATGGTGACTTGTGATGGCAATGGTGATAGCAACATAACCAACCTACAGCTCTGTCGTGAATGGTGCTGATGGTGACAGTGAATAACAGTGGTGACAGTCAATGTGGTGATGGCTGGTTACTCAATGTATAATAAGAAGCAACAAAGTGAGGAGAAGGACAACACAATGAGGAGGAGGAGGAGGACAACACAGTGAAGGGGAGGAGGAGTTACCCTAAGGTCGTTCCCTTGACACAGCTGCACATATTGGTCGAGGCCCTGAAGGCTAGACCCCACCTGGCCCAACATCGTCTCCTGCTGGCGGTGGTACTTCTTCTTCCTGGCCAGGGTCTTGTCCAGGGGCAGGGCATGTGTACTGTGGCTCTTGCTGCGGTGACCCTTACGCTCCAGGACTTGGTCGTGCTGTCCAGGAGGATACTACGAGTTGAGTGCCTGGGTGATGCCATATTTAAAACCCATATACAAAAAGAGCAGTGAATATATATACAGTACACTATAATATAAAGTTGTATGACGATTTTACTGGATAAACTGGTATATACTCTTACCATCTTGGTGGCCTTGGTGAGTTTCTTGGTAAGGCTGTGGAGGTCAGTGTAGTGGTGACTGATGTTGTTGTCGTGCCAGTGGTCAAGGGCCGCCAGCAAGAAGTCGACACCTGAGTTCCAGATGTTAACAGCGGTGGCGTGGGAGCCGATGTGGTGCAGATCCCACACTATCGAGGGAGGAGGTGTCAGTGACACTACCTCACCTGCTTAACTTGCTTTTCATCACATTTTATGAATTAAAAAAGTATATATACAAGTGGAAATATTGCAAGATGTCAAATGTACATTAACATTATATTTAAACACAATGGTACTACGGGTGCAAGTACTGTACTATTCATACAAGTGCAGGTACAGTGAATTCAAATTAATAAAGTGGCATATACATTATTCTGGGCAACTTTCAAAATGTTAAAACAATGATTATTTCTGACAGACTGACTGACTAAAATACTGACTGCCAAAGCTGCTAGTGTAGAAGCTGTAGAGGACAATTGTGGGGGGGGGGGGTAGATCAAGTTGTGGAGGCAGCAGGTGTGTAAGGGAAGTATACCTGTGACGGGGAGGCCGGCGGAGATGGAACTTGGGTCGAGGTGGGAGGATAGGGAGGCGTGGGTGAGGGCGGTAAGGTTGAGGGTGTAAAAATCGTGTAGTCTGGCGAGGCCGCTCATCACGGAGGCAAGGTCCTCCTCAGTGGTGATACCGCTGCTACCCCGCCGTCTTAACATCCACTCTGTAGGGAAGATCCCGTAGAGCAGGAGTTCTCAACCAGGGGGGAATTCCCCCCAGGGGGGGAAAACTGATTCGGGAGCAAGAGATATGTTCGATGAGAAATCAATCACAGAATTTTGGCCCTTGATGTGCGATTCCTACCCAAAAGTGGCAGAAAGAGCTATCCGTGCATTGCTTCTGTTTGTGTCGACATATCTTTGTGAGTCAGGCTTTTCAACTCTGATGCAAATTAAAACGAAGCAACGTAGTAGATTAGAGGTAGAAAATGACCTGCGTTGTGCCCTTTCAAGCACTCCTCCGCGTATCCCAGAATTGGCGAAGAAAAAACAATCACAGGTTTCTCATTGACTGTAATCTTCATCTGAATAAAATTAATTTCAAATTTACAATATCCTGGTATTCTATTGAACTTTTTGTTGATTGCATTATGCTTCAGTTTGGTCTGTTAAGTAATTCATTATAAATATAAAAAAACTATTTTACTTTTATTCAAGTTTTATAAATCCATCAACATTTTCAATTGGCATTTAATTTGTAAAACTCCACTATAAAAATAATCCATGTAAAATTGTAAATGTACAGTATATGTACTAATATGGAAAAAATAAGGATTTTCAGGATTATATGCATATTATTTGGAATGCACTTTTTGAGGCAGACAATCTTGGAAAGGAGGGGGGAATGGCATTCTGACATATGGTGAAAGGGGTGCATGGGGCAAACAAGGTTGAGAACCACTGCCGTAGAGAATCCATGTATAAACTAGGCTGACCCAACCTACTGTAATTTAGACATTCTGTTATATGATAATATGCTACAACTTAATTATTTTTTTTTATCATACATGAGCTACCGGTAATTCCCATTAAGATATATAAAGACACAGTTTTTCGGACAAAATCCAAGCCAGACAGGGCATGAGGACTTTATGAAACTTGATGAGGTTAAAGTTTATTCATTATCATAGTGGCAGGATTGTGTCCGGTGGGAAAGTGACTGATACTCTATAGTCTGGGGGTACTTTTTTCCATACGACTCACCGATGTCTTGTGAGAGGCCGTGTAGGTGGTTCATGGCCTCCTCCAGGCGCGGCCACCCAAGGGTGAGGTGCTTGGTGAGGGCGTAAGCGTGAACAGGGTGGTGGGTGAAGCCTTCCTTCCCCGCTCCTGCCGCCACCAATGCATCCCACGAAGACAGATACCTGGGGACGACCATACATCACAGACACAATTTAATAAAAATGGTCATTGATATTCCTGCAATATGCCCATGAAGGAGGAGTGACAAATATGTGATATGTTGTAAATCATCCTGGCTTTAATTGGCATGAATTCGTAGTAACTACTTTTCTTGGATAGCTTTCTGTTGTATCAAGACGCTCAACGGGGAAAAATATTGTTTAAAAAACTTCATTACATAAAACTTGCCTATCAATATACATATTTATTAAGAAAGGAAGAAAGACAGTTTATGTAGCAATAGGTATATCTGGTGAAGTTCGCTTCGACAAAAACACCGCCAAGAACGAGCAAACAACAGTGCTCGGTGCCCCCTCCACTGCGTAAAGGGAAATGACTAGATGGGTCTCCTAACGGGTTATTCTACAGTAGAGCGAGAGAGTGTGGCTGCACAGAGGGGCGAGGTTTGATGTACAGTATATAGTAATATTGACTCACCTGGCGACGACTTGTTGTGTCCTCTCCAACACCTCATTCATCGCCCGTAGTCTCTCTGCTGCGCCTTTTTCCTCCTCCAACAGCTGTGTCAGGTGGTAGGTGGAGGTGCCTAGAGGAGGGGTAAGTGGCACCTGCCGCACCTTGTTCAGCGTCTCCTCCGTTAGATCAGATACAGGACGCAGGGTCCTGACGGTGGCAAAACTGTCACCCACGGCCACCGCTACCACAGTTACCAAACACCAAATAAACACCATATTGACACCACCTGCGGTTTAGACTATATTCCAATAAAATAAAAACTCAAAATTACATATGACGAAGTTTTTCCCCAACAATTTATTTTCATTATTTACTTATTCATTGTCATGTAAAGGAGAGCAGCGACAGTAACGTTTGAGTTGTCAGTTTTCGCAGGTCACACAAGTCTTTATTAAGTATGTGGACAAGATACTGCAAGTTACTGTCCAAAATTTCCAATATCAGATCTGTGGTTTTTCTCAAACACACATAGTTGTTGCTCTGAAATAGGTGCGCAAATTACTATAACAGTCATATACTATACGAAATTGGGTAAAAAGATAGAGAAGTCAAGTTGTTCTTTGTTCCCTCTATTTCTGACTCAGTAGTTCACAACTAGCATCAACACACACTACAAAATACAGGCATTTAATTATCTATGGCTACGACGTATTTACTTGTCCCCCCTCATCAGTCTTTTAAGCACAAGCGTTCTATAAAAACATTGTCGATAGTATTTTCAATTATACCCAAAGATCTGTTTAAGCAATACTAATTATATATATATATATATATATATATATATATATATATATATATATATATATATATATATATATTATTTAGTACATATAACACGCGGACTTTGAACATATAATCAACAACCTCACCAGGCAGAACTCAACACTCGACCTACTGTGTGGGACCAGGGAATGTTGCCGAATATATATATATATATATATATTTTCATGTCTGAAAAGGCAACACAGTTATTTAGGTTATTGCTTATCATCATCTACAGTTCTACACTATAGTCTACACTATATCAACACTTCCCGACCACTTAACGCGACTTGTTTTATCACACAACTGAGCAGCGGCAGCTGGAATGAGTTCCATGGGGTCCTACCGCACACTACACCAACTGACCAGCAACTGAGGTGTGAAGCAGATGGCGTCATATGGTGCATATATACACAGAAACAACAACAAAAAACCACACACACACACACAAGTAATCTACAACCGGCCAGCAAAAGACTCACTGAGGTCTTACCGTCAAACAGTAGTGTCACTGACCGCGGGCAGAATCCGACATAAGTCTGCACCAGTTTACATGGGCCCTTGATGTTTGTGTTTGCAATGTCCCATGAAGAAGTTTATACATCCAAATATCAGTACTTGCTTCGGCAGTACATATACTAGTATGTACTCCATCATTTTCTACACCTAACGTATTCTTCACCAAGTTTACTTGCAAGTAAAAATCTAGAAGATGTATCTACAGTACAGCGTTTAGGCAAAATAATAGCGAACATAGTTTTGTGTAAATGATGGAGTAAATTCATGTTTTGGTTGTGTTGTGTATAAAGGGACTTTGTAAGCACACATTAAATTAAGAACAAGAAAACTTAAGTAATTTTTCTAGACACTTTTATCCGGAAATCTAGAGTTAAGATTTTTTCATTCCATTGTTTCAGTTTAATCTTAAAATGATAACCTATACAAAAACACTACACTGTCATAAACATATTGTAGGATAGTAAAAGCATTCGTTTATTCATCCAAACAGGAATTAGCAAGGAAATATGAAAATAAGGAACAACTGCGGCAATTGTGAGGCGAGGTAACGGACTGGCGGTATGGCGGTGAGGGACCTCTTCCGGTAAGCGAGCAGCAGGTCGGCTCGTTAGCAGCTTACTGTAGGTGGTCGGTCACGTCTCTGTTACGCACTGTTGGCAAGTACTGGGCTCCTGAATATATCTGAACCTGCTCCAGTGTTGGTCAAGTCTGGTCTTCAAAGAGCTCACACTCGGTGCAGTCACAACACTTTCTGGCAGGTTGTTCCAAGCAGTACCGGATTTAGACCTGTGGAGGACCCCCCCCTCATTATAACTACCCAAGAGGGTGGGGTGGTGAGTGAAGCGAGCCTAAACATCTGAGAGTTCCGGGGGGCGCTGGGAAAATTTTGAAATTTGAACGCTTCTTTGGAGAATTTTGAAGCCATATGCAGTTATATTGAGGAAATTAGAACATTGAGAAATTTTTAATTAACTGTATATTTATTGATAGTGTACAAATTCCCAACACACACACAAGTGAGACATGACTGGAGTCATTCATGTGGTTTCAAGTCGGTTCATAGGAAAACCAGGTATTCGTGAATTTCAAGGAGTAGCTAGCCTAATTTCTATCACGCTTCTTGCTGAACATAGTTTTACGTGATGGAATAGATAAACATAAATTTTAAAGAATGAAAATAAAAATAATCCAAATGAATAAACAAATAAATAAAATATTGTCATATGTGGAGGCCCCTGGGCAGCTGCCCACTTTGCCCACTTCTGAATCCGGCCCTGGTTCCAAGAGTTCCGAACTTTCACTTTGAAAATGTTTGCCTTTACAGTTTTCTGGATTTACGGCTTCTTCAACCTTGAGCTGTGACCCCTTGTCGGGCGAGCGTCTGCCAGCTCCAGGTATGGACACTCGACTGAGTAGTGGCCTTTGAGATATTTATACACCTCAATTAGGTCACCCCTTGCCCGTCTGTAGTACAAGGTAGGCCATTGCAGGTGCTCTAATCTCTCTGGGTAGCTGAGGTGCCGAAGTGCAGGCACCAATCTGGTTGCCCTCCTTTGTGCATTTTCAATCAAATGACAGTCTCTAGCATATTTCGGGGACCAGACGGGGACAGTACTCCAGGCGGGGAAGCACTTCACTCTTGAAAATCGTTATGAGGGACTGACCAATTAGATATCTGAACGACCACCTTGTAAGACCTGGTAATTAAGTTGCTTCATTCACCTTTTTCTTACAATGGCCCGAGAGCTTCAGTTCATTGTCAACATACACACCCAGGTCCTTTTTGCATTCACTCACAATTAATGCAGTTTCTTCATCCCGTTAGGACATATGATATGCCTCCTTACCGTTGGTACGCCCCAGGTACATCCTTTTCCACTTCGTGACATTGAATCTTAGCAGCAATTTCCTCGACCATTCTTGAAGCTCACAGAGACTTTCAGCAGCCCTTCACAGTATGCTTGGTTCTTAATTTCGCTAAATAACTTAGCATCGTCCACAAATATTTGCATGGAGGGGTGTATAGCTTCTGGCTGTCATTTATGAAACGAACAAACAACAACGGGCCCAATACACTGTCCTGTGATACCCCGCTTGTCACGGGTACACTTGACGATTTTGTACCATTAATCACCACACACTGCTTGCGATCGTGGAGAAAGTCTCCAATCCATGCAAGGTCACTTCCCCGAATCCCGAACCCTTTCAGTTTAATTTCCAGCCTTTCTTGGGGTACGCTGCCGAAAACCTTGGCAAAATCTAAGTATATATTGTCAATATTACCATTAATTCTGTATTAACAATTTCCTAAAGTCATAATTTCAGCATACAAGTATTCATAACTTAAGTTTATTTGAGGGGTAAATATATTAGAGGCAAAAATACCCATAATAAAACTTGCTCCCGTAATTATTCAGACCGTGACCGTCCGCTGTTTTTCATTGACACTGGGTTTAAATATACCCAATGTGGTCAAGTTTCACTCATGCACCGATCTTTGTTTGGATATTAAAAAATATGTTTTTCCAATGTAATTTTAGGAGTTTCGAACGAATTTGATATTCATTTCAGCTAGAAATCGATAATTTTTTAGATCCCCCAATCCATTATTTAACGAAATTGTTTTACTTTTTTTGTCAGTAAATCACATAAATAAAATACCAACCAACCAACAAAACCTAACCAAACCTAACCTGACCTAACACTATTTTTCTGATGAAACGAAACTCTGCAATTGACGTAAAATAATCTCTTATCACAATGTCGGCACAGCTCTCCACCTGTTAATCCGTATCTGGTTATTCTGGTACTGAAAAATCAAATTTCCGCTCCCGGCACCCACATATTGTTCATTGGATAAGACAAGGGGGTAAGGAGCACTGCATGATGGATGGTCAGACCTTCTCTGTGAGACGTAAACAACAAATGGCGACACTTGTGACTGACTAAATCTAATAATATTGAAAAATGAATATCTCGGTCATCCTTAATTTCCGGCGTAAATATCATAGAAGAAAAAGGTCTTAGAATTGTTTAAACATTACGAAAAACATTAATTACAGCGAGAGAAAGACCGGTGCATGACTGAAATTTCACCCCCAATTTTCACTGACTATATTACGGACTACTGTATTATATTGGGGAAAAATATTTAAATGGGTGAAATTGTAGTGGATTTCTCCCCTACAAACGCTGTTTGTCGCTGAGTAGCCGACCCCACGAATTCCACAGTGTGTGCCTCGTGGTCTAGGTCAACCAGCGCCGCCCACGGAGCGGGGGTCAACTACTAAGCCACGCCAACCCCCGCTATTTAAAACCTGACCTCGTGGTGATCGCTCTCTTTCTACCTACACCAACCAGCCAGCAACACCACCACCACCTCCTCCTCCTCCGCCTGCCTGGCGGTCCTCGCTCCCGCCGGCGAGCATGGCGACCCACAAGCTGTCCTACTCTGAGCACCCTCACCAACCAGCTCTCTCTACATCACGGTTGTAACCATGCTGCCTTCCCAGCACCAAGCTGCATTGTACATCCAATACAACACGTATACAGAGTACATTGTGAGTTTCATTTCTCCATCCCATCCTGAGTGAGAACCAAACATCACATACCCCACAAAATCATGTGCTAACCTAACCAAACCTAAAAAAAACCTGACCTGACCTGACCTAACATATATCTTAACTCGCCTATATCTAAAAAACTAAGCATTTGCACAAGAAAATGAATAAAAGGAAAAGCATAATCAGTGTACAAAACTGTGGTATAACTGCAGTTTCGGATAATATGGATTTCCAGTTCAGCAATGTGTTTTTCCGATTGTTTAGACAATTTTAAGACACTTCTTTTAAAACGTATCCCTCGCAAATTACTTAAATATACCGGAATCATCATAGACGAAAAATCTTAAAATTGTCTAAACAATCGGAAAAACACATTTCTCAACTACTAGGAGTATTGTCCAAAAATGCAATTTACCAAAATAACCTTAAAAAAAAAACCTTCATAATTTCTTAACCACTAGCGGTCACCAGCCGTATATTTGCCTTTGCTGCTTTATTAACTTTAGAAAATTAGTTACTAGAATTAAAAGAAGCACATACCTGCATCTGCTGTTTCCCATACACAGGTAACGTGGTACTTTAGTTGTGTATAATTTACAACTGGCAAAGGTGACAGCATCGTTACCAGGTAAATTTGTTTATTTACTAATATTCTGGCTTCTGAGCGTCCGCAGTTCCTTTACCCTCTATTAATAAGGCTAAAACGTGATTTAATGGCCTATATATTATGCTAGACTATTTATAATAATCTAGAATTTATTTAATCTAGTCATAGTCATATATAAATATATATACAGCTGTGCTAAAAACGTTTATGCATTTGGGAACATCTTTCTTTATCTATCCTCGACATTGGGCTCGAATCCAGGTATTACAGAGTGGTATGCACACTCAACTACAGTATACCAGTTAAAATGTAATTTTAGGAATAATATGCTGAATTATGTCCAAGAACCTCAAAAATTATTAAATTGGTCTTGACAATCGTTTCAGAATCATTAATAGAACAATCAGCTGTTACTGCATAAATCCTTGATATAATTCCAAAGATCTTCAAAAGTGCTTCCCCATCTGGAGTACTGTCTCACAGTTTTCTGGACCTGCGGTTTCTTCAGTCTTGAGCTGTGACCCCTTGAGATGCATATACACCTCAAGGTCACCCCTTGCCCGTCTGTAGTATAAGCTAGGCAAGTTCAGGCGCTCCAATCTCTCAGGGTAGCTAAGGTGCCGAAGTGCACGGACAGTGTAGCGTACTGTATGTGGCCAGTTGTCAATTCTCTTAGTATGGGCACACAAACGTACGTACATGTAGATATCTCACACTCAGGAATGAGGAAGGATAGAAACTCACAATGCACTTTCTGTATATATATTGTTGTACAGCGCAGAGCTTAGGAGTGACTACTAGGTGAGGAGAAACTTGCTCAGAGGTCCTGTAGGGCGAGGAGGTTTCCGAGGCAGCTGAGTGGTGAGGAGCTTGAGAGATGTTGCTGGTCCAGTAGCCGAGTGTAGAATGGTCTCCCTGGCCAGGCATGGCAGTATTTATACAATTTATGAGGATCAGGATTTGGGGTGAGCATAGCGAGAGGGCCAATCACAGCGGCTTAAGCCTAAGGTGTGAAACGCTCTGATCCTGAACCGGAGGTTGAAGGTCGAGACTAGGTCGGCGATCGTACCCCTACGTCCTCTGCATAAACCTTGTCTCTCGGTGTAGTTGGCTGTACGCTGATTGGCTGGTAGCCGCGCGGCCGGAGCTCAGTTGGGAGTTGTAGGGGAGAGGAGCCACTACAACAGTCCCTAGCATATCTCAGGGACCAGACGGGATGACAGTACTCCAGATAAGGAAGCACTTCACTCTTGAAGATCGTTACGAGGGATCGTCTCGATATCTGAACGACCTTCTTAAGACCCAATAATTTATTTGCCTGATTTACCTCCTTCTCGAAATGGCCTGAGAACTTCAGCTCATTGTCAACATACACATATCTAGGTCCTTCTCACATTTAGTCTCAAATAGTGCAGTTTCTTCCTCCCATTGGGACATATGATACGCCTCCTTACCATTGGTATGCCTCAGGTGCATCCTCTTACACTTCGTGACATTGAATCTTAACAGCCATTTCTTCGACCATTCTTGGAGCTCACAGAGGTCCTTCTGCAGCTCTTCACAGTCCGCTTGGTTCTTGATTTCCCGAAATAACTTGGCGTCATCGGCAAACATTTGTATGGAGGAGTGTACAACATCAGGCATGTCATTTATGAAACAAACAAACAACAGCGGGTCCAATACACTGCTCTGTGGTACCCCGCTTGTGACTGGTATGGATGATGATTTCGTGCCATTAATCACCACACACTGCTTGCGGTCATGTAGAAAGTCTTCTATCCACGCTAGAACAGTTCCCCGAATTCCGTACCCTTCCAGTTTGATTTTCAGCCTTTCGTGGGGTACACTGTCGAAAGCCTTGGCAAAATCTAGCTAAATTTTGTCAATATTACCACCCCATTCCAGAATATGGTCCAAATATCCAATACCTTGAGCAATTGTGTTAAGTAGGAGCGCCCTGGCATAAAACCGTGTTGGCAATCTTTTACAAGGTTGTTTCATAGTAAATGTTCATCGCGGCATCTCTGTTAATACTCTTAAGTAATTTACATATTATACTGGTCAGGCTCACCGGTCTATAGTTGTTTGTGGAGTGACGATCGCCCTTCTTGAAGATAGAACTCGCATAAGCCACTTTCCATTCACCGAAGACCTTTTGTTCATCCAGGCATTTACAAAACAGGATCTTCAGGGGCTCGGCAAGCTCGTTGCACAACTCTCTTTAGCACTCTAGGATGCACCATGTCAGGTCCAGGACTCTTATGGACCTATAGACTGGACAGTTTATTTCTAATACCCTCCTCTGTGAACACAATGTGGATCAGTGCTGTGTCGAACCGTCTGTACAAATGTATTCCTTTTCTGCAAGTGACTCAAGATTTAGTGGATTACTCTACCAAATTGTGTCTTAATATTGAAACTACATTGTGAGAGACAGGATGACTGATGGAGTTAGGATAAGATGGCCAAGTGGGATTTGGACGACAAAATAGCTACATGGGGTTGGTGCACAGGTTGGCTGGATATGATTGGGAAGACAAAGTAGCTTTACCCTTTTCACGCTAACCTGACCCATAAGCCATGCCCCTTGCCTATAGCTACAAATAGCCGATTGGTTCCCCCGGGCATTTTACCTCCCCCCAGACTGTGCGTGTAAAATTGCGTATTTATATTGACCTTTTATGAGAATAATTTAAAATTTTCTAACATCCTCTTTGAAGTGCTAATGCTTGGAAATCATTTGCATTTTGATAGTTCAGATATTTAACATGTTAGATAATAACAGGTCTGCTCACCAATTGTGAACACATTTAGTTTGAATTTTCTATAAACCAATCGGCTATTAGTACAGGAGTATAGAAGAGGGGCGTGGCTTATGGTCCAGGTTCTTCTTGTTAGGTTTGTTGTGGTGTCATATCTTGGATGGCAACAGCAGTTTGAACAGCATCTTTCCAACTGTGACGTCTGTTTGATAAGTTAGATCATGCTCTAATAATGATGAAGGAAGAAGGATAAAAAAACAATCAGATTTTTAAAAGTTGGAAATTATTATTAATACAGTATTTTGCTTTACAAGAGACCTCGTCATTATTATCAAGATTTAATACTGTTTAGCAAATAATTCCAACATTTATGACTAACAACAGTGCAGGAGGAGACGCTGTAGTTACCATGCCCAAACATGAGGACTACTGCAATATCTGGAGGGAAAAAAAAAGGTGGATACAGTATATCACATGTTAAGTGGCCTCCAGGTGTCATGTTACCCCCTACCGTGCTCGCCTTGCTTTTGTGGCACCGTGGCACTACTCCTGTGGCAAGGTAACTAAATGATAAGGTGTTTACAAGTATTTGTTTTTGCCAGTACAGTAATTAGTGTTAATTAATGAGCTTTCAAATAATATAATACATGCAGAATATTTAAAGCTTCAATTATGCCGTGCCCGTAAGTTTTAAATCACTCATATATACAGTGGTCCCTCGGTTAATGAACACAATTCGTTCCAGAAGGTCGTTCGTTAACCGAAAATTTCGTTAGCCAAAACCATTGTTTCAATGGGATTTTGGGTAATTGGTTCCAGCTCACCGAAAATTACATACAAACGAAAAATAAATGCAGTAAAGTACACTTACTTTGAGGTGTGCATGTAGAAGGCTCCTGGTTGATGATGATGGGAATTAGAAGTGGGGGTGGAGGAGAAGGGAGAAGAGAAGGCAGTGGGGTGGAAGAGAAATCACCCAGGCTTCATGCCGCCACTATTTTCTTTAAATTAACACTGCACTGCACTATATTGTCAATAGTATATGTAAAATAAATTTCAAAATGACCAATAATTGTAATGTAAAAACGTAAAAATAGTTTATGTTCAATAGTGTCTCAAGCAAGAAGCTTCTTCCACTGAGCAGAGGCACAAACTGACACCATTCTGGGTGAGTCAAGTGGTTGTTTGGTGAGCTAAAAACTAGTTCCCTGTACTTCAATTATGTTAAATAATTGTTAAAAAGACTAAAAATTTTAATATAAGACTTGGAAAATTATTGAATAGTACAACCTTCTTGATATTTACTCAAATGGTAACGAATTTAAGTCCTAAAACCGATTACTGTATTGGCGGACTAATACTACAGCTGGTGAGCAGGCGAAAGCAGGGGAAAACATGTTGACACGATTTCGTTAACCGAATTGAATATTCTTATGGAAGGTAATTCGTTAACCGAAATTTCGTTAACCTAGGGATCACTGTACTGTACATTTTCTCAGTAATATGCACAATCTTTATGCTTTAAACACGTTAGTATTCAGTTCCAGAGAAAAGGCATTTTATCGTGAAAATGATGACTGGCCTATTACCCATGGTTTTGGCATTGTGACACTAATGCATAACAGATGAGAAAAAGGTTTGTTTTGTGATAAACATTGCATCCAACAATTATTTCTCTAATCCCACTACACCTAAATACTGGAATACTCTACTGTCCTATATTATATATTCAAGGACAGTAATATCTCCATTAGCCGGAATCCTTCAAACCCGGAACTCTCCAATAGCTGGAAATGAAATTTTCTCAGAAAATTGTTCCCAAAGCCAGAATTTTCCGGAAAATTACAGCTTTGGGAACGATTTTCCGAGGGGCATATTTTCCGGAAAATCCTAAGAAAATATTCCTGATACCCGGAAAATTCCGGGGATGGGGGTAGTTTTTCCGGGTTCGAAAGATCATGTAATGAGCAATTTCTGGAACTTCCGAGAACATTTTTCCATTACCCAGAAAATTTTGGAAAATTCCGGGGATGAGGGATTTTTTCCGGGTTCGAGAGTCGTCTCGTTACCTGGAAATCTCTCATTCCCGGAAGTGCTCTGCACCAATTGTACCGGCTAACGGGGATATCATTGAACTATATTGTATTAACTATAAAACCTGAAATGCTTAATGCTGTCTATAAAATGGGCAAATTTAATAATATAGACATGATTTTAGATGCGGCACTCAGCGTCAGAAGGGGGTGTAGCGACACCCCGGCAAAAATGCGTTTTTTGATGGATATAACTATTTTCACCTTTCCTCTACATGTTGGCATTGGATGTAACCCTCTAGCTCAGGGGTGGGCAAAGTACGGCCCGCAGGCCACATTTGGCCCGCCAAATTATTTCTGTGGCTCGCCACTGCATTTGGCAATCGGAAAAAAAAATCTTATTAATTACAGAAAGGACAATTTTGGAAGTTGGGTGGACATAGCAGCAATACTGGCTCGTTACTGTTAACCTGTGGCCCGCGAAGTGTGCCACCATTCATGAAGTGGCCCTCCAAAAATAATTGCCCACCCCTGCTCTAGCTAGAATAGAAATATGGTAGAAAGTCCTACAAAAATAAAGGTGATTTCGCCTCAGGCCAGGAGCTACGGATCTGGCTGTGCGCTCAGTTTCAGAAAGTGGCAACATAAAGTTGAGTGCGAGAGGAGCGCGAGCCAATGTCAGCGTGCCTCCCTCGGACTATATCCTCCGAGGCAGCCAATCCGCATGCCCAGATGCTTCCTCCTCCTTAGTTTTGGCGCGTATTTTAGCATCAGGTTAAGTGTATGTTCTACTGTTATTTTTTATAACTTTTCGGCATAACATTGATGTTATTCGTGTTCCACGGGCATGAGAAGTGCTGTGCAATATCTGCCCGATATTAAAGCAAGACTCGAATGAGGCCAGGCCTTCTGGTGTGGGTTCAGGAGTCCATTATTCCTGAGCTTGTGTTTGACGACAGTGCTTTATTTGCTTTTATCCTCTTCACCACTAATCGGCTCTTTAGCCGCTTAGGCGATCGGTCACATCTCTGTTACTTTTCCTTTTCCTTTATCCTCTTCGACAAATGATCGGTTCGTTAGCTGTTTGGGCGATCGGTCACGTCTCTGTTACGCACTGTTGGCAAGTACTGGGCATGCACCGGCTCCTGAATGTGTCTGAACCTGCCCCATTGTTGGTCAAGTCTGGTCTTGAAAGAGCTCACACTCGGTGCCATCACAACACTTTCTGGTAGATTGTTCCAAGAGTTCACAACTCTCACTCAGAAAAAGTTTGCTCTCACAGTTTTCTGGAGTTGGGGCTTCTTCAATCTTGAGCTGTGACCCGTTGTGGGGCGAGGGTCCGCCAGCTCCAGTTATTGACACTCGACTGAGTAGTGCCCCTTGAGATGCTTATACACCTCAATTAGGTCACCCATTGCCCGTCTGTAGTATAAGCTAGGCAAGTTCAGGCGCTCCAATCTCTCGGAGTAGCTGAGGTGCCGAAGTGCAGGCACCAGTCTGGTGGCCCTCCTTTCAACATTTTCAACCAACTGACAGTCCCTAGCATACCTCGGGGACCAGACGGGGTGACAGTACTCCAGAAGGGGAAGCACTTTACTCTTGAAGATCGTTATGAGGGTCAGACCGTCTAGATATCTGAATGACCTTATAAGACCCAATAATTTATTTGCCAGATTTACCTTCTCGCAATGGCCCGAGAACTTCAGCTTATTGTCAACATACACACCTAGTTCTTTCAGTCTCAAATAGTGCAGTTTCATCATCCCGTTAGGACATATGATACACCTCCTTACCATTAGTACGTCCCAGGTGCATCCTCTTACACTTCGTGACATTGATCTCAGCAGCCATTTCTTCGACACCCCAGTAATGCTTTGTGATAGTGATTTTGGCGGTGAATTTAGTGTTGATTATGGTGATACAAGTGCTACTGGCGATGGTGCAGGTGACGTGCATTATTACAGAAAAAACATACATCACGTTATGAACCATCGGAAGATCTTTTACCTGTCGACAATGAAATTGACTCACAGCATGATGAAAGTGATTATCATAATGACAATACCACTTGGAATGCACACAATAACTTTTTAGCGTGCTACAAAGCATCCCAAGATCTTATTGCCGACTATGACGAGTTAAAAGACAATGTGGCAAGTATTGACGATGATATATGACAGTGAAAGTGAAGATGAAAATGATGAGTGTGTCTAATGGTAACACAAACAGTGACACTGTAGTGGATACTCTCCCCTACAACTGCTGACTGATCACTTGCCGTCAGCTTACCAGCCAATCAGCAACGAGTTCCACAGACCAGGTAGCACTCACGGACTGTGAGGAGGTAGAAGTGGACAGGGACGAGACATGCATTGACCTTGATAGTGATGAAAGTGAACCTGACCCAACGAATGATAGTGAAAGTGGGCCCATACCTCAATCTTATAATCAAACTGAACTGTTGTTGGCATCAATAATCAACGATTTAATGGATGAAGAATCTGTGTGGCGATTTTTAGAGAGGGCAGAGAAAGACTTTGATCAGTAAGTGATTGATTATGAAGAGGCCATTAGAGTTCTACGCACTCCTCAGGATTTACATTCCTTCAAGTTGTTATGGTCTTCAGGGATAATAAAACGAAAGAACTTAAAGTAAGATTGTAATACTATTGTCATGATACTGTTTTTATCAAAGATTATGCAAACTTTCTCCACCTTTGTATTCATATGTTAATAACATTAGGGGGGGGGTGTAGTGGCGTTTCCAATTATTACACACTATTATACTTAACAATACTATAAATCTTTGGCTAATAATAGGGACAGAATGATAAATACCGATATAGGCAAACGAGTTTTTTATTATTTAATTCTTGGGGGTAAGACGAGTGCTGTTTTAGTGATCATTAACTTGTTTTACAGTATTAGCCCACAATAATAAGAAAATTTTGCAGAAAACTGCAATTATTGTTGGTTTGAAGCTCAAACAACTGTACATCACGGGTAGTTATTCTCATTCAACTCACAATAAAATAATAACTATTCACAGTACTAACTTCCAGTTTTCACAGTTCGCTAGGAGAGGAATTGAGCTGCACGATAAAAAAAAAGAACCCTCTAGCTTAACTCGTATAGCGTCAACGGCGTAACAGTTACGCCGATATACTTTTGAGATAAATGAATAAGTACAGTACTGTAAAATCTATACTCATAATGCAAAAATGAAACCAAATAAACAAAATAAATAATTATAAAATCATACAAAAAAAATACACTGGTGAAAATTATTATGAAAATGAGTAAATAATACGAAAAAGGATAAATATATTGATGCTCTGAAATCGAGATAGATGACAAATGAAGAAAAACACAGCTACAGACATAAATGTCTAATAAAATATTCTCGGAAATGGAAAATTGCTAAAAGGCAACTATGGCTGACGTCTCTGAGGCCAATGTGTATGCATATGGTCCTGGTGTGGACAGACGGTCAGACTTCACCTAGAGAGATCTACAGTCAATGCCAATCACCTGTTCAAGAATGTAATGTTGCAAAGAAAACAAAAATGTGACTACAAACTGGCAGTAATACTAGTGAAGAGGAACATTTATTAAGATTTGCTCCAACAGTGGGATATTTTCTGGACTGTCCTGCTGAAAATCAGGACTCTGGTCAGTTTACCTTTACCTCTACAGTATAGCTTAATTTTTAAGTTTTATACAGACTTGCTGGAGTATGATATGCTGTGTGTAAGAATAGAGCTAAATAGTTTAAAATTATACTGGGTGCCCCACTTAACATGGCTGATGTGTTCCCATGGTACTCGCACCAAGTGAAAATCCGCACTTTTAAATACAAGAAACCGTTTCTTACACAGTAAATAGTTGCCAAATGCTGTACAGTATTCATATTCTGAAAATGTCTGAAACTTCTTGAAATAAACTTTATGGAATCTGTACCAATATTTGAAGATTTAATGAAATTTAAGACTTTAGAAATACTTTCAAGTTACTACTCACCACAGCCTTAAGTGCTTGATCAAGGTCATTGATAAGGTCATCAGTGCCCTCTAAGCCACATGAGATCCGTATTAGACCATCCGTGATGCCAAGTTTGTCACGCGTCTCTTTTGGTACAGATGCATGAGTCATCACAGACCTTTATAAAACAATTTCACATATTACTTATTAGACTAAAGTTCCAGAAAAATTATGCTTTGATTACAGTACATATAATACATAATTATCCATCAATCACAATCAAATACGGTAATTGACATTTTAAATATTCTCAATGTAATGAATTATTTCAAAGATCATTAATTAACACATTACTCAAAATTTTAGATTGTGAACCCAGATCCTTACACCAGTACCTTTATCTGCAATTTTAACAAAATCTGTCACAAAGGCATCAAGACTCGCTGGATAGCTAGGTTGGGTCAGCTTGCCACTGACTTTATCTCAGCAAATAGAAAATGAGTAAGAGTGCCCTAATCCAGCTGGATGCTCAACCAATGACAGCATGACTAGACCCCCCCACGTATGATAATGCAAGCTGGTTCTCTTATAATTTTGCCCATGAAATCAAATAGAATTTCTTACCACACAACACTAAACTTATTAAACCAATTCTCATTAATCAGTTACTGGTTCAGTGGGACCTTACTGTACAGTTCTTTAAAAATAATGTTGAGGTAACTTACGGAAGTTCACAGAGGCTCTCATATCCGCCTAGACTCTCAGCAAGGGTGAACACCTTCAAATGCTTGAAGAATTTCTTAGAAGTTTCCAAATCATTTCCCTTGATGTAGAAACTCAACATGCCAGAGTGACCAAAGCACTGACGCTTGGATAACTGCAAAATAGAATAAATTTACAGTATTAAAATTCTTATGACAATGATCTGTAACAAGTAAAATTACATTATTTCACAACTGCCATAATTACTGTAGAGTAGTGGGAAAGAATTACAAAACTAAGGATTAATTTGAGTTCCATTGACTTTAAATCAATGAATTTAATTGCAAACTCAAAATGATTATTTTTTTTAAATCTCATCTTGAATGAAACCAGAACTAGGCTGTCCAACTACAGTACAATAAAGTGTGAATCTAGGACCCACAAGGCCTTAACATTAGTGACTGACAAATCAAAAGGATTTGTAAATTTCACCAAAATCACCTATAGAAGTATAGCCTTTTGTGAAACTTAGAGCAATAGTTTTTCCTTTACTGAACCACTGTACAGTACTCCTTATCCAGTCACCTAAACTTGCACCCACCCCACCCTTTTAACAGTCGACTTTGAAGAAATTGTACTTAAGGAAGAGAAGATAGAAATGTATACATGCAAAAATTCTTGAAATTATAAATTACTGAAGTACACTCGGTAAAAAACTACCGTTACAATTCCTGCGAGAAACAAACTGACACTACAAACGAAGTGTTTCAAAAAGCCCCCCCCCCTGAGGCATTCCTCACATTGGTAGCCCTGAGTGTGTATGAGTTTGATCACGTGTGCTCGAAACAAGTGATCGGCACTCAGAGTTAGTGCTGCCACACTAACACAATTTGAAACTTGATCGGAACTCTAATCCTCATTTCTCCATGTCTAATACACATTGTGAGTGGTGTTGCAGCAGCCTAATATTGTGATTTACATAATTAGTGCTACCAACATTTCCTGATATCTTACATAAAGAATGTGTATGTTATATGAACTGTGGAGCTATTCAGAGGTTTCAGTACAGCATGGTATATTTTCAATACGAATAAAAAATGACAATGTGGCATTAGCCCAAAGTGAAGAAGCAATACAAATACAGATTCGAAATTCGGTTGCAAATTAATCTTACACCTTTATTATATCCACTAATTCTGCCAAACAAATAATGCATTCCTATATGGCAACTCATCCACTTCCATGGTTACTGTAGTCCACGGTGTGTGTGGAACATTTAATATAACATACAGTTTATCTTATCTAGATATACTGACATTTTCCAGTCATATTGTAATAACAAAGTAATTCAATATTCTCAATGAAATAGCTAATTTTGGTCTACCAAATTAAGTACGAAATGTCTCACATTCAGGCTTACCAACCATCGCGAGACAACGGGAATGTTCAGTTGGAAAATCATCGGACCCTACCTGTATGGTAGTTTTTTTTACCGAGTGTACATATAGCACTGTGCCCCCATCCCAAGAGGGAAAATACAAAAGGAAATAAACTTTTGTTAATATAAGTAAAAATGCTTGAAGACCATATGAACAAAAAATAAATAAAATACTAATAATAATAATGAATGTTTGTGTGGTTACCTCATGCTGAGGGTGAGAAGGTAAGCCAGGGTGTATAACTTTCTCAACACAAGAGTGTGTTTCCAGAAACTTGGCAACAGCCAGACCATTCTTCATGTGTTGTTCCATTCGTAAAGCTAATGTCTTCAGGGACCGGTTGACCAAGTAACAGTCAAATGGAGAAGGAACAGGTCCAATAGAATTTTGGAGAAAGCGAAGTTGCTCGTGTAAGTCACTCCTGGTGATACAATAAAATTAAGTGAATGTTGCAAAATGCATTGCAATTTTGGGTGTCTATATTTCAAAATAGTTAATGCAATACAGGTTTTTAGGTCAATACTCGCCCTTAATTATGCTAGAGAAAGCAAAGGAGAATTGACAGATAGAAGGAATGAGTGAGGTGAACAGAACGGACAATAAGTACAGGGAGTATTACAGAAACAAGGGAATGAGGAATTGAAAGTAATGTCTGGCAGACAACATCTACTTGGGTTGTATGGACATACAGTGCTAAGAGAATTAGGAGTAAGGATTAGTAAAGAATATTATTTTAAGGTGGACAGCAGAAGGGAGAAGGAAGGACTAAGAAGAAGAGGGTAGTATGGGGTAAAACATATTCAAGAAGTGAAGGAGATGCATATTCAAGATAGAGCAGTGTGTGTAAATCTGTAGACGTCTTGGTGAAGGACATGCATAAATGATGAGGGGAAACCAGGTTTGGTGCCTTGTTGAGGAAGTGAAGTTCTGGACCCCAGCAAAATAACTGTATATTTAGCAAAGTAATGAAAACAAATACATAAAGAATGTATGTGTATAAATTTTCTTCATTATGACAAACATGCATCAAAGTAAAAAAAAAATTGAGACTTAAAAATTAGGCATTACCTATTTGTACAGATGGCTCCCATGATGACATCTGTATGGCCATTTATGTATTTTGTTACTGAGTGCAGAACCAAATCTGCTCCAAGATCAAGAGGTCGTTGAAAATAGGGAGACATAAATGTGTTGTCTACAACCAGGAATGAACTTCCATGTTTCTTTACTATAGCTGCCACAGCAGCAATGTCAACAAGCTTCAGTGTGGGGTTGGTGGGAGTTTCTATCCACACCATCTTGGTGTTGGTTTTCATGGCTGCTTCAACTTTCTTTGGATAACAAGCATCAACAAAGTCTATCTCGAGTCCAAATCTGAAAATGACCAACTCCTTAAAAAATCGATCATCTTCTACATCTTTGTATAATTAATATTTATCTTACATCAACAAATGTTCAATTAAATATCTACCTAGTTTATATCTAAACTAGAGTAGCAATATACAACACTGAATGTTGTATATTTACTACACAAGTAAAGTTGCTTTACCTTGTGGCAACATGCCTGAAATATCTATTGGTGCCACCATAAAGATCATCCATAGAAACAATATGGTCACCAGCAGAAAGGGTGTGAGTTAGGGTGGTGGTAGCAGCCAAACCCGAGGCAAAGGCCAAGCCTAGAAATGGAAAATAATTCATTAGGTAAAGGAGTTCACAAAGCATTGGAAATGAATATGAAAAACGAGAAACTTCATCAACAAAAAATTTACTTTTATGAACCCATTCATTTGGGAATGCCATTTTTTATATTTTATTTGGCTAGCTCCAACAGGGGACCCTGTACACCAGTGGTTAAAAGAGAATTAAAGTAAATGCAAAAACATATCAGAAATGAGAATTTGATTATGAAAATTCAATAGATACCTGAATCAGCTAACATAAGCAAGCTTTGAAACCTGGATACCAAAAGACTTACTGTAGTATATTAATCTAGACATTTTTGAGTCCTTGATTTTCCTAAGGCAGAAGAGCTGATCAACTGTAGGGTAGAGTATTATGTTCTGTACAGTACAGTACAGCATGCCATTACAATTTGTGGATTTTGAATTCATAGCCTTTCATTTTTCGCAGATGACACCCTGGATCTGCCCAAAAATGTCTGCGGGTAGTTTTAAAGTTGGCAGCATGTTCGCGGCAGGAACAGGGAGCACACAAGTTTTGTGGCAACCCGCACGGTGTGTCTCGTCCTGGGAGGGTGGCCCACGTACACTCTCTCCACCTCAGTCCAGGATAAACATTTGTCCATCTCATGCGTGTGCTCCTCTCACTTGTGATGGCTCTCAAACGCCCTCAACCACCTTCATCCAGCCATGGGAAGGCACCCAAACAAGTGAAGAGAGAAAAGGTCATGACCCTTGTGGAGAAGATGCAACTGCTGGACAAACTTAGGAGTGGCCAGCAGGACCAGTAAGGGGGGGGTGAGTGACTGCGTTTGCTAGTTAGTGCATCGTCTGCTCTTGTAACTCTCCTCCCCCTCCCTGCCATATTTCACTGGATTTAATAATAATAATAATTAACGGTTTATTGAAAGAGCTTGGCAGCCAGAAGGCTGAAAATATACAGTTACATATTTGGGGAATGGGTTTCGAATTACAAAAAATATACAAGTAACATAAGTGATACAAATAAGATATATAATAACTAGATGGGGAAAAGCTAGAACTACAGTGCATTTCAACATAGTGACAGTGCAAGAAGTAGTATTTACTGGGAGTGAATACATTGGTTTATTACAAGTTATTGATAATTTTTACAATGGTTGGGACTGGGCTGTTCTTATAGCGATCAGTACGTGCACATATGGGCTGGATGCGGTTGTGGTGTCGAACAGCAATTCTAGGGCTAGGGATCTCAGGTGGTAGTAGGAGCCGGTGTCGAGGATGGTGTAGAAACTTCTTACCAAATTTGCAGATGAGGTCGTGGTGATGGTCAGTGAGAGTCGAAAGGGTCAGTGTGTTGAGCGCTTCTTGATATTTGGAGTAGGAAGGGGAGAGAATAATCTTGCATGCCCTCTTTTGCACTTTTTCTAGGTGTTTACGTTGTGTGGCATTTAGGGAGGAAGACCAGGTAGGGGAGGCATAGGTGAGCTTGGGAAGTATGAATGTTGTGTAAACACTGAGGAGCTCGGGTGCAGCAACTCTGAGGGACTTGAGTCGGCGGAGGAGGTGGAGACGGAACTGGAGGATTTGACAACTTCACTGACGATTTAGTGTTAGTATGAGTGTTTACTGATAGAATAGTGCTTAATAGTGATTGATCATGTCATTGTAGCCAGGTTAGACTTGTGACTATAACCACCAGGCTACTGGGCCATGCTGTGAGGTGTTATGGTTGTTTTTCAACTCGTATTTTCAGGTAGATATACTGTACGTAACTGTCTTCATTTATTTTTATTGTTACATGCACACACCATCCTACATACAGTACATATTGTGAAAAAAATAAAGTACTGTATAGTATAAAAAATAATTGTCCTAAGGGTAAACACATTAGGGGAATACAGTATCCATTTTTTTGCACACGAGTTGGCTGGCTCAGTGAGGGAGGGGAGGACTGTAGCAGTGGGGGAGGGGAGGATTGTAGCAGTGGGGGGGCGTTGTTTGGGAATCAGCGTTCCAGCTGGTCTTCGTTACTATGGCGAAGCAGGGAGTGTATGTAAATGGCGACTGTTAAACTTTCATTTGGCTTTTATTTACTGGTCTGGCAATACTGTATAGTATTTTTTTTGTAACTTATTTATTGGTATTTTTATCTAGTCCTCACATTTACTGGTACTGTATATATTAATTAAAGAAAACTATGACTACAGGAGGAAAATACACACAAATGTTTTTTTCTAAATACAGCTGCTCCCCGACTTACGACGGGGTTAGGGACCGACATCCAGGTCGTAAGTCGGAAATGCTTAAATAATACATATAAAATCTGAAATGGGTGTCTCTTTTTCTTCTCCGCACCACAAAACACTCACTTTTAAGCTTGCCAGCCATTTCAAAGTGAATTACAAACGAAAATTTTGCCTGTGTACTGACTTTGGAACTCGAAAATACGTAATTTGACCAAATTTTGGTACGACCGAGGCAGGTCGTAAGTGCGGGTGGCCGTAAGTCGGGGAGGAGCTGTACTCACTGCCGTAAAATACGGCACTGTATTTTTTTTATCATTATAGTTTTTACACGTTTAGTATATTCACCGGAAGATACGGACAATTGGCTTTTTGGACAGCATAATACAGTACAGGAGGTCAGCAGTATCCTGACAGAGGTTCTACCGAGACAGGAGTTAGGTCCAATTACATATCAGAGAACTTTAGGTCCCATGTCCTAATAAAAATCACACATCTACATCAATTAAATCTTTGTGAGGAAAGTTTTCGACACATCTACCTTAAAATCTTTCTTGTGGCCACACTGGGTCCAGTTTATCCAGATGTCTGGTTATGTACAGTACAGAATCATGTTTACAATTCATTATCTTTCAACTTACCAAACTCAGCATTCTCAGTTGAAGCCAGGCACTTCTCAAGGCAGTTTCTGGTAGGGTTACCTGAGCGACTGTACTCAAACATCTGTAACATAAAACAATAAATTATATTTTCAAATAAAATTTATAAAAACCACTTTAAATGTGTGACAAAGTTTATTATACTCAATATAATGCTTAACTGATCTCAACTTTTTCACATTAAGAAATGGTCATAGATTTGTGAGCTATGACTGTCTAAATTGCTAAGGTGACTGCTGCTTAGCCCCATAAATTTCAAAACCATTTTGCAAAACAATTGCTTTAGATCTGACCCATGAAAGTTAAAACCTAATTCAGTAATATCTCCGTCAGCCGGAATCCCTCAAACCCGGAACTCTCTGATAGCCGGATTTGAAATTTTCTCGGAAAATCATTCCCAAATCCAGAATTTTCTGGAAATTCCAGCATTGGGAATGATTTTCCAGGGGGCACATTTTCCGGAAAATTCCGAGAAAATTTTCCCGATACCCGGAAAATTCTGGAGATGGGGATTTTTTTCCGGGTTTGAGAGATGAAAATCAGGCACATTTTCTGAAAATTCCGAGGATGAGGGATTTTTTTTCCCGTTTTGAGAGTCGTCTCGTTACCCAGAAACCTCTCATTCCCGGAAGTGCCCTGCACCAATTGTTCCGGCTAACGGAGACATCACTGTAGTATACAGTAGTTACTCTGGTGTTCAAAATAATTTACCTAGATGTTTATAGTTACAAAACACACACACTGACTAGTGAGGTATTGTTTGTATGTTGAGATCTGCACATATATGGACTGTTGAAATATACAATATTGGTAGACTTGCGCTTTCTAGCTGGATTCTGTAAAATGCTACTACAACCACATAGTTGGCACGGGCAATCCCCGGTGAAGGCTCACGTTGTTTAAGAATAAGACGAATGAACAGGCATTGTGAGAAATAAAACAAAGCCTAGGATTGCCTTTGTTACCAAAAGGACAACAAAATCCATCAAAGGCAATCCTAGGACCTCTGCATGTGAACAGGAAGTGCTACCATGGCTCCACAAGGACAACAAAAGCAATCCTAGGCTTTGTTTTATATATATATATATATATATATATATATATATATATATATATATATATATATATATATATATATATATATATATATATATATATATATATATATATATATATATATATATATATATAGTGTGTGTGTGAGACTGAGTGCATGCAAGTTATTGTTTGCTTGTTAATGTACTGGTATTTACTGATTTGTCTCCAAGTGGAGTGTGTACAGGTACTGCACAGCAGCTAGAGCTTTTATTTCATTCTTCTACCTCTATCAAGTTCACTTCAAATAATGCAATCCTTCATTTTCCCATTTAATAAACAAAAGTAGACTGGTAGACCTAGTTACCCTCCCACCTCCTAAGGGCATGTTGCCAAATAGCTGGCACTGAAGGCTATGTTGTTGCTATGGTCTTGCATATACTGACAAGTGCTTGGGGCAGTACAAAGCATTGGTATTATAATACCACAACAGTCTTCTCATTCAAATGGCAACATCCATATCCAGAGTCCTTGTCAGGGCTCGGATTATAAATGGAAAGAGAAGCTAACCTCCTAACCCTCTCGACTTAGTTGTACTGTATAACAGTTTCCCAGCCTGGCCTTGATTTAGAAAATATAATTTTAACCCTCTCAGCCACGGAGCCTGAGACACATATGAGGTCTGTCCGGAAAGTATCCAGCCATTTACTATTAAAAAAAAATATTGATTACCTAGGACTTTTTTTTTAGAGCTCATTTCACTACCATGGAATTGTTTTATCAATTGTCAATGTGTCTTTTCTGGTGTAAAATTGTCTGAAAAATTGTATGCAACTATAAAAAATTTCAAAATTCTTGAAATTTAAGCCACTTTTTTCAAGTAGAGTTGTAAGTTGAAAAAGTAGGAAAATGTTTAGTAACATCTCAATTTCCATTCACATTTTCCTTATATTAGTGTTCATTGATATGTACTATAAACCAAAATAAAGAACAAAGCATGTAAAATATCATGGGAAGGAAAAATAATATAACAAAAACTGATGGAATAATTAAAGGGCCGAGCGGCACACCCTCCTCTTGCTCTATTGGCCAGAGCCACATTGGCTTCATACTGTGCTGCCATGCACACGACGACCAAGACCGTCTCAGGGAAGGTGATAAAGCCCACATAAAGAAAACAACGTGTCAAATGGCTTCCAAAGTTCTGTCAGTTTCACTGAAAAGTTTTTAAGTTATTTGAAAATATAGCCCATTGGACGTGGCGCCACGTTGGCGTAGAGAGGCTCAGGGCAATTTTTTCACCTTATATGTTCGACTCCACAATGGCGTCGTGCGAGGCTGAGAGGGTTAATATCAATCCATCAATTATGATCAGGGGAAGTGAATGGTCCTTTGTGTACATGCACAATGCAGTACACACCAAATCATCAGAGGCTGCACTAATAATCATTATCTTTCCAACACATATCTGGATCCTAAATTTCTTTATGTCAAATTTCAAGGTGCATCAACGACCCTCAAGTGAGAACACCTACTGTTAAGAAAGTGTTGAATATATTACAATATTATTGATATAATGACTGGCTGTAATTCCTTACATATTGCTAAACACTTCCCGTCATTGTGATGAATGTGAATACAACCATCAACACCCTAGAATGGACATATCAAATCAGGGGGTTCAAAGCATTATCACAATGCAGGTCACAAGCTGAAACCTCTTGTTAACATGCAATGTACACTCAATTCTACGTTGCACTGCAAGAGGTCTGAGAATTACACTACCTACACTTCAGTATCTTTATGGAAGTGTTTCTTCCTTTTGGGTTTTATTTTTTGCCACTCTACAAAAGATTCAAATTCATTTATATTATATGGCATATAAAACACTATAAACACAACACTTAACAGCCCATGCTATTACACTCACAAGGTCGAGTTTTGGATTGCTAAACCTTATGATTAATCAGGATTCCACAAGTAGATCTTTTGTAAATAGACAACATAGAAAATGACCATCTCTAAAAGATAAATTTAATTTTACCTGTACAAGGTGATACATTTCCTGCTGCATAATTTTCTCTTTAGGAAACACACATTGCAACTCTCAGGTAGAATTAATTAAAAATATTGTTGGTGCACCTTTGTTGGGGTATAAAATGCTGAACCACAGGTTGACACTGAGGTCCGGCCTACCTAGAATCAAGCAGGGATATGCTGACTTGACACCAGTACTGGAAGTGGCACTACTATGGTAAAGTACTGGTGCTCTATAGGCTCTCTCTTCTACAATACTAATCTGATAGCGAACGAGGTCAAGGAGAAATTGATGTAGACATCAGAAATGATTGGGTAATATGGTCTCTGGTTGCAGCTGAGCGAGAATCAAATACATTATACAGTGACCCCTCGGTTAACGAACTCAATCCGTTCCAGAAGGTCGTTCGTTAACCGAAAAGTTCGTTAACTGAAACCATTGTTTCAATGGGTTTTTGGGTAATTGGTTCCAGCTCACCGAAAATTTCCTAAATTCAACAAAAATGGTAGAAAAGTTCACTTACTTTAAGGTGTGTATGTAGAAGGCTCCTGGATGATGATGATGATGTGCATTTGAAGTGGGAGGTGGAGGAGGAGAAGGGAGAAGAGAAGGCATTGGGGTGGAAGAGAAGTCACCCCATGGCACCATTTCACCCATAAAATTTTAGTTCTCTTGGTGTATTTCAAGATTATTTTCTTTAAATCAACACTGCACTTCATTATATATTGTCAATATGTAAAATACATTTCAAAATGACCAATAATTTGCTTGGAAACACAGAAAAAAAGAGTTTAGTTGAGAGTCTCAAGCAAGATGTTACCTCCAGTGAAAACAGAGAGAGACTAACGCCTGTTTGCTGTGTTAAGAGGCTGGATGCCACGCATTAAACTAGTCACTTTACCTTCAATTATGTTCAATAATTGTTAAAATTACTAAAAAATTGAATATTAAACTTTTAAAATTATTGGATAGTATAAACTTCTTGATATTTACTAAAATAGTAAGGAATTTAAGCCCTAGAACAGATTAATGTATTGGCGGACTGATACTAAAGCTGGTTGCCCGGTCAGTGCAAGCAAAAACATGTTGAGGTCGGTTCGTAAGAAATTCGTTAACCGAATTGAAGATCCTTATGGAAGGCAGTTCGTTAACCGAAATTTCGTTAACCGAGGCGTTCGTTAAACGAGGGGTCACTGTATATGTATAATGTGACATCTGATTCACTAGCTTCCAGAACTAAGCTTCCTTCCTAAGGGCTACAGTATCTTGGATTAATGCCACTAGGTCATGGCTGCCTTGATTCTAAGACTCTCAGCAATCATCATGCACATTTACCAAGTTGTTTTAGACATGCTTAGGTTATTAATACTGTGCTTTATACTGTATACAAAACAGATTTTTTCATACTTTCAATAACAAATAATCATTAGCATCAATCATAATATTGTACTGTACAAAGACTACTGTTTTATATTAATTACCATTCATAAATGAATCTTATGCATCATCTCTTAGTAAAATTCAAATACTAAAAGCACAGAGAAAATTTTACATACTGTACACTAATTTTCAGGGGCCATGTGCCAGTGTACCTCTTGGTAAAAAAATAAAAGCAAAGGAATGGCTGCAGAAATTCAATGTTATGGAATGCAAGGGAATACAACCTGGTCGAAATAGTAAAGAGGCATATCCCGCATACTAACACAAAGAGGAAACATCATTAACTGAAACAATAATAAAAAAAGACCTGGGTGTATGTTGGCAAAAAAAAAAATGAAGTTCTCGGATCATTGTGAGAAGATGAATCATTCTACTAAACTGGCAAGACTTGTTTAAAGACCTTACATATACTACTGTACAGTATCTAGATGGTCTGCCCCTCATAAGGCTCTTCAATAATGTGGTGCTCCCCCACCTGCAGTACTGTTTAGTCTGACATATGCTAAAGACTGCCAACTGATTGACAACACCCAAACTGGTACTGGCACTTGTGCACCTCAGTACCAAGAGAGGTTAGAGCACCTTTAAATGCCTCATTTATATTATTGAGGGGAAAGGGTTGATTTAACAAAAGTTTATAAGCACCTCAAAGGTCATAACCCAGTCAAGAGCTCACATCTGAAGGTAGTAGATAGCCATCCCGATACAGGGTAGTGACTAGTACAAATCTGCTAGTGTACTGTATGTTGAGATGCCACCCAAGAATGAGAGTAACAGAAGTGACCGACCGGCCAAGCGGCTAATGAGCCGCTCATTGGTGAAGAGGATTTAAGTAAAAAGTAAAGTTTAACAGAAACTGGCACATAGTCAGGTACAGTACATTCAAGAGCCAACAGTGGGTCGTTTGACCTGTGTCCGGGTGGGCTAATTCCCGTAAAAAAAAAAAATAAAAATAACAGAGAACTGGTCGGCTGCCCAAACAGTGTATGAGCTCACCAGGGGCAATGAGGAAAAATGTATAGAAACAAACTAGGTTCAGATTGCAATGCTTTTATAAGAACTAAATGATGAAGTAAAGATATGGTATCTTGACCGAGATTACAGGTAACATCTCTGCATTCACATGCAAAATGGAATCTTGTATGCAAGTGCCTAATTTATTTATTTTATTAATTAATAAATATAAAAACTTGTTTTTTCTGAAGTTCTCTTCGAGTAGGTCTCAATCGCACAAAGCAAATGATGAAATTACAAACATACTACCATCAAGTGACAAATCTGAAGTGGTTAAATTCAATGCTTATTAGAAACCCAAATAAAGTTGCATGATAAATTTATAAGGCACAGAACAACTTACCTTGAAGTCAGCAGGACCATTCTGTTTAAAAGTTGTAGCTGTGGAAATCGGTGGAACAACAGCTAAGTGACTCCACTGTTCGGGTTCGTTGCCATCATGGATGGCCCGGGATGAGAAGGTTGGATCATTTTTCAAATATCCCAAATCTTCCATGATGCCTCAAGATGTCTCCTGGAATGTACGAGAGAGAGAGAAAAAAAACATTTTAGACGAGTACTGAATGTATGCGAATTGTCTACTCAAAATTTTATGTACAGTACTGGGAAACTGGGTGGAGGAGGCAAAATATTATGGAAGGGAAAAGACAACTTTGTATGGATGTGGGAAAGAAATTGCTTTGTTGAAGGTAGGTGAAAAGGAAGGAATAATTAATACAGGAGCAACGTAGGAAAGTACATGGTAATAGGTTAAGGTGGGAAGAAAATTGCAATAGGAAGGAGAGAAGCATAGTAACAATATTCTATGTAGGTATGTATCCTAGCTCGCTGCCAAGGGTCCGACTAATTACCCAAATGTACCCAAATATAGCCGCAATGAAGTCAAATAATGGTCCTAGATGAATAAATCGGACTGCCAATCACTTCTCGACTAGTATTTGGTGTCAGAAAGTCACAAAAAATTGGAAAACTTACTTTAATCTGAGTTAATAGATCGCGTGCATGTACCGAGGGAGCGAGGAATTACCCAAATGTAGTCGCAATGAAGTCAAATAATGGTCTTAGATGAATAGATCGGACTGCCAATCACTTCTCGACTAGTATTTGGTGTCACAAAGTCACAAAAAATTGGTAAACTAAATTTAATCTGAGTTAATAGATCGAGTGCATGTACCTAACCTGACCTAACCTAACCTCGACTAGTATTTGGTGTCACGAAGTCACAAAATATTGGTAAACTTAATTTAATCTGAGTTAATAGATCAAGTGCATGTACCTAACCTAACCAAACCGAATCTTATCTAATCTAACCTAACACAACTCAGATTAAATTAAGTTTACTAATTTTTTTTACTTTATAAGACACCAAATAATAATCGAGAAGTGATTCACAGCCCGAATTACGCTTGTACGACCATCATTTGACTTCATTGCGGCTACATTTGGGTAATTCCTCGCTACCTCGGTACATGCACGCGATCTATTAACTCAGATTAAAGTAAGTTTTCCAATTTTTTGTGACTTTGACACCAAATACTAGTCGAGAAGTGATTAGCAGTCCGATTTATTCATGTAGGACCATTATTTGACTTCATTGCGACTATATTTGGGTACATTTGGGTAATTAGATGGACCGAGCTGCCAAGACTGGCATAAACCAAGATGTTCGTTATTTATTTAACTGCTCATAACTAAACCTTGAATAACTGTGTAAAATTTTCAGCGTTTTCACTACTATCAAGTGCATACAATACAGTTTACAACAGCAGATGAAACTACTAAGTCAAGGTCCACAAGCATGATCTTAACACCCCTTGAAACCCTTTAACTGGATTCTGCAGTCACTACCTGGGCTGTTTTGTTAACTAAATAATATGTTTAATAGCAAGTAAATCCACACACACACATATATATATACAGTATATATATATATATATATATATATATATATATATATATATATATATATATATATATATATATATATATATATATATATATATAATATAACAATGAAACACCAAGTTCCCAAGCACTTTCGTGTAATTCATATCTTCAGGGGTGAGTACAGACTAAGGAGAAATACTTGAGAAGGCTAATATATACAGTAGCGGAAGGAACTTCATCTCACTCTCCTCTACTGTATATATTAGCCTTCTCAAGTATTTCTCCTTAGTCTGTACTCACCCCTGAAGATGTGAATTACACGAAAGCGCTTGGAAACTTCGTAACGTCGTGTTTTCTTGTTTCTTGGGGTTATCAGCATATACTTGGATCACGCGCACCTACAGTGATTTACTTGCATATACAGTATATATATACAGTATATATATATACATATATATATATATATATATATATATATATATATATATATATATATATATATATATAAACTTGCAATTAACTTGTTACATTTCGCTAATAATAAAAGTAGGTAAAATCTATAAACAATAATGAAACAAAAAATTTAAACAACTAAAATATTGTACACAATAGTACTTACAGTAATTCACCAATTGATAAATTCAGCGAAGTTGGTAAAAATTTGCCTAACAAAGTTATTTCAAAGTAAAGTAAGGCTGCCAAGTCACTCCTTAGGCTCAAGTTGTCTTTTGTTTTAATCTTATCTAACTTTTGTTCCTTATCTGACCATCTCTTAATAAGCATGATAAGCATTTTGACAATTACTTTTTATGATATATCGGTACGAGTATTGGCTCTTGTGTTCAAGGATATTGTAGTGGATACTCTCCCCTACAACTGCCGACTGACCCCGCCGTCCGCTTACCAGCCAATCAGCGTACAACATGACATAAATGCTAGTGGCGGGGGAAGGATAAAGAGGATTGAAGTGAATTCTAGAGGGGGAGGAAAGGTGCAGTGGCTTAACACCGCTTGCGTTATTTGGGGTTATAAGTTTGAGGCAGCAGCAACCTGCCTGGACGCGGCGAGGAGGGGGCAGGACCCTGTCAGGTGAGCGTCAGGTCAAACGTCAGGTCAAACGTCAGGTGCGTGTCGAGTTGGGCAATGGTTTCTCAGTAGTACTATGACCGACTGCACCAGCAACAACTCTCTACAGCGCCTCACCAACAAGCTCCTCGCCCAACAGGACCTCTGAGCAAACTACTCCTCACCCAGTAACTCCTTAGCACTGCACTGTACAACAATATATATATATATATATATATATATATATATATATATATATATATATATATATATATATATATATATATATATATATATATATATATAAAGAAAACGCATTGTGAGTTTCTATTCTACCTCAATCCTGAGAATTGACAACTGGCCACATACTGTACACCACAATATATATAGCCAACTGATAGTTATTAATAAATCACAATGGCAGACTAATCTAGTACAGTACTAAAAAGCAATAGTAACTACATAAAATTTTAAATTTCTATCAATAAAGTACATGTAGATGTTATTTATAGGATATATATATTAGTGGTATTCAGCGGTTCCATTTACGCAATACTATCACAAGCTGGAACTCGCGGCCAAGCCCCTCCTCTCCACCAATCACAGAGATCATCATCCCCTCCGCCTATGAGCACTCAACTACAGGATTAACACTTGTACCTTCCATTCCAACATGCGAGTCATTATACATAACATTCTACACAGATCTTGTCAAAGAACATTTACGAACTTAAAAGGAAATCTTCTAAATTACATCTAAACCCGAATGTTGATTTCCGTAAAAGATTGCTAAATAATAAACGCGATAGTAAATGTATGAGGACTGTCAAGGTTCAATTTCAAGTCCGTAAATCCAGGAAAATAAATAGGAAAATTCAGACAATTTTACTCAATATTAAATGTAAGTTACTTGCATTCAATGGTGTACTACTGCAGTTATTACAAGGATAACAGTTAATGGTAAGCAATATACCAGGCTATATAATTAATAAATTGGATAAAAGTATAAGTATAAAAAATTACTTATACTGCATCACCCCACACAACGCTTCCGTGACGCCTGCTGGACCACACCACTCCTCGACCCCCTGACGGAGACACGATGATCCTCCCCATACTGGCCAGATATTTTGTAAATAATTATGTGTTAAAGGAATATCCTTCCTTCCTTAGGCTTTAGTAAGCCCCTTTATAATATTTATACTGTATATACTTGTCACACTTGCCAGATGCTTCTGGTGTCATTGTACAGGGGTACCTAGTGACAGCACTAGGATCCCGCTTACTCTATCAAGGAATAAACAATTGAAATTGAATTACTGCATAAGACGTGGACTGCGACTGTTGACAGTCTAAAAAGAGAACTGGTTAATATTCCGGCTCTCTATTCTTTTTTATTTTACTGTCAACGGAACAATATTTGATCATCAAAATAACATCCGCCACACAGAAAAACGCTTACCGTCTAAAGGTTGTTGAATAATGTGGGGGGAGGAGAACGGAGCTAATGGAGTCAGTGAACGTCCTCACACGTCGCAGAGTTGGTGCCTTCTGATGGCCGGCGCGAGCAGAGTTGCCAAATCAGATTTCCGTAAGTCGCTAAACTGACACGTAAAAAGCGCTAGATTTAAAAATTTGCAGAATTCTCAAGGTATCTAACCTAGGTTTGATATCATGTAGGCTTAAAATTACTTATTCAACACGAAAAAGGTTCAAATGATCTTCGTGCAACACTAAAGAATTACTCACCACGATTACTCCAGATCAGAAGTATCCCAGTCTTCTTCCGTATCAGTAGATACTACAGACAGCTTGGTCATGAGTAAGTTGACACGTGGCTCGTCAACTGCTGTGTTGCTGAAGAGCTGCAGTATGTTTCCATGGTGCCAATTTTCTTGACAACATCAATAGGTAATTCATAGCTAGGACAACACTTTTCATTACTCTTTAAGCCACACTTCACAGACATTATTGCATTCAGTGTTGAGATGTTCATCCTATAGCAAAGCTTGGGCTTAATTAGGTTTATGCGGCTGAAGGAACGCTCTACATCAGCATTTGAATGTGGCAAGGTGAGGGCAGATAGGGCAACTTCTGATAACTCTTTTTAGGGATTTTCACCTGAAGTCTTTGTAATTAGCTACTTCAACCCCAAAATGCAATATGTTAGCAGTATTAGTCCACTTTGTATGATACAATTTTTTCCACTGGATTAAACTTGTGTTACGTTGTAGTAAATAGCACTGAAAATCCCCTTCCAATGAAAAGGCCCTAAATTTGCGCAATGGCGCAAAATGAAAACAATTGGCGCTAGATGAGACCCAAAAAAACCTCTAGATCTAACGTGAAAAGCGCTAAGTTGGCAAGCCTGCGCCAGCTGCGAGCTTGGCCCCCTGGGAAGTCTAGCCAACAGCTGACGAGCCACATGTAGGGTTGAAAGTATCGTATTTTAAACTTAAAACTGTTGTACCTCATTGACGAATACAATATTCGGTTAATAGTAATTGCATCCTCCTCTTTTCCCTTACTTTTATCCTCTTCACCACTGATCGGCTCGTTAGCCGCTTGGACAGGGATGTTACGTACTGCAAAAAATATTCTCTTCTCCATCAGCCAGTCACTGCATGATTGAAAAATCCTTACCACAGGATTAGTGTTATTTACGACTTATGTCGCAGCATTAACACTATTTACTCAAGTAAAAAAATAACTTAAATAATTTATGTTCGTTTTGATCTTCTAATTCTGTCGGGACGATAGAGAGTGAACTGGTATCTTAAGAGTACTGCGATTGTACAAGGCAACCTGCCAGTAGCTTACTGAAAGGCTATTTTGTTTTAACTTGGTTTGTGATCCCTGGAATTGGTGATATGCGGTATCAAGCTTAGGCATGCTTCTGTAAAGTAAAATGAAGTTCCCGGCATGTGCAGCACACTTCTTTGATGGTAATGTGTAGTCAGTTGGCTGACTTTTTTGTTAATTAATCACTCCCAAGAGGCAGAAAACTATACACATATCATATTACAAAATATAAAGCATGGACAAATTCACAAAATAATTATCCTAATGTATAGACAAATAATACCGAATGACGTATATGATGTACAGTAATATCACGTATTTACGTATTTCTAACAAGGACTTGGTTATCGCGCACTGATAATAATTATCGTGCCTCACTATTTCTGTAGTAAATTTATTTGAAATCATTAGTCATTTTTAGATCTTGATTATGATTGATTAACATATTCTTAAAAGATCAATTAGTACAGGTTTTATTTACGAACAATAATTTTGATGAAAATCATTACTAGGACACGTCATGGATCGGATGTGAGACTGTGGGGTATGAGATGTTTGGGTTCTCATTGGATGTACAATGCAGCTTGGTGCTGGGAAGGCAGAATGGTTACAAGCGTGATGTAGAGAGAGCTGGTTGGTGAGGGTGCTCAGAGAAGGACAGCTTGTGGATCGCCATGCTCGCCGGCGGGAGCGAGGGCCGTCAGGCAGCGGAGGAGGAGGAGGTGTTGCTGGCTGGTTGGAAAGGTAGAAAAGAGGCAGGTCACCACGAGGTCAGGTCTTAAATAGCGGGGGGGGTAGGCGTGGCTTAGTAGTTGACCCCCGCTCCATGATGTATGGCGGCGCTGGTTGACCTAGACCACGAGGCACACTGTGGAATTCGTGGGGTCGGCTACGCAGCGACAAACAGCGTTTGTAGGGGAGAAATCCACTACAAGACAAGTGCCGTGGAACGCCCAGCGTGACTGGACAGATTTTTTTTTACAGATTGCCCCGGAGGGGGCTAGTTTATTGGGCACCCCCTTACATCCTGTGCAAGGTGAAGCGCAGAAGCGTTTACAGTGCCCAACTGGGAAGAATGCGGAGTTCATGCTTGTCTTTATGACTCATGCATTAAGGGCGTGGAAGCCTGAAGGGTCATGGGTTTTGTCAGCAAGTTACATAAGGTGACAGAATGATGAGTGTGTGTGGGGGGGGGGGAGAATTCCCGGTACATTTCATCTGTTTATAGCAAAGCGTGGCAGGTCCCTAATAATGTAAAGTGCCAGGCCGGTGACTAAGAGGAGGGATATCTGGTCAGGGAGGGAAGAGGTGTTGGTAACGGCTGGGGACCTGTAGGAGGAGGTCATAGGGCAAGTGAGGATGTAGTGACGGAGGGTGTGACAGTCGGGGTGGCCACAAAGTTTACAAACAGTGCGGCTAGGCTCAGGGTTGCCAATGTACTCCCATAGGTACCTGTACCCTAGGCGCAGTCTCATGTATATAATCTGTTGAGATCGAGTCACAGATTGATACTCTTTGTAGTGGCGGTTGGAGTCACCGGTTACAGCGTCATATTGGCATAGTGTGACGCTGCCCCTTTGTTTCAGGTGTGTCCATTTTACGTCGAATGCTTCTCGTTGTGTGGCGTGTATGCGAGATTTGAGATGATTCAGGGAGAGGGCGAGGGTGGCTTCAATATCATCTTCTTGTGTCGCTTCTTTGGCAAGTCGATCAACAGTGTCACAGGCAGTTATTCCTATATGTGACGGGATCCAAATAAACTTGACACGGATGTCATCAGTTTGTTCTAGATTGGCGACGGCGGCTAGGGTGTGTTGGGCGGCAGGGGAGGAGGGGGAGGGTAAATTGAGCCTCGCTAGCGCAGAAGTGCTGTCATTGATTATATCAGGAGGTTCCGGCGTTCAGTGCGAGCATAGGTCGCCCCCTCATGAATGCCCGCGAGGATGGCTATGCTTTCAGTGTCAGTGGAGGAGGCCCAGTCGTGGACCCTGATTTTCTTGCGGGCCTGGCGCTCAGGAATCCATACAGCTGCCCCACCGCAGCCCAGCGTGATGACAGATCCATCACAGTAGACGAGCATAGGAGGGAGGGAGGTCGTAAGAGAAGAGGCGACATCATCAATCTGCTCAAGGCAGTTAAGTTTGAGCATATACCGCAGTTGGGTGGATTTACGACCAGGGAAGGTGTGGTTAGGTTAGGTCACTGACCCACGTCGGGGCGTGGGGGGCGAAAATGTAATAATAATAATAATAATAATAGAAATAATAATAATAATAATAATAATAATAATAATAATAATAATAAAGAACCATAAAGAAATACAAAAATGGAAAAAAGATCAAGAGTGAGAAACAATATACATGGCCAGGACAGTAGACTGAACTGAGGGCGTGTTGTGTGGGGTGGGGCCGGGGAGACGGTTAACCTACAGTATGTATGTTGTGTTAGAACATAAGGACATAAGAAAATAAGGAGTCTGCAATAGGCCGGTTGGCCTGTGCATGGCAGCTCCTGTCGAGAGTTACTACCACTCTCTATCATCCATGAATCTATCTAGCCTCCTTTTGAAACTTTCCAGAGTTCCCGCACTTACTACAAAGTTGCTAAGCTTGTTCCACTCGTCCACCACCCTATTTGTGAACCAGTTTCTTCCTATCTCCCTCCTAAACCTAAACTTATCCAACTTAAATCCGTTGCTCCGAGTCCTATCCTGCTCGGATATTATAAGAACTTTATCTATATCCCCTTTATTGATTCCTTTCACCCACTTAAATACTTCTATCATATCTCCCCGCACTCTTCGTCTTTCTAGGGAATGCAAGTTAAGTTTCTTTAATCTATCCTGATATGGAAGGTTTATAAGTCCCGGAATCATTTTCGTCATTCTTCGCTGCACCGACTCTAGTGAATTGATATCCATTCTATAATAAGGGCACCAGATAATGATGGTAATAAGATTACTTGGTTTTATATCTAGATGTGTTACTAAGCAAAATTAAGATGTTTTACAGGGTTCATAAAGCGTTAATGAAACCTCTGGGATTATACCGTTCAGTTGTAGGCACTGGAATATAGGCGAGAAACAATCAAAATCTTATTTTAAAAGCCTCATTTTTTGTTTACGTTTTATTCACCACAATACTAAACTACAGTATTTATATTCAGTAGTAGTAGATATACAATTATAACTGAAATGTTCTTATTGGTGTATAATTTGCCAGGATTGTGTTGTGAGGCTTAAGTGAGTCTTATCACGTGCCTTAATTTTGTTTCCCAGGATCTTGTGTCCATTGTTCTTATATTTCACCAGACATGACCTTAACAAATGGTAATATCTGTAATAATGTGAATGTATGCCATCCACTATGTCTTACTTTTGTATTTCAATAACTAAAGTAGATTAGATAAATATGATGCTTGTGAGTCTTGCGAAATACGGAATTAAAGGTTCACAAGGAGGCAGCGTAGCCGTAATTAGTGTGCTTAATCCTTATAAGAGTCACATCAAAGGAAGATTAGCCCCTAGCTTATTTCACCTTGAGATTAACCACCCTAATATAACGTAACTTAACCTAATCACCCTAACGCTAACATAACGTAATCAAAAGTAGCCTAACCTAACCACCCAAATAGCGTTAGGGTGTTTAATCACCAGGTGAAATAAAATGGGGGGTTAATCTTAGGTAATTCTAGAAGTCACCCAGACCTTATGGATTATGGTAAACACTCTTGCGTTTTAACTTTCTTTAAATGAAGTGCATATGTTATTAGTGATAGCCGCTGCAGTAGACGTACGTGGATGCCATTGCTTGTTCTAAATGTTCCAACGATCTTGATAAGTATCGTATTGGTCATGATAATTGCAACTAATACACAAAGAAGTAACCTAATTTTAAATAAGATAGAAAAAAATAAACTCGACAAATCTCAACATTGTGTCCTGTCAACAATAAAAAAGTGATATTTGTCATTATTAAAATTATCAGCAGATAAATGTGATTTTTTCTTGGTAAACGATTATGACCCAGTGATAGTGGCGTCTTATCTCTTCTACAGACCCCTGTCGGCATATCAACCACTGCCTATAGTCGTCATCCTCGCTTCAATACTAATTAGAGTTTCGTCCTTTTTAACAGTTGTGGATGGCGTCATTGGGCTGGGTGTTTTTTCCCCGACAGGTTTATCAGGAGACGTATCAGCTGGTCACTCACACGGAGGTACTGGTGGTAGGGTGTACGCCATCAACTGGTTAACTAGTGACTATAGACTCCTGTCGGCATATGAGAGGAAAAATACTTCGTAGATCCTGCGATGAACAGCGATCTGGAGAGTGAGAATGTAACGTGTCCAGCCTCCTATCACTGCCAGCTGAACATCGAGGCCTAACATTTAAACAACAAAGTAGTCTAAATTCTAAACCATAAATTCAATCAGTGCTTCATCATCTTGGGACAACTTTCATGTCAGCGTCGCTGGTCTATGGGTTTTTAAGTGGGTGTGGTGGTGTCAGAGTGGTGTTATTGTCCCAAGGGTGACAACACAGTGCTGGAGGAGTTTTAACATAAAGCAGAAGGATGGAAATCTACCGTCGAAGCCAGTTCGTTGTGTCACCGCCAGCTATCCTTAAAATTATTGAGATGGTAAGACAACACCTTCCCTCTGTGCGTGTGTGTGTGCGCGCTCTGTGTATGTGTTTATGTAAGAGATATAAGTTGTATACTTTAGGGAATATTAGAGGAATACTAATAAAGCTACCACAATATGAAAGAAAACATATATATTACGCCATCCAGTTTGGATACTGGGCAAAATAATTAGTCAAGGAAAAAAAAAGAAAATACATGAAAAATTAATGAAGAAATTTGGGAACGAAGAAACTCAAGAAATAAGAAGACAAAATAGACAGGATGGAGAAGAGTGGTACACTGCGAGATGGGCGACACAAAGGTGCTTCAACTTCGTAAACAGAATGTTGAGAAAGCCCTTACCTGGAAGCCGAAGACGAGACTCAGCCTATGCAAAGGCGGCGTCACACTAGTCTAGCACTTTTCTGTCAACTTCCTGATTTCAATCGTGGACGGTCGGTCGCATAACCCTTGGTGTATCCCCCCCCCCCCTTATACTGCACCGTGTTGGTGAAGCCATCTGAGGAAAAGGACCTCCAGACTCTCGCTATGTTTACTGTTTCTCTAACTTCACTGTACGAGAAAAGACTGAACTAGCGAAGGTGGTGAGTTGGTGACTCACGGATCAGCCAACACCGTCACTATTCAAACTACTTGATCCCCACAATAAAATATCCTAAGCTCAGACGGATGACTCAGGGTCATATAACTTTACCCAGAAGCACTATGCTCTTCCATTCAGATTAAGGTTACGCTAGGTTAGGTCAGGTTAAATGGGTCCATCCTAATAGATTTAACCTAATCAGTCATTATAATAAGGGCCCATTAGCCTCAGTCCTAATACTTAGTTTGAGGATTATTAGAACTGGGGCCCCTTTTTCGCGTACCCTTGATGTCTTGTTCCAAACACTCACTTGTCAGCACACCAGCTTGTCAACACGCCCACGTATCAGTCAACCCTTTTGTCAGCACATCCACTTGCACGAGGAGAGGGAGGACTGTACAGTAGGTTGCGCGGTAAATCAACCTCGTCTAATCTAACCTAACCATTAGAAGCGAACTCTAGTCCGAATAGTTAAAAGTAAGGATAGATTAGGAAAGGATAGGTTAGGTTTGGGCTCAATAACACTAGGGCCTATTTTATCAGATAGTATGGTAGAGAAATGGAAGTGTGGGGGAGGAGGAGTGGTGGTCTAGATCTAACTACACAGTCACCTGAAGGTTGAGGGTTCAAGAGACGGGTCCTCCTCCCTTTCCCTTGTTATCAAATATTGCACATCTTGGAGAATATTAATCACCCATATCTCTCGCCCATTTTTGAGACATTAACAGTGTATAAAAGAATTCTATATTTACTTATGCAGGATAATAGGATAATAATCGTTGTTTATATGAAGGAACACGTAGGATAAGTAAAACGGATAATGGGTGCTAGTTATTAGGGTAAGTGAACTATGAACGTAACAAAACATTCAACATTTTCTAGGCTCAGTGAATTAGTAATGTATAATGACAGATAACACAAGATAACCGAGAATGAGTTGAGACCCAAAAATTGTGTATCTCGAGATAACGTTGACACAGTCGACCATAAAACGATAGTTGAGTGTGCATGTGTAAACAAATCACGAGGCAAAGAGATAATTATGAGAGATTGTGACGTTCTTACTGAGTTGGCTGTGTGTGCACCTTCACGCTGCGCACACACATACACACACACACACTATCCCCCACCCCACACTCACCCACACAACCCCTCACATAACACTCCCACATCCACACACATCCTCCTTCACGTCTCGGGTTCTCAAAAGTTAGTTCAGTTTGTTACATTTTCCTGGTTGAAGTTATGTCGTGAAAAGACGTGATAACTGGTCATCATAGATATTAAGAATTTTGTTTTAATTTAATTGTAAACAGAGAAAAGGGCTCTTGAAGTGAGAGGAATATCAAGAAATCGGAGGATGACGAGGTGAAAAATTATAACTTAGATTGATATATATATAAAAAAATAATGGCTAGGTGTAACAAAGGCAAATTTAGGAGAGAAACAATTATTTCAACGCGTCATTAAATTGAAAACAAACATTACGGTTAAAAAAAATACGAAACATGAAATACGTGAAAATATTAGGTTATTGTTTTTTTTAATTATGGCCAGTTTAGTGCAAGGTTGGAGAAGACATTTCATGAATATTTTGTGGGTAAGGAAGGTGCGTAATGATCACATTCCTTCTATCTCAGATCCTTGGTCAGCCAACCAGCTCGAAATGGTGAGAGTGGCCAGGTGACTCAGGGAGGGTGGTGGGACAGTAACGGATTATCTGCCAGGATGTACAGATGGTGGTGTTGCGTCATTTGTCTTATGTAGGCAGTACCGGTGTTTATGATGGTGGTGGTGGTGGCGAGCCTATGGGCATTTTCAGGTACTAGGATGATGCGTCACGGTGACTTAGTGACGGGCGGCGGACGATAGTGGACGCACAACTATACCATTGGAAGGCCCCAACCACCAGCACCTTGATGATACATACAGGATATACTGCATAGAGCAGATGAGAATACATTTCCTAGAAAACACTTTCATATTTAAGGGCCATGGGGGAGGGGGAGCAGGTACCCAGGTCATTCCCCTACCCCGGGAGGCAACACCTTATTAAGGCCCAAATGATGGAGGTAGAGGCAAGGCAATGCCCTCCACACACAACAACTGGATATATAAGCCTGGCGCCTTTGTCCATTACTAAATTAAGTCAATTAAATTTAAAGATATCAGTCTGTTTCTTGGGGAGGGGGAGGAGAAAGGGAAAAGTGTCGTCAGATGGAATAATTTCTGTATTATCATCACAATCCCAGTTTCCATAATCCATCTGTTTAAGCTGGAACTGTACAACGAAAAGTACACACAAACTCCCCTGTAACAAGACGCGTACTTTTATCTCCAGTAGAGGATACAGGTCGCGTGGAGGCCCCTGGGAGACCTCAAGCCCTGCACGACGGAGGCCCCACAAGGGTATACTTATCTACCCCGTTGTCCCTCGTGTTTATTGGTTCTTGTATCATCCTGGTCCTTGTACCCACATTCTTATACAGTTTATGTATTGAATATGCATCACTCAAGCACCTCCTCCTCAATAGCTAATGATGAGTATTAAGTTGTGGGGTTTCGTGATATTCGTTCGCACTCAGGATGGGATGGAGAAAGAAAACTCACAATGTGCTCTCTGTATACATATTATATTGGATGTACTGTACAATGCAGCTTGGTGGCTGGTGCTAGGAGGAGGCAGCGTGGTTACAAGCGTGAGTAGGGAGAGCTGGTTGGTGAGGGTGCTCAGAGGAGGTGTTGCTTGCTGCGGCTGTAGCTAGAGGAAGGGCAGGTCACGGCCAGGTGAGGTCTTATATAGCGGGGTAGGGTACGATTCAGCGCCGCCAATTCAGCGCCGCCGTTTCAGCGCCGCCGTTTCAGCGCCAGCCCATTTCAGCGCCAGACTATTCAGCGCCGAGACCTTTCAGCGCCTGTGCGTTCCGTTCAACATCTCTGTGGGAAGCAATTGTTGTCTTCTCCCAGTTCCTCTCCGGTATGGACGACCAACCTAACCTAACCTAACCACGTTAATGAAAGACAGATAGCTTCTGAGTTGAACGGAACGCACAGGCGCTGAAAGGTCTCGGCGCTGAATAGTCTGGTGCTGAAATGGGCTGGCGCTGAAACGGCGGCGCTGAAACGGCGGCGCTGAATTGGCGGCGCTGAATTGGGCCATCCCCTATATAGCGGGGGTAGGCGTGGCTTGATTGTTGACCTCTGCTTTGTTCGGGGGCGCTGGTTACCTGACCTTGCCCACGAGGTGCAGGCTGGTGAATTCGCGGGAGGTCGGCTAGTCAGCGACACGGCGTTTGTAGGGGAGGAATCCACTACAGAGTTGCAGTAGGTCATGTGTCAACAGGTACACACGACACGCTGATGCCTGTGTGATAACCTGAATCTATAGCTAGGCCACACGAGGAGAACTCACTATTACAGAGTTTATTCAGAAACGTTTGTATAAATTAAAGAATCAGAAGGATCAGTCGGAAGAATCGGTACAAGATAATCAAATACTGTATACACTCGAGAGATTTTATCCACAAATATCGATATGACATCCAGAACCAAGTGTATATTAAGAAAATTAGTCCATTAAAGTATAACTCAGAGATATATATTGATTTCCATGTGAACGTATAATCATAGTACCTGTATTGATGCTTTAACCTATACAGTATATATTAAGAGAAACGAACAGGGGTCATATTCAGTGATTCAAAGTTGGTACAATAATGTGTGTGTGTAACGAAAACATTTAAGCGCCTCTGTAAGTCAACGTTGTAGTGGATTTCTCCCCTACAAACGCTGTTTGTCGCTGAGTAGCAGACACCGCGAATTCCCCAGTGTATGCCTCGTGGTCTGGGTCAACCAGCGCCGCCATACATCACGGAGGTCAACTACTAAGCCACGCCTACCCCCGCTATTTAAGACCTGACCTCGTGGTGACCTCTCTCTTCTTCCAGCTACAGCCGCAGCAAGCAACACCACCAACTCCGCCGCTGCCTGGCGGCCCTTGCTCCCGCCGGCGAGCATGGTGACCCACAAGCTGGTCCTCCTCTGAGCACCCTCACCAACCAGCTCTCTCTACATCACGCTTGTAACCACGCTGCCACTTCCCAGCACCAAGCTGCATTGTACATCCAATACAATATGTATACAGTGAGCACATTGTGAGTTTCCTTTCTCCATCCCATCCTGAGTGTGAACCCAAACATCCCATACCTCACAACGAAATCATTGTCATATCACCATGGAACCCCTGGCCTGACCCTCTTACCCAGATACGTATAAAAAATGAACTTAAAAACAGCTTAAATTTATCACACACAGTATCAATCCTAGGTAAGTCTTCTCAGAGATCCGTATCAAAAGATTTTTGTTTTTATTATCCTTATTATCACTATCAAATTCACCACCCAGGCTTAAGATGGCGCCAAGCTACTGAGTACCCCTTGTGCAGGAGCTTCGTTAGAGAAGATGTTGCCTGTTGCTGGCCTCCTGGTTGAATGAAAGCTGGACAGCGAGGAGCTTGCTGGGAGGAGGTGTTGCGTGTTCAGGAACCGAGAGCAGAATGAGAGCTGGTTGGTGAGGAAGCTCAGAGAAGGACAGCTGGTGGGTCGCCATGCTCGCTGGCGGAAGCGAGGACCGCCAGGCAGGCGGAGGAGAAGCGAGGGCCGCCAGGCAGGCGGAGGAGAAGCGAGGGCCGCCAGGCAGCGGCGGAGGAGGAGGTGTTGCTTGTTCAGGAAGAGAGGCCAGAATGAATCTCAATGGAGAGACAGAGTCAAGCGTGAGTCACGTTGGGAAAACCCGAGAAAGTCCCTGGTCTTTGGCTCCGTTGCTAGGATACTGCGGCATCTGGTGACGCCCCCCTCTGGGGCGCTAGTTTGGTTGCTAGGGAAGACGTCGCAGGTGGCCTGCAGCTACGCAGTTGTATGGGAGACGTCCACTACACCCTTTTGGGAAGAAGAACGGGAACTCATTGTATTTGTCAATCTTTTAAGAACTCCATTATGTATATACCCGAACCTATACTACAGTCTCTTCGTAATTACGACGTCATTCACATCTTTTACCTGTGTAGTATTGTTGAAGTGAGTTTGCTTTGTAATTCGCACGTCGACTCCGAACTATCGTATTTCTTGTCTAGACCCTGAGTTATCATAATCCTTAACACCCTGATCTATCGTATTCTTTAATTAGATTTTCAATTATTGTTATTCGGGATGTGTGTGTGTGTGTGTGTATGTGTATTTGGTACGAGATGAAACTATTGGTGGTGTTGATGGTACTTGTATTCCCACAGGTGGTGCTGGTGACGGGAATGGTGCTGTTTATGGTGAGCAACAAATGTGATAGCAACGCCAGCTACGTGACATTGTTCGTGTTGCCGTGTGGGGTGTGTGTGGCCCTCACCCTCGTCTCTTACATCACCGCCATGCTGGTGCTGGCCGGAGGCAGGAACCCCCTCACTACCCCTACCTGGGTCAAGGGCGTGAGTCTACCTTATCCTCGTTCTTTTTACTCTTACTATCTCTCCCTCCTTATATCTATTCAATCTTTCACTCCACTTCATTCCAACTTCTCCAATTCATTCCATCTATCTCTCCTTGAATCTGTTTCTCACTCCAATCTGTTTACAGTGGCAGATCATATGGGCCCCAGTCAAGCATCTATTAGGACTGGGTCTTAAGCATATTGGTTACGTTAGTTTGGATGGAGGGCCTATCAGTACTGGTGCCCATTGGACCAGTCTCCATAGGCCAGTGTTAGAACAATATTGCCTCATGTTCAGTGTGTGTAAATTTCAGCTTGGTTTTACAGTGTTGATGTTCATGTTCGCGCACACACACCACTTACTTTTTTCTTTTACTAACCCGGTACAGTTACAGGAGCTGCCATGCACAGGCCAACCGGTCTATTGCAGACTCATTTTCTTATGTTCTTATGTAATGCAAGTACAGGTACACACAGTAGTACAGGTACAGATTTTAATATGGATACGGTAAAAGTACTTGTATGAGGACAGGTACAAATAGAAGTAGAGGCACAATTACAGGTACTGTACAGTACAGTACTAGTTTAGACTTACCTCTGCCCTTCTGTCCTTTTTGATTTAGGTCAGTCTTGGTTATGTTAATTTTGAATTAGTTAAGTTTGATCAGGCTTGGTTAAGTTACTGTATGTTAGTCCTGGATTAGGTTAAGTTAGGTTAATCTTGCTTAGGGTTAAGTTATTCTTGATTTAGGTAAGTTAATTCTTACGGATGTATTTGGTTAAGATAGGTTAGTGTGGTCTTGGCTAGGTTTGGATAGAAAGGTCTTGTTTAAGGTTAGATTAGATTAGTCATAAGTTACTCTTGGTTAGGTAAGACATCGCCGAGAAAATGTTTTTGCGGTACCGTTTGCAGTAAATTTTAAACCACGATTAATTTGGTACAGGACGTGATCTTCAACGTGGCAGCCCTGGTGTTGATGGTGGTAGGGTCCATCATTACGCTTACCAACCAGGCCTGCTCCAATACCTCCATCACCGTGGCAGCCATTGTGAGTATTGCTTCTGCCATACACTCATGTCTGCCTAATACACTCACATCTTCCTCTCATACATCCAAGGAGCTTTAATACACGGAGGCGGCATGACGTTACCCTCCAAGCAGGACTGGTGAAACCAGTGGGAAGAGCTAGCAATCATATTGGTCGATGCAAAACAAAGCTTTTCAAACTCTATTCGAAACCACCTGGAGAAGCACAAGTTGATCAATGATTCCCAACATGGCTTCACAAGCGGGCGTTCATGTCTAACTAATCTATTAACATTCTTTTCATCAGTTTCCCAATCGGTGGACGAGGGGCACAATTATGATGTGGTATATCTCGACTTAAGCAAAGCCTTCGACAGAGTCCCCCACGAAAGACTAATTAGAAAGGTAGAAGCGCATGGCATCAAATGTAATATCCTTAAATGGATTAGGGCGTGGTTACGGGACAGGAAACAGCGAGTGAGCATAAACGGCACTAAATCGCATTGGAGCAACGTCACTAGTGGAGTTCCCCAAGGCTCAGTACTTGGACCATTATTATTTATTGTACCTGTATACATAAACGACATAGATATCGGCATAGACAGCAACATAAGTAAATTTGCTGATGACACTAAAATAGGATGTGTAATTAAATCTAACGAGGACTCTGCAAAACTACAGGAAGATCTAAACAAATTTTTCGAATGGTCGGAAAAATGGCAGATAAAATTCAGTGTGTACAAATGTAAAGAACTCAGTATAGGAGATGTAAACAGGGAAACCAGTTACCAGATGAACAACGATGCCATTGTGGAATCCGACTGCGAGAGAGATTTAGGAGTAATGATAAGTAGGAATCTTAAGCCAAGTAAACAATGTGTTTTTGCTCGTAACAATGCTAATAAAGTACTTGGGTTCATACAAAGGAGTGTTAGTTAAAAGACTAGCGAGGTCATCTTAAAATTATATCTAGCGCTTGTGAGACCTCACCTGGATTACGCAGTTCAGTTCTGGTCACCGTATTACAGAATGGATATAGAATCCTTGGAAAGAATCCAGAGGAGAATGACAAGACTAATCCCGGGTACAGAGTACAGAGACAGGTTAAAGCATCTTAATTTGCACTCTCGAGAGAGACGTAGAGTGAGGGGCGACATGATAGAGGTGTATAAATGGAAGTCAGGGTTAAACAAAGGGGACTTTACAAAGGTACTCAAACTATCCAACCATTAGCGAACTCGTAACAATGGTTTTAAATTAGACAAATTTAGATTTCGGCGTGAAATAGGTAAACACTGGTTTGGAAACAGAGTAGTGGATGAATGGAACAAGTTACCAAATATCATCTTTAACTCGAATACGATGGATAGCTTCAAACATAGGTTGGATGCTTGTATGAGCAATAGGGGTTGGGTATAAACGGGGGTGACCGGATAAAACCCCAGTCTCATATATAAAATAAAACACTTTTAAGCTTAGGTTAGGTTAGGTTAGGTTAGTGTCGACAAATGACAACCCCGTTGGGGTTTTGTCATGGAACCATAAACGGGACTGCCCAGTATGGGTCAATAGGCCCGCTGCAGTTTCCTCCATTCTTATGTTCTTATGTATCTTTTCTTATATTCGCAGCTCTATTTTGTAAAAACAACTATTAAATACTACTGTGGGTGCAATACATAATACAGTTTTAACTCTCGTGATATTTTGGAAAACTGGAAGACATGAAGCCAGTGCCTACACTAAACTGGCACTTCTGCATAATTTTTTATGGTTAACAAATATATTAGCAAAGCTTGGAGTACAGTTTGCCTATTCTGAGTAATTCAGTCAGGTCTTGACACTGAGGGTGTTATCACTTCTCACTGCCAAGCAGGACAGTGGTTCATACACAGTAGAAATCATATTTTATTTGCTGTTTAATCAGTGTGGGCCAGCAGCAAATTTTGGATAGACAGCAATAATGTCCTCAAGCACTCGTGATTCAATGTAGTAACTACATAGTTCATGATACAATAAGCCAGGTGACCTGAAGTCTTTGACAGTGTCATACTGTATTCAATAATATAATGTTCAAGTGTATGCTTTAAAGGTTTATCACAAAGTTTATGTGCTTAATATAACTGAATTACAACTTCAACACTTACCAATAGAATCTCTCGTCCCTCTGGGTACATCTACCGTACAGTATATGCTGAGCAGGATGGCACAATGGAGCACAATTTGGAAGCAGCACCACAATGTACAGGCATGTTTATTCAACAATGATGGCGACACCGACCGGGTGGTAGCTTCTTGGGTATTATTTCATGCCTCCTCTGGTTTATTAAATCTTCTTGCTCACATCTCACCTCCCTCATACACCTTTTTACCTCCCTTACACTCACACATTCCTCATGTTTGTTACCCTGATAGTGCATTCCTTTTATCATAACCAACTGCTCATTTTTAACTTCACAGCAGTTATTATACCACATAATCAGTTATTACATTCATAAATTCTGTTGGGGCCTTAGAAAAAATGCCTTCGATTTCTAATGAGCTGTGAGTATGTTTGTGCCCCACAGGCCATGGGGCTCATCAGCGCAATTTTGTTCGCTACTAGCGCTGCCACCACCTACCTCTTGCTGACGCGACACCATGAACAGGTGAAGGAATCGCAGCGGGAACAACTGGAGAACCGTCGTGTTACGCTCAGTGTCATTGCTTAGTTATCCTTCTGCCACAGTGACCTAATAATGTGATAGCGTAGCAGTTCAGCTGTCAGTGTAATAGTGTAGTGGTTCATCTAGCAGTGTAATAGTTCATCTGTCAGTGTAATAGTGTAGTGGTTCATCTAGCAGTGTAATAGTGTAGTGGTTCATCTGTCAGTGTAATAGTGTAGTAGTTCATTGTAACAGTACCATGATTTTAGAATAAATTAATTTTATTTTCGAGAAAATATGTATGAAAATTCAATTGAGAAACAGAGAGCTTGTCCAAATGTTCCCACTCAAACTGACCAATGACAGTGTGAGGGCCTTAAGCCTGAACCAATAGGGAGAACCTGTGAGGCATGATGTCATGAACATGTGGCTTCATATGTCACCAGGATTTAACATGACGAGGTAATACAGTATAAGTAAGCACACTTTAGGTTTCACGAAATGTATTGTGATTCATGTGACTTCATGTGACCCGTTTCACTAGCTAGGAGAATAGGTTTATTGTTTTGAAGTGTAATTGTCAATCTTAATATAGTTTTCAATAAAAACAGTAACCAATAAGAAGTGTATTTTTTTCTTCATCATATTCGCCACAAATTCATCCATCCCCTTATTGAGAAAAGTTGATTTATTTTAAGTGTCTTGGTGGTATAGTGATAAAGTGACCCATGAGTAATAACATAATTATCACCTGTGTCCCCTAGTGTCTTAGTTATCGCATGTTATCCCTATTCCCAGTTATCATGTTCCCCATCCATTCTCCCTCCATCTCCCCTTTGTGTCAGGGTGGCTGTCTGACAAACCGGCAACCCCCCCCCCCCCGTCTCTGTCTCTCTCACAAGTATAAAGAACAAAGAAAGGAGAATTAAGAAGAAAATAAAGGAAGAATAAACGTTTTATTCCAAATGGTGGCAGTGGCAGTAAGTCATCTGTCAGTGTAGTGGGGTCCCCCTGGCAGTGTAGTGGGGTCCCTCTGGCAGTGTGACAGTGTAGTGGGGTCCCCTGGTGGTGTGACAGTGCTGAAGCGTCATAGTGTGGGGTGTAACATATGGCTGGTCATTTGACTTTTTTCCTGACCCAGTTGGTCACCTGCTACCTGTGAGTATTCCATACTATTTATTATCAGTTTGCTTTATGGTTCCTATGGTGTTATTTGTGTTTTAAGGGTGCCTTCTGTAATCTGTTTGTTTATTACTACGTATGTACAACTCAAGTGTGAATGAATTGTGCAAATATAATAGCATGTTGACCATTACTACTAAATTAATGAAAAAAATTCTAAATGGACTATATTATTGCAGCTTTTTATTCATGGTCACGTTGGTGTGAACTTCTGCACTCCTAGCCTTGTATGTCAGCAGGCCAGCTAGGACACTGTCAGCCCTGGCAGTGTGACAGTGTAGTGGAGTCTGTCTGGCAGTGTGTCACTGTAGTGGAGTCCGTCTGGCAGTGTGTCACTGTAGTGGAGTCCGTCTGGCAGTATGATAGTGCAGTAGCCTGTCTGGCCAAGTGACCAGTGTAGTAACTTGTCTGTCAGTGTGACAGTGTAGTAGCTCATCTGTCAGTGTAATAACTTGTCTGTCAGTGTGACAGTGTAGTAGTTCATGTCAGTGTAGTAACTTGTCTGTCAGTGTGACAGTGTAGTAGCTCATCTGTCAGTGTAGTAACTGGTCTGTCAGTGTGACAGTGTAGTAGTTCATCTGTCAGTGTGAGTGTAGTAGTTCATCTGTCAGTGTGATAATGTTGTACAAAATTTCATGTCATAATAATCAAGTATACTGTAGTGAACATGAATTATTTTCCCTGATGTGCCATCCTGACAGTACACCTTATTGGATACTGCCATTCTTAGAAATATTTCCCTCAATGGTCATCCCTGAATTCTGATACACACTTTAAGAATAAAATACCAAATGATTTAATATAGAAAGATTTAATTAAAAGTTTTGCCTTATATCTACTTCCCACTTTAACAGAAAAGTTCCCATTAACATACCTGGGGAAGGGAGGTTGGCCCAGTATAGCAACCATAATGCCTCCTGGTACTATACCAAAAGCTTAGTATTTAGTGTGCGGAATCTGCACTGTCCCTAATGGGTTGCAAAGGCCAATGGGACTAACTCATTTTACTACAATGATGTAACCTTAATGTTTCTTGGCACTTCATGAACACAGTTTGTAAATTTCCATTTTGAAAATATAACCGTTATCCACATTTTTTTCTCCATTTGGCAGTTCTTAAGTAGAAAGTTTCCTAAATCCTATTCACTCCCAGTCATAAAATGCAGTAAGTTAATAACCTCCTGTTATAGACACTGAGAAAAACATGGGGTTCCATTATTCATTTTATCTATTGGCTACCATTTCCTCATGGATAATATGAGTGATCTGTTTCTTAAAACCTGTTATCCTACAGAGGGGAAGTTCCCAGTATCCTATGACCAACCGTGCTAATAAATTCAGGATTATAACTTATACAGTATAACACTGCTCCTCGACTTACAACGGGGTTAGGGACCCAAATCTAGGTCACAAGTCGAAAATGCTTAAATAATACATTGAAAATCTAAAATGGGGGTCTCTCTTTCTTCTCAGCACCACAAAACTCACTTTTAAGCTTGCCAGCCATTTTATAGTGAATTACAAACGAAAATTTTGCCAGTACAGTGCAATCACTTAACGTTGGGAATCGAAAATACGTAATTTGACAAAATTTTGGTACGACTGAGGCTTATGTCCGGATGGTCGTAGGTCGTGTGTGTGTATGTATATGTGTGTGTGTGTATGTGTATATATATATATCTTGATAAAATCACACGGGAAAATGGAAACAACGGAGTACCTTAGCTTTCGTCTTTATTCAAGACATCTTCAGAGGCAACTGGATTACATGGACAGAGAGAGGCTTAAATATACAGGGTGACCTAAAAACATGAGGTCAGGTCATAATGATGACATCCACTAATCCCCACACCAACACACACGTAGAGGAGCTTAAGAGAAGGGTGGTGACGTGACTAGTCAGGTCAGGTCAAAAATAAGGGACCCACAAAATAACTATTATACATCTAGATCAAAGGTTTTCAAAGCATTTTTAACCTTGGGCCACTGACAAATAAATTTATGTAACATATTATCAGTTTTGAACTGACCATCACTAAGGTTTATTGATTTTAATTCCTTAATCAAACTAGCTTCAACCAGAAGTCTTTCTGTGACACAAGATGATTTGAATACTTCTAAGCTTTTTTCCCAAGCAATGGGGTGATTATTATTCCTAACATGAACGAACAAGGCACTGCTTTCAGATGCAGTTCTGATATTATACTTATGTTGTTTGATTCTGAGCTGCAGTGTTTTTCCTGTCTGACCTACATAATTACAATTACATTTGCTACATGGAATACAATAAACACTTCCATTTACATTCAAACTTGGGCTATTCCTTATTAACATATTGGTAATGGTTGAGTCATACTTGAAAACAACATTAATATTTAGAAGCTTGAGGGACCGAACTAACGGGACAAATTCAATACGATAGGGCAGAGTCAAAATATTCTTAAGTGTAGGAACTTGTCTGGTTTGAGAGGAATGAAAGGATTTTTTAGCCCTTTTAAAACATTGATCAACAAACACTGAAGGGTACCCAAGTTTCTGTGCAATAGAACGAATGTGTTTCAATTCATGTAGGTCAGACAGGTAAAACACTGCAGCTCAGAATCAAACAACATAAGTATAATATCAGAACTGCATCTGAAAGCAGTGCCTTGTTCGTTCATGTTAGGAATAATAATCACCCCATTGCTTGGGAAAACAGCTTAGAAGTATTCAAATCATCTTGTGTCACAGAAAGACTTCTGGTTGAAGCTAGTTTGATTAAGGAATTAAAATCAATAAACCTTAGTGATGGTCAGTTCAAAACTGATAATATGTTACATAAATTTATTTGTCAGTGGCCCAAGGTTAAAAATGCTTTGAAAACCTTTGATCTTGATGTATGATAGTTATTTTGTGGGTCCCTTTTTTCTGACCTGACCTGTCTAGTCACGTCATCACCCTTCTCTTAAGCTCCTCTACGTGTATGTTGGTGTGGGGATTAGTGGATGTCATCATTATGACCTGACCTCATGTTTTTAGGTCACCCTGTATATTTAAGCCTCTCTCTGTCCATGTAATCCAGTTGCCTCTGAAGATGTCTTGAATAAAGACGAAAGCTAAGGTACTCCGTTGTTTTCATTTTCCCGTGTGATTTTATCAAGATATATATATATATATATATATATATATATATATATATATATGTATATAATGTTGTGTTTCTTACTGAATGCTTCTTGATATTTTATTCTAGATCTTCTGATATCAATTAGTTTGATATTTTAGAGGAATTTTAAGATTAGTCAAACCTCTTCTCTCCACAAATCAGTAGAGTGATTTGCCACTTTAATTATTTTCTTTAATTGTATTTATCTACAAGAATACAGGTACTGAATATTTTTTTTAAAATAATGTCTGAACCTTTTTCTACTAATTCACAATACACTACTGCATTATGAAGACTATCACATCTGAATTTATGCTGGTATCTTGAGACATCACTTGAGAAGTTTCTAAAAAGAAGAAAAAAAATGGTAAGAAATTGATTACAAATTGTCCTAAAACACAGGAAAAAGCTTTAATTTTTCAAAAACAAATATTTTCACCAATTTTCTCTTAACTTGTGTGTATGGTATAATATACTCTGCTCTGTGATAACAATAAAGAACTGATGCACTATTAACACCTGAAAATTCATCACTTGGGGTACTGCCTGTTTGACCATAGCAATGGCATTACAGATAACAAACAAGCATTAGGTATGACTGAGCAATACATTTACTTCCTTTTATGACAGTCTAAATCTGAAGAGGAGGAGAGCCAAGGGAGAGAAGTGACACTTAGGACCTGACAAGAGAGACAAGAAACTGTGCAGTATGGAGAGCAGCCATCAGATAGCCCATGTAAATGTGGGGCCATAAAACAATGACTATGAATAATAGCACTGTGACAGGCGTCGAGTTAAAAAAACACCAGAATGGACTATGGTAAAATTCAGGAGTATCATATCATGAAAAGTTTCTTGTGGTATTTTGTAGAATCCCCACTGGATCAATCAATAACTCAGCGCAGTGAATATCTAGTGTGGTTCATAGGTAAGAAAAGAACACCACTGCCATAATGAAAAAGGCAGACACAGTGCAAGAAGGGAGAGTAAAAATCTGGCTAGTTAAGAGGACAAAGACGATTACAGCTGTTGTAATATTCCACACTTCTGAGTACAGGGTGTACATTACCAACGATGGTCTTGAAAACTGCCCCCAGACTCGAGCTATATATAGTTGATAAAAAACCTAATGGGGCAAGTACAGTAACATTCTATAATACCAAAGTCAGTTATCTATCAATATATAGAAACTACAACAGCCATCATATGCAGTAACAGGAAAGGAAATATACATAGGTACCCCCCTTCATTGCACATTTAACCCCTTGATCATAGGAACACCCTTTTAAATATTTTATTTGACTAATGCCAGACAATTTTATTCAGCTCGGAGGGGGACCCGTACACAAGGGGTTAGAGATGTAAAGTGCCAGGTGAAAACTCTACAACCTACCATGAATAACACAGTTGACCTGATAAATGTGTACAGGAAAATTTCATTTCAAGGTTCATAAAAATCATATTATTAAAGGGAGTTTATTGTCCACAAAGACAGTATGTCAACTCTGACGGTCAATATGAAAGTACTTCAGAAAGTGTGCATTGTAAAATAATAGAAAAATGATGAAGAACTGTTTAATACATTAATACTTGGATTTATTCAATTTGACCCAAATACCTAAATGCTATTCATAAAATCTGATACATTATGTTAAAAGACAAAATAAAGCATTATCTTACAATAACCTCTGGAAAAAACTAAAGTTTTTAGTTAAACTTAAATAAATGAAATAATAATATGAATTATACACTACCACATATGCATAAACAATCATATACTGTACAGTATATAGAAAGGTGAGGAGTAATTCAAAAATTAAGTTCCATAAATTACATGAAGCCATGAAGGAAAAAAGATTAGAAAATCAATGTAAGACTAAAAAAAAAAAAAAAGAATAGGAAAAGTAACTGATATTTATGGCTAAAATAAATGATGATTAAAATGATGAATGGCAGTATGTTTACACAATAAATATCATCATTAAGTTTTGTGTTCACCTGCACACAACAGATGTTCGACTAGCTTCTACGCAACTATACCCCTACCATTGAACCAGACAACTTGTGCTGCAGTTTCTCCACTGTCGAGACAAAAAATCCATAACTATAATTTGGTTTGATATCATTTTAGGAGGAAAAAGTCAGTACATAACACCAATATTACTACATTTTTGATCATCCACAATTAATAATGAAGATAAAAACTAGTTGTGTCAATTATTACAATGCTAATAGTCAAGCTTCATTCACCTGCTTCACATTATTCTCTGGATTACGTTTCTGACGCCCAAAACCTTTTCTGTGAAATGAAAAGAGTTTCTTTGTCCTTTTATGCTTGAACTGTCTTTGTTTCGGTGTTTTTTTGTCTCCTCCACTGCCCGTAACATTCAATACAGCAGAACAATTTTCATGTCCTTCTCGAACACCGGAGAGTTTTGAAGGTCTTCCAGTACCCGTCTTCATTTGAAGAGGAAGAGCATTGACCTGAGGCAACTGTAACCCGGTTTCATCCTGAGCTTTGCTGCAAGAACTGGAGTCTATATAATTTTCATACACAGGGATGGAAGGGGCTTGAATGTTACTATTGTCTGAGCACTGCAGCATCATATCAGAGGAGTCTTTGTTCATCACAGACTGAGATTTTTCTTCAGTGTCAATAATAGCACTGTTCTCAACTGCTGTCTTCTTTGGTATCTGAAGCAGTTTTTCAGTCACTGCTGTTGTTCCCATCTGACCTCTGAGCTGAAAAAGACATGGTCTAAGTTTACAAAGACTACACAAGAAACAATCAAAATCAACTCCAATAATATCTCTATTAGCTGGAATCCCTCTTAACAAGAACTCTCCAACAGCCAGAATTGGAAATTTACTTGGAAAATTGTTCCCAAAGCCAGATTTTTCCGGAAAATCACGGGGATGGGAGAAAGTGAGGAATTATACTGACATAGACCGCACAAGCTATGAATAAAGGGAAATGACAAATACTGAGGTCTATAAAAGTTGATGAACCTAATACAAGATACAGTACACATAAAAGTCCCAAAATACAGGTTGTCAAAAAACAAATAATTGAATATAATTCCATTTTATGATCTATAGAAGAAATTCAGTATCTTGAATGATTCCTTCCTACAACATCCCCTTGGCAGAGCCTGCAGTGTCCAGTGGGCTGGGCTGGGCTGTATTCTGAGGCATGGACATTTATATATTGACACTTGCCACCCAAAGTTTCCTGGCATTTAATTAGTGCATGGCTGTGGTCCCAGTTCAATATCTAAGTAAACACCTCAGTTAGTAATATATTAACCTGTCTTGCAAGAAAAATCTTAAACTTTAGTACATAAGTACAATGGACTGTGTAGCCATAGAACACCCTATTTAAGTATCTAACATCAGATAATGCTTAGCTAGCCATCCACTAAGTCACAACAGCAAAACATCCTTGCTAAATAGGCAACTGGTATCTGGTTCAGTTGGCCAATTTCTTTAGATCATTCTGACAGTTGTTAACAAATGTAACCTAACCTATCCTACCCTAACTTGGGACCCCACAGCCTGTTGTTATAACCAGCAGACTTATTGATGACACAGTTACAAGATCCTAACGTATGGTACAAACCAAATACTTAGTGGATGAACAAACAAAACTACACATTGCACACCAAAATCCACAGGCTCTAGTTCAACAATTCACATGTTATATAATACTTTCAAAATGGCCTTTACAAGTGCTAGCAGATATCAGTGTAACTATGTGTACCCAACAAAAGGAAATCCTTGATTATATTTAATTTTATACTACTCTACTACAAAGAAAATACTTGTAACTTTGAAACAAATCTATTCACATAATCACGATTCAAAAAGGTTTCAACTCACCGTTTCTAACTCATCTGAATTATGATCCTGACATACAGTGCCAATACCATTTAAATGTTGGAGATTACCCTGAAGATGCAGCCGACAAAATGAATTTGGGCAGAAGTCACAGCGATTCAAACGTGCGCTTCGCTGTCCACATTCATCACAGTGATGCCATGGACATATCCATTTACCTATAAAAGTAAAAACACTCGGTTACAAAAATTAAATGCAAATTTTAAAACAATTCCTTTAGTTTAAGGTCCTCTAGGACAGTGTTTTTCAAACTTTTTTTACTGCGACCCACAGCCAGAACAACAATTTGAATTGCGACCCATTAAACCTAAGTGTAATGATATGAAATGAGTAAATCAAAGACAAACACTGACATGAGAGGTAAAGAATGAATCAGGAAATGCTCTCCTTGCAGTCGCTTCCTAGACTGTGGAGTGTACATTACAATAACCAAGCCTAAATTATGGTGCATTTATTTTTATTTTCTTATTTATTTTCGAGACCCATTTTTATTTTGCGACCCACTGAAGGGTCGGGACCCATAGTTTGAAAACCCCTGCTCTAGGATACCTGCATTAACAGCAAAACATTCTCCTCAAGCATTGCTTTAAAGCACTAACAGAGGTTGAACCAACAAATAAATCCATGAGTTGCAGTGAAGCACCTGTGTATAGCATTATGGTAATTGCATTAACAACATATAAACTCTTGGGAGACAGGGGTGACAGTAGCAGCATTATGGATACATGGGAGAAATAGTGACATGAGAAACAATAAGTCGGTGGAAGGAATGTTTTGAAAACTTTGTGATATAAGGATGGAAATGAACCAATTTAATTTTGGGAGATGGAGAAGAGAAACTACAAATGTTTCTTACAGAAATAAGGGAGACGATAATAATAATAATAATAAAGGGCAAATGTCAGCCAGGCAGAGCAGTAGCTGGAAGGTAGAGTATGGCCACTGTTAACATGTCTCTACGCAGATGATGCAGAGCCTTTAGTGTAGAGAACAGGGGAGGGGATACAGGCAAGAGAGTAAATGAGTTATGTAGCAATAGGTCAGCCAGGTAGCTCTTATGTCATGGCCAAAGAGAGGAGTTTCCTGGAAAAGTCAGGCGGTGAGTAGAAGAAAACACAAAAACAGGATATAGAAGTGAAGTGTTAAAGTAGAGAAAAGCAGCTCATGTGGTATAAAAATCTGCCAATTGCATAAGAATTTCTTACCTCTGGGTAACTTGTCTAGTCCTAGACATTCAAGGTGGTAACCTTTGGGACAAGCAACAACATCACAAAGAATCAGATCACCAGGGCCACCACATCTAAAGCATTCATCTTCAGACAATTTGGCTTCACGTCGCCGACGCTTTCGTCTTTGTTTACCCAATTTTTCTCTCTTTGGACCTGACACTTCAGCCTGTTATATAAATAAAGAATATACATTATTATCCTGCATGTGTACCAAATGAAGTACACTACAAGAAATTCTTAATGGTACAACAATGGACTAGCCTGGAATCAAGACTGGATAGTGGGACATATTCTGACATACTTAACTGAATTCGAAATATTAGTGAAAGTTCCTCACATTATCTATTCATCCATATAACTACTTAAAATTTTGGGTTGTTTTCACACCATGTTGACACAGAGCATGTACTGTATTGTACTCTGTCTCTGGTTTATTGATCTCCTTTACACCTTCATAAGATCACCCTTCCCATATACAATTTTCCCCTCTAATACTAACTTACCATATTATCCTTCCCCCTTTAAACATTCTTTCTCATTTTCCCACATTCAACACAATTGTTTCCTATCTCAACAAGTTTCATCACCAAATACATCTTTTATTCCATGCTTACTTTCTCTCTATCTTCTCTGAGTCCTTCATAAGGATTATGCCAGATTTTTGCAGAGCACCTGTCAAAAACTGATTACATTCAACGTACAGTATAAGGAGAATCAAAGTAACCAATTGGGGATACGGTTCTTTAAAGGTGGTGAAGTGGTGTTCCCACTTCTAACACTGGCCAATCATTGTGAATGTTTAATATGCTGTAAATATAAAATTTTAGCTTTTTTTGTGGTGGTGGTGGGTATTCAAGCTATAATGAATATGAATTACAGCATCCCCCCCCCCCCCAGGCTGTATGCCATAGGTAGAATTTTTGCCCATCCAGTATTGAAATTATCCATACAAGAGAATTCTGAATAGGAGTCAAGCTAGGACCCTGGACCTTTAATATCAGACTGTTGGCCTTTTCTTGTGGCATCCTTAGTTCCACTGCGATACCAACCATCGTGTTGCCAGTCAAATCCAAAATATACAAAATAATTTTAAATATAGTACATTATGATCATTTAGATTTAAGGCAGCACAATGCCCTTGGTTGGCCTCAGAGAGAAACAGACAGAATTGCATTGCCCAACTGGACTACAGAGTCAAACAGTAGTATGTCAAATTACCGGACGTCTGCAAACCCAGAACATAAGACTTAACTGGGGATTCTCCAGAGATGATTTTTTTCTTTATTTGTTATTAAGATTGAGAGACAAGACCATTACTGTGGTGAGCCATGTCAAGTTACAATACAGTGTTTTGGGATTTGTAAATTATCAGTTCAGAGGTGCACAATCATAAAGAAAACCCTTTACAAAAAGTGCTTAGTTATAGTTACAGTATTATTTAATAACAAAGCACTGTACGGTATAAGTAAAGAGAAAATCTCGTTCACCTTATTTTGGTACTGCACATGAACTTCTTTTGACATTACTTCAGCATAAGATATGTACTACAACTAGAGAAGAACCTCTCTTGTAAACATCTTTGGGACCAACAGTGCCATCAACTTGAGAATTTTGAAAGGTAACAAGTGACCTATACAAGGATACAACAGATACTAGGATTATGAACCTAAAGTATCAGGTATATACAGTATAACACTAATGTTTGAACTCAAAGGTCATGATGCAAACTTGTTATTGTACCAGTGATGTTAAGAGCCAACATTAATCATGTGCAGGAAGACAGTAGACTCAGTTACCTGGCTAATCATTATGTGGTTCAGTTTAATAGCATATTATTAACAAACCAATTCTACTAATAACTGACTCAAACTTCCATTTAACCAAAAATTGGGAAGAATTTTTTCCCTGTCAAAGTTCTATATTTCCTCTCCCCAAATCATGATTTTCTGGTGTCCTGTGTTCACTTTATATTCCTGAAAAATATTTACATGTTCCACACACTTAAATAAATGTAACACAGATTCTATCAATTTAATTTCACCACTCTTAAGGTTAAGACCCATGTACAGTAACTTGTTTTTAAGGGTAAACTGTGTGTGCGGGCTTCTATAACAGTGTGCCCGTAAGTTTTAAATCGCCTTTATATACATTTACCCGTTACTTTTCAGTTTCCAGAGAAAAAGCATTTTTCACTAAAATTACAACTGAACTATTGTAACAGCACCTTCGCTTTATATAAATACACCCAATGAATAATACACTAAAGTTATTCACGACCACATCACTTGGCTTGCATCTTTCTGAAGGGTCGAGCCAGGGTCAGCTGATTTAGCAAACACCAGCTCGCTCTCTCTCACACCCCGAGAGTGGCAGTTTACTTACTACCACTGGAGAGAATTCACAATATATTTTCTCAGATTGTACCTGTGTATCTACGTACCTGCTACTCTGCAATAAACCAGAAAATGCCAAGAAGTGTTTAGATCAAGCCCTGCCACAGGGGTACTCTTTTTACATGCTGGTTACAGATCTGGGTTCAGAATTTTAAAATTCGAGAAACAAGCATCAATTAACGAGCTCTGAAATAATTTAATATAGTACATACAGAATATTTTAAACTTCAAATACATTGTGCCCGTAAGTTTTAAATCGCCCTTACTTACATTTACTCAGTGATATAAACTCTTTCAGCTTTAAACATGTTACTTTACAGTTTCCAGAGAAAAAGCGTTTTATCACAAAAATGACAACTGAACTATTAACCATCATTTTGTCATTAGGTCAAAAGTCATAGAAGTACTCTTTTATATGCTAGTTAATGATCTGGGTTCATTATTTTTTAATTTGAGTAATTAGTGTTAATTAATGGGCTTTGTATCATGGGTCCCTCACATACAACACTAACCAATACTTTTGTTTTTGCCTTAGAGTATTCACTCTCACATCCCTTCAACCCCACTCCAATACCTCCTCAACAACATCTGCTACAGTATAGCGCAGTAAAGCTCAACCTAGGGTTTGTATTAAATGTTTATGCGTTAATACCAATGTAATACAGTACTACCTTGTATGCTCAAAAAATATAATTTGCTCGAAGGAAAACACTTTCTCAAACACAAGTCAGCCCATTACAGGTTAACAGTGTGAAGGTAATATTGTGGCAAAATCTTTGTTTTACCAGAATTTCTAGGTCTGGACCATCCTATGAAATAATCAGTCTGGTAAAGTGACGTACTACTGTACAATGTATCCCAACGAACCAATTCCTACCGTTTGGCAGGTTATCCAGATGCGGGAACGTCTGCTTGCTCTGGAGCTTTTGCTTGGTGACCTAAGCCTTTGTAGTCAGTCACCTTCAATGGTGAAAGGTTCTGGTACTACTATTATTCTCCCTTTCTTTGAAGAGGGGCAGTAAAACAAAATGTAATTAAAACTATAAGTCGGCAAGAATAACATAGCAATACACAGCATCACTTTGGTGTCTGCAGACAGACTATTCCTCCTAGCTAGACCATAAATGAGCCATTCATATTTCAAAGCAATTTTTGAAGTATTCTTATGCAAATTCTAGGGAGGAAAAAGTATGTACAGTATACAGTACTCAAATACCATAACAGCATTTGTATATAGATATGAATATTTTTATGAATATATATGACTAAGTAAAAAGCCACTTTTTGTGATGCTGGAATATCTGTACTAATGTACTGCACCTGCATCAGGTTTAGATCCATTGGAAACTAAATTTATTAAAATGTCTTTACAAACACTTATCAAATAAATAAAAATGTATAATCTAACAAATTGTCCATCCATTAAAGAATACAATACTATTTAAGTCAAATTTTCAATGTCAACAACTAATATACTTTTAGCTCACCGTGTAGGACCACTATGATTCATAGCCATGGCCCTGTGTGTGTGTCTACATTTTCATGAAACTTGACATATTGGTGGTTAGCAAACCCTGTAATTATTGTCTACCAGTTCCAATATGATGTTATGGAAGCAATCTTGGAATATTTAAGTGCCGCAGTTAATGGTTTGGTTAAAGTTTTGTAATTAAGACAACTATTCAATTTCCACTGGATTTTGGTGAAACTTGTTTACATCCCTTAAATGGTTAAAAACATTATGAATACGATTTGTGCACGAAGATCAAACGATCGTGCTCATAACGGAAAAAATTCTAAGCATTATGTCAACTCACGTACGAAACTTACTTTGTACACTCATTTAGATATCGTGAACAGCTTGATTTCAAGTCTAACGATCAAGCTTATATAGAAGTATATTTTCAACACCCCAAGCTTGCACACTGGACTAGATGCTCTGGACCACCCACTACATAATTTTCAATCTCTATGCATATTTATTATGTATTTATAGCTTCTAGATAGCCAAAATTTATACATTTTTTACAGTACAGTACAGGAATACCTCGCTATTCGCAAATGAAAAATTACGATACCCTACAGAAAAATTTCAAAGAGGGCGGGCTAGCCGCAGCTTTCATATTCCGACGTAAGGCCAGCTTCACCCCCATTGGGCCAACCTTCGATTTGTGTCGTAAACATGGGATACCTCCTAAATACCAAGAGGGTGCAAAAAGCAAAGAGTGGCCATATTGCCATCCTTCACACTTTAAAAAAATCTCAACTCCTTAAATATAATCCTTTAATTTTTAACACTTGTGTCCCTTGTGAAGGAGAGTTCAAGGATTTGTGAACATAAATCTCCCCTTTGTATGTTGTACAATTTTCTATTCATGATTTTAACTACAAAGTGCTCAAGTACTGGTTGATGGTTGGGCCAGTAACTCTACTGTTGAGAACTCTTCTGGTCAACAGGTATAGTATCACAGTTCATTCATTTCCTTCCCTTGTTTCATCACCTTTAGTTCCTTCCCAGCTACATAGAATGGGGAAAAACAACTTAAACTGAAGGTACAGAATGAACAAAGACATCCATATTAATTGTGTGCTTTGAAATTACTCACTACGTCAACCTGTCACTGTGACTCCGATTTCCATTTACTCTACTCTGTTCCATAGTATGTAGGATTTAGGCCAGTAAAAGATTAAGTACTGTAGTCTGGTTGCATCAATGTAGTGACAACAGAAGAACAAGGAAGTAAAAAATGCTCAAATCTAATAAAACATGAGAAAGTGGTTTTCACATTAGACAGTCAGATACTAGTGGACTCCAGGTCATTTCTTGTGTCTTGGTTGTGTAAAAGCCATTGTTTACTGCTGGGTAAACCTCAACTTGTTTGATCTCTCACAATCTTATGTACAATGTAAAAAAAAATATAAATATGACAAAGTTTTGCATATTTCATACCTTTTGTACTTTGACCCCAATGAAGCCACTGCAGTTTGGAGCACCACAGCAACATCGTTTCTTTTCTGTCCCCACACATTGCAAATTATAGTTAAAAGTGAGTTCAAAACCAGCAGGAATATCCTCAATTGCAAATAGTCCCACTCGCGTATCCCCACCAACTGTCCATTTTTGAGTCTCGCAGTTTGGTTGGCATGAATGGTTCATGAACCTGAGGAAGAAAGGATACCTTTTAGGGATGGAAAAAGTAATACTGTTACCATTTATACAAACTACATTACAAAGACAATATCTAATGAGTATCAAGGCACAAAAGCATGGTGAAGTTGACACCTTGTATTTGAAATAAATAATAACCATAATAGGTCAAACAATGAAAAAACACTTGCAGAATTTTTTAATGAAAGACCTCACACTTGTTGGGTATTATCCGACAGCTCCCCTGTGGTCTGATGCAGATCACACACCTACACTGTACTGTATCTTTATTGAGAGGGATCATTATAATAATGGAAGATGCAAAAAAATAGAGAACTTCAGCATGGACGTGTGTGTAGGTAAACAAGATCAGTTTTGTCAGCCAAGACCAATTCCTACTATCACACTTTATAGATGAATATGAGGTACTCAAGCAAGTTACTCTGGCTTTCATTTATTTCACCTGCCAAATTCTCCAACACTATCACTAACAGCAAGACACACCTGAACCAGAGTACAAAATGTGACCCTACTCCAGTAGGCAGTGAGGAGTCAGCTAGGAGTACTGACTCATTGCCAACACAATATTATATTCTCCAAAGAAAATATTAATAACTTTGTTTAAATTTTTATGGGCTAGGTTAGCTTTAAAAGATGGAATACAATGGTATCCAACTTTTAAGTGTATTGGAAACTTGCCAGTTAACAATAAATAAAAGCTTATCATAAAATCAACTTCACTTTAAATAAGAATCAATGAAAAGGATCAAATTGGTTCTCCAACTATATCACCTAATTTGACTAAACGTATGATCAAGTGGTTAAGTAACAGTCCCCAAAAATGGTTTAAGGAGATTGGGCATATCTAAATTGTGCAAATCACTTGGAAGTGCAAGAAATTGTTGAACAGGATTCAGTTTCATTAAGACATGCTGTAGTCAAACCCATTACCCTCACTGTTTTATTCCCATTTTCCACACTTATGTGGGTTAGCAGTCTTTACCCAATGACAACTCTCCCTACTGCACAGTCACTTGCAGCCTCCCTCATCATGTTCTTACCTCTACTCCAAGTCATTCTTGATCTACCCCAAGCTGGAGTTCCTTTCCTTCATATTAAAATTTATGAATCACTTGTCCCAGTCGGTCCCCAGATACCCCAACTATCTCAGCCTCTCTACATGCAACACCCTACCAAGACAGCTATTTCTCTATTTGTGAAGTTTCTGTATCACAAACTTTACATTGACTAAATAAATGAATTAGAGACCATTTTCCCACAAATGCAACCAATTTTCACACTTATGAAATCTCATATATAAATTCATATGGTCAGACATAAAAGAACCATTGGTACAGGGCAACTCTTTGGTGTTGGTTGCTTGCTCATGAATGTATGGCGTCATTTGTTTCGTGACTTATTTTATACTCCCAAACTCTCCATAACTGTGATTAGGTGTAAAAAAAAAAAATATCAATGCATTCCTGAATTCTGCAGCACCTGACCCATGTCTACTATTACTTAACGACATTCAAACAATAATCACACTTCATACAGTGAACCCAAACTGCATTACATTAATGTCCACTCTCTCTTACCAAAACAGCATGTTGGAACAATGTAATCCCCGATGCTTGCATTAATCAATTCACTCACCATTATCCCACCAACATTGTCTGATGCTTTCAATATTTTTGCAACTATTCCAGGGTTACCAGCAAGCATTACATTCACCATTTTGTCTTTCTGCACCCATCCTCTTTAAATTCTTGGACATGGTTCCTGAACTGGCTCGATGCCTCAAGGCTGACCGTGTCCCATTCAAACTCTTCATTTGACAGGCAGGCAACCATAATATTTTCTCCAGGCATCCATGATAATCCAGTAGGAGTTAAAGGTACTTTATAATAAATCACACAACATACCTGGCTAAGTTCCCCTTAGGACCGGCATCAATCATGATATCCTTATCAATGGTGAGGAAGTAATAGTTCTCTTCTTTTACTTCATGCATTTCTAAAATACGACGATGAAACTCTTCATCGTCGATCAGCTCTCCTACATATTCAATCACAAATTCTCCTGAAAGAAAAAGGAATATGTGAAGAAACGATTATTAGAAGCAATTGCCCAATTTCTAAATGCCATTATAAGAATATTCCTCATCAAAAATATAAATCTTTTAGGTTTATACTTTAAGCTGAAAGGAAATAATGTCCAGGTAGACCCAAAAAATAATATTTTTCGAGTGTAGTCTTTATAGTAATGTGGGCAATGAGAAAGCTAAGGGTCAAGCATTACACGAGGGGTCATAAACCTCAGTGAGAGGAAATAGTGAACAAAATTCCCTTGTCATACCAAAGAATATGCTAAATTACTTTACAGTTCCAATCCACACATATATATTCATAAGGCAATAGGGATCAGCTTTCACATATTCTGTAATCAACACCAGTACAATAATATTATATTTACCCTTTTTAACGTCCTGGTTTGTCTTGAGACCCCATCCTCTACTCTCTGTCCTAAAGGAGCACACATTGGGATACTGGCGTTTTTGAAACCTCTGGTTACCACACCTGTCCCCGGCTCCACAAACTTCACGGACACACTCAAACATGAGCATTCTGCAAATATAAATGTTGAGGAATTACACAAACACATATATACATTTCTTATAGAATGAAATGGCTAACAACTTTTGTGGGAAATTTTTTTGGCCCTTGCAACTGAATGCAGATGTAGTACAGTAAGTCCTCGTTTAACGTTGTTTCGTTATAACGTCGCTACTCTTTAGATACCCATGAATCGGAACAACGTCCCACCAATTCAGTATAACATCGTCACGGACTACTTTGTACGGTGCATCACCCTCACTCACCCAGTCAGAGCGGGAGGAGGAGCCACCCTCCGGGTCTCAGTGACTCGCCGCCCTCCTCCCACCACACACTCGCTCCACCTCCACCCAACAGTGAGTACAATACAAAATGATTTAGTTATTTATCTTTTGGGATCTATAATATATACTATTTTCGATAAAAATTCCATGAATTTATGTATACGTAATGTATTTTATGGGGCAAAGGGAGGCTGGGGAACATAACTCCCATATTTTATCTATATCTTATGGGAAAATTTATTCCGTTGACGTCGCAGTTTCCAGGAACGGAACTACGAAATTAAGCGTGGACTTACTCTATACAGTGGGGTATGCTATAACGAATCTAATTGGTTCTAGAACCTTGTTCGTTATAGGATTAATCCGTTCCAGGCCCCCAAATACAACCACTTAACACTGAAAAATATAATATAAAATTGTAAAAATTGTAAAAAAGTGCATAAATATGCATCTAAACCCCTGAAATAAAGAATATCATTATTACTTGTAAAAAAAAAAATAATAATAATAATGTTCGTTGTAGGAGTTTCGTTCGTTATAGCATTCTCAATTTCATAGGTAAACCCATTCGTTATAGGAATATTCGTAGTAGAATCCGTTTGTTATAGCATACCCCATTGTACTGTACATAATAGATACAGGATACATGGATATTACAAAAACTAGTTAAAATGCTTTGTGTGAAGAACAGCAGCAGATTTTTCTCTTTTTGTTGAACAGACCACAATGTAATTTGAAAAAATCCAATTTTACAGAAAATTAAACTTTGTTCCGGGGCATATCATGGTGCTCCCGTTGATTTTGTTTATTTTCTTATCACACATTGATCACCGTGCACACTATAGATTTAAATCATATTCTCAGTTCGACATTGGACATAAATCAAGTCTTCCAAGGAAGAGAGGGTGCTAGATATTTTCCTAAAACATAAAGAGCATTACACAAACCTGTTCAAGCACTTCTCATCAGAGCCACATGGATTCTCAGAGTATGGATCACAATCACAACGGTTAACAGCTGCTAGGTCCAACTTGCTAAGACGTATGTTGCCTACAGGACGGTTGGAATCAATCCTAACATATGGTGGTGGTTTCTGAGGAGAAAAATGAAGAATTGATCTAGAATGCCAATTTTATTAAAGGGCCTGGATCAGTGTAGACTGGTACAGTATTAATGCAATGATTCACAATATCTCTGTTCCAACCAAATACCTCAGATATTCTAAAGCAAACATTACCATTGAAGGCCAGAGGGAATACATTAGTCATGACCATGAAACACAGGACTAACTCCTCACTTCCTGCAAACCTGTGGGTCATATGACATACAGTATTTTGTGGCGTAGAAGTTGCACTTTTTATTATAAAAATATGCCTTGAAAATTACCATGCGTCTTCCACGATACTAGTTGATGGGTTGTAGCGGAGGTTTTCTTAGGGTCAACTGAAATCAGCCCCTTACAAAGACTGTGACCTCATTACTTAGCAATTACAAGTATTTTCCATACTATAAAACAATTAATTTAACTAATATTGTTGATATACTGTGAAAAATATAATTATTTACTTACTCAGTAGGTAAAAAATAAAAAATAAACGGCTGCAGCTACACAACCCTCGCTGCTGTACGGTTTGTTTACCAATGGCAGTGGTGCGGCAGCGCCATCTATTGAGGAATTGCGAAAGGTTGTCTGCTGGCCTCAAAGCGCAGGAATTTTTGTTTCTTCACACTTGAGTGTCTAGAACTTTGTTCATTCACTACCAGGCCTTCACTGGTGTCACAAGCCATTTACATTCCTGCAAATTATCTCCCTCATCTACGGCAGGTGTATCAAGGAGACATAAATATAATATCGCATTTAAACTTGAAGTAGTGCGATATGCCAAAGAACATGGAAACAGGTCAACAGACAAACTTCAGACCACCACCTACTGAGATGATTCGCCAGTGGAGGAAGCAGGAGGAAGAATAAAAAATAAAAAAATAAATAAATAAACAGAAGCATAATCTTCATATAGAACCAGCAAAATAGCCAGACTTAGAAGAAAACTTGAAAACATGGATATTAGACCAAAGAAACTTGGGTTTTGCGCTGACTAATTAGATGATCATTTTGGAAGCAAGAAGGTTTGCAGCAAACAGAGGGGTGGATGACTTAAAAGGAACTGCTTGTTGGTGTTTTCGCTTCATGAAATGAAATGGCTTAAGTTTGCGAACAAGAACAAAGTTGGTAAGTATAAAGTTTTTTTCCTAGAATTACATTTCCAAAATCAGGGTGCGTCTTCTTTGCCGCAAAATACAGTAATTGTAGCTTTTTCCCCAGTTTGCCTTTTAGGGCGAGGTCTGTGTCACAATGCTCATTGCCCACACCAAATACCTCCAAGTAATGATAATAATCAATGAAAGTAGCCTAATTTGCTATATTTTCACACACACTGTTTCTGAATATAGCTGGTATCATCTGGTTCACTGGTCACAGCTGCATTGACTAGATCTTGGGCATGAACCTTCAGACTCTTGGTGTATAGGGCACCCACCCTGTCATCATAACCCATATCTTGTGTAACTTTTCCCTAATCAGCAATACATAACTTTATACTTTCAAATGTACCACGAAACCATCAAGTGGTGACAGAAAGACTAATTCTGATATAATTACAAAATTAAATACAATATTCTGAATAAAACATAACATACCAGGTTGCCCTTCTCAGACCATCGGATCTCTCGCTGAGTTTTCTTTGTCTTCTGGGCTCTGTATGCTTCAGCTGCCTCTTCAAGTGCTCGCCGGAACTGCATTTCTAATGTTTTACTCGACTGTGCCCTTGATCCTTTATCCTGTTCAGAGTACAGTAAGAAATACCTTAAACCCAATGCTATTTAACTGCTTGTTTCTAGTGTATTTATACATTAAATATTTTATGAAATGACACAATTAGCTTTTTTCTAACTGATAATAAAACTGGGAAGCTTTATTTAACATTAAGAAAAACTATACAGTACTGCAAACTCAGTACCACTGTAAAAATAAATAATAAAATAAATAAAAAAATAAATAAGAACCATTTACTAAGCCACAACCTGGCAGCCTAAAGTGCATTTCTTAAGAGAAAAACTATATAGGAAAAACTGTCTCCAAATAAAGCTCCTGTTCACAAGACAAACATTACCAAATAATAAACAAATAAGGTCTAAGAACAGAGAAATTCTTTGAGGAGATCAAGGAGAAAATACAATCCATGAAGCAACCATGACCAGATTTATCAAAGGTGTGTGCAGGTCTGGATTTAATTTGGATGAGATACTGCAGCAAAGTGACAAAGGTGTAACAGACAGCAAACATATTTAAATGATGACAAAAATCTCTTTTATTCTGAGTCATGAGGAAGAGGAGAAAAATTATGATGATGTATTTAATGAGGAATGGAGGGCAAAAAAGATTTTTTTTTTTCAATGTGTTCCATGGAGTGAAGATACTGGATTATGATGTGATGATATACTAAATAACAAACAAGACTTGATAATGTAGGGAGATAGTTAAAACTGCACTCACCCCTTCCTGATAAAGGAAAGCTCGTCCTCTGGTAACCCAATAGTAGTCATTGGAGCCAAAGAAATGAACACAAAACATGCCCTGCTGGTGCTGTAAATTCTCAATGTTGTCTGGGATGAATCTTGGATGCAAGACTTGACCAGGCCACCATCTGCCACACACAATTACATATTATATCAATTAAATAGTTATTTATTCTATTAAAAACAAAACATATAAATCACAATTCTTACTGAAGATTCTACTGTATTCCTAAACTAAATAAATGCACCATAATGCAACCACACAAATTTGAAAAATCTATCAATTTACTGAATTTGATAAACAGGAATTTATACTTGAAGCTTATCTTAGAGCCTCAAATGTACTAAGACCCCCCCCCCTTTTTAACGATAATTATTTTCCATGAAGTTGAATTGAAAAAACTGCTGTGAATTGTATTACCTCAGGTTTTAGCACTACAAAATACATACCTGTACAATCCAAGCTTCACCCACACAATGTCACCATAGATGGGAAATTTTCCAAATTCACAATCTTCACAGACATAACCACCTTCTGGAGCAGTTATCTTCATACAGTCAGCATGGAAGGCTGCTGGACACTGGTCACAGAGAAGAAGTGAACCACCCTGTAGGAGAAACAACAATTTAAAACAAACTTTCATAAGTGCATACAATCTTTACAGAGCAAAATGTTACTACAGTATTCTTAAAACACCAAATAACCAATATAAAATTACAAACACAGACACAATACAACATCACAACAAATTAAAAGTGAAGGAAATGTTAAGTATACATGTATGCAGGGCCATGACTTGTCATATGCAACACATCATATAGATGATATATGGTTTGATTAAATTTTCTTCAATTGTTTAAGACTTATGGGAAAGGTAACAAGTTAACAAATAGTAAAACAACAAATCTGCATTACAAGTTTCTTTGAAGAAATGAAAACCCCATCCAGAGAACACTTCTTAAGAACACAAGGTCTAATACATGGAAAAAATGGTGACAGACAACTAAAGTAGGACAAGTGGTAGAGAGGGAGATGAATGATAACACATTTCCTAATTATCAAACAATGTTCAAAAGTTCAATTAAATATCCCTCTTTTAAAATTCAAACTATGTCTTTACAGCCCATCACCCTTTCTAACAACCTACAGAATGTCTCATTTTCTAAACATCAATTACCATAGTTCACCTACTTTCTGCTAAATAACCATTCCTTCATTATACCTTTTTACCCGATCCCACACAATTCTCCTACTCTAAACCTATTATCTTAAGTACTACAGTATATTAACCCAGAAATGATCTTTATTGTGTCCCCTGTAAGACCTATTTGCTTACCTAATGGATACAGATAACTGTAATCAAGAAATCTCAGACTTACATGGGAGCAAACGAGGAATTAACCAGACTATAGAACATTACTTGGTTACTTAAAACATATACAAACCTTCGAGCAGCAGAAGCACCAGTTAACATTGACATGATGAGTGCCATTCTTTGGGAGCTGAAGATGCTTGGTGCATATATGGTGGTTCTGTGATACTTCTTCTGTGCCTGCAGCTATGCAATCCTCACCTAGGAACGAAGAACATGAAATTAACCAAAATGACAAATGAGATCTTCGGTAGATGACTGGTTAGCCCATGTTGCCCCAGGAAACACGACCGTTGGAAGAATGAAATGAGTACCAAGTCTTCCACTGAGAGTTCTGTCCCGATAGTTAATCACACTACGTCATTCCTTAGTAGTTGCTTCACCATGCTTTATCTTTCAGTTAATTCCCATTTTAATATATTACATGACATTAAAACAGGTAACCTTATACAGAGCCATGAGGACAACTGGGTATTGAAAGTACCTCTAGATTTTGTATTGAGGTAGGTTGAGATGGTTCAGGCATGGGGAGACTTACTGAGTCAAGAGACACTGGAGTATGAAAGTTGATGGGAGGGGTGCTGGGTATAAGCCAAAAATAACACTGAGAGATTGGAAGATACAGTATTGTCTCAGGATAACTCACACAAGCATGGAATGGTCATAAAAGGATATAAATAGAAAATTACAATTCAGTGTACACTACATCTACAGCAGCCATCAGTCATACTCTTCCTGTGTTGATAGTAAATAACCATTACACAACTGACCTGTGTGATACGTAGTTGGACATCGCAGACAGCGGGTAAAGGGTGGGTTTCTTGCCACTGGGTCACCCATATCATCAGCATTTGCAGCGCACATGTGACAAGCATGACGTGGACACACAAACCTCTGAAGAAAAAAAATTAGGATATTATATAGCTATATTATGAGTCCATCAAAACTATCTTTGTATCTTTATTTTATGTTCTTTGTTTTCCTTGAACAAATACTTCAGCATTAAAATATAGGGAAGTAGCTTCTAATCTATATTCATATCATATTATGTAGTCTTTAGGTAGTAGTAGAGAACAAGGCAATCACTGGTGCACATGATGAGCATGAAATCAGTATCCTAGGTGAAGGTCACGAGGGGTGCCAGACTGGTTTCTTCCTAATTAGTCAGAAACTCTGAGGATTTAATCTGTCTAAAATTTACACCAGCATCCAATAAGGAGCTATCTATTGTTTTCCCTGTAAGGATACTGGTTTAACTGTCTCAAATGTGAATCACTGGTCACAGGCTAATGCTATAGCATCAGAAAATAAACTTATATAATACTGTACAACCCAGTCCTTGTACCAGAGTATAGCTACAGTATATAGAGTAAATAAGCACTAGCTTAGTTCGTCAAAATTTAATTGTATTTATCCGAGTTAGTAGCTACTGGGTACTTATACCTGTACAGTACGGTATTTGTAAAAACATTTAGATGAAATTTTAAATATCAAAACCAATATCAACATACAATACTCTAAAATATAAATGTTCTTAATCAAGCTGTAATGACAAATTTCCAACTGCTCATGATTAAACTGAGAAAACAAAATATTGTAAGTTAACTGGCATGAGTCACGTATGGTTTACAGTACTGTATTGTATATCTAAAAAATTGCAAATAATTCAAAATTCTTTATGTACACAATACAGTATTTTTCGTTGTAACTACTGTACTAGCCTTATATCTAACCAAACTATTTCAATCTCCATTAAGACATTCTGGAAGATTTAAATCATCAAATAGATTCTGAACCCTGCAACTGATGGAAGACACACTCATGGCTCTAATATACAGTACATGCCATGGTTTGAATTGTACCTAGACAATAGTTAAAGACTGCTGTGCATTAGACAATTTCAGCTAGAAGCTTTCTAAGGTGAACAAAATATGGAAAAGGTAAGGCTATGGTATGAAAATACATATGTAAATAAATTGAAAAGAAAATTATACACAGCAAACTTACCTCCTGTTGCCGCTGTTTGGAGACTTGAGGCCACTTCTGAACACACTCCTCATGATAGTACTTGCCACAGAAAGGCACAGTGCATCTCTGCACTACACCAACAAATGATTTGCACAGGAAACATGGGTGTTGCCCAGTTTGGCATTCTTCACATTTAAAATCCCTTTTTGGCATAGCAGTTAAACCTAAACAGCTAAGATGAAAAACACCACAACAAAGTCCTTTACAACGGATCATATCAGCCCCAGCCTTGTTACTTACACTCTCACACCGGTAACACACTTTCTCATTACGCACTACTTTGTAAACACCACGTATACTCTCTACTTCCTCTTCTGTTCTCTGCCGTTTAGCAGAAAGTCCTTCATTCTCTTCGCACTCATCACCTTCCTCAAAAGGAATGTCATGTTTTCTCTTCAGCATATTCACTTCTGGGTCTTTTAACATGTACTTATCCCCACACGTAAACTTAGATTTGTATCTGGCAGTCTGGGAACTTGACATCTTCTTCCATTTCCATCTCAATTTGTTTTGTGCTGTTTCTGCAGACATTTCAGGATTTTCTAACATGAATTCTTCCAAATGTTTTTGGGTATAGACAGCAAAGTCACTTTCCATACTCAATTTGGACACAATGTTAAGTTTTTTTTTCTTATCTTCACAAGAGGAATTCTCATCAAAACCAGAGAACTCCCCATCTGTTGAGTCACCATTGGACTTGAGTGATTTCAAGATGGGCAACTCATTTTGGAGTGAGATTTTTCTAGGGCGACCTCTTTTCCTCTTCTCTGGTTTAGGTTCAAAGGATGGATCCTTTGATTTAAGTAATGAAAGATTTCTTGGAGATGATTTAACAAATCTGTGTATGTCTTCCTTATCTTCAATCTCTGAATTTTCTAAGGCATACTTTTGTATTCTTTCATACCTGAAAATAGGAGAGAAGGGTAACAGGGTGACACACATCAATTAGTACTCCCTAACAAAATATATATATATATATATTTTTCCCAAGACAAAGCGGAACACCTATACATTTCCAGGAGCCCAAGCTATCCCAATATAAACAAAAGCATTAAGTGTAATCCACTCAATAGCTCAAACAAGTACAATGAGCCAAAACAGTGACAACCAACATAAATGTCTGAAAAGAAATATTCATCATCAGAAGAATACCTTCAGCACCTAATACAGTATAACTAAAACTGGCCAGGCCATTGCAAATATAAGTTAGATTACAGTGTTAACCAAATAGAGTATCTATCTTGCTAACCTGTACTCTTGAACACCTGAAACACAGCAATTCCTCTATTATATATATATATATATATATATATATATATATATATATATATATATATATATATATATATATATATATATATATATATATATATATATATATATATATATATATATATATATATATATATATATATATATATATATATATAATGTCAGTTCTTCATATCCCAAGCAAACTTATCTTCATTCAACCCCCCCATCAGAATTGTTCACTACAGCCATCTACCAACATAAACACTCATCTCCCATTTGTATTCCTCATCATTACTTATCATTGCATTCCTCATTACTGTAATTTTACTTTCAACTCTTACTACAACAACCTCCATCAATTGACATACTGATCAATTATGGCAAAATCGAACTTCCCTGATACAGTCCTACTTCCACTGTGCCAGCAACCAGACCCTACTGAAAACGCTTACCTATCCATTGAAGAAGCAGCCTTTGCTTCCTCGATGGCCTTAATCCAACGTTCATGCTTCTGTCCAGATGATATCTTGTTCATATGCACTAATGTTTTCAAGAGGCTTTCTGTCTGCAGTCGCTTATACCTCTTCATCCCTTTCAACTTTGTAAGAAGAAAAACCAAAGATTTTAGTCATGTAAGAAATGCACTTTTTAACACAAAACTGCAAATAACTATAAAAGGAAAAATAATATTAAAATCTGAAACCATAAATACTAAAGTTTCCCCGGCTGCTGTTAATCATGACCAGGAAATAGTGAGGGAAAAGTATTAGGGTATTTATTCCTGTACAGTATCTTGAACCTGAGACAATAAAAGATAAATATAATAAAGCCCAATGTCAATAAACCAGCACCCTTTGTGGTGTGAGAATCAGTTCCAACACTAAAGTTGCTCCTTCAAAGGTTCACAGCAGACATGTGTTCTTTCTTACTGCCTTACAACTCACATCCATTGTTTTTTTTAATTAAAATATTATCTGATGCTTCACAATACATACATGTTCAAACATTCTTATCAACCATTATGTTTACTATACTACTGTACCGGCCCATGCCAAGTTCTAAGAAAAGGGCAGTACAGTATCTTGATGTTTTAAAATTATGACATCAATTCTTCACCATTTAACTTCCTTGTTTTATTGTGATTTAACAAATCTCTATCAGCACAAATCCTAAGGATTTGTAGTGATGAAGACCTGCTGACCCCCTCAAAAAAGTAATATATGTATCAAAGTTTACACTTTACTACATTATATTTCAAACAGCGATACATTTAAAACTGAAATATTTTTGTGTGCATTACACTGCTTCAAGAGCATAAGCAGATATGAATATGTTTACCTTGCATTTTAGTTCACTGAGGAATTCTTTCAATTTCACAAAACCTTCAAACGGCAGAACATTGCCTGGGGCAATCCAGTAGGTCAAAGCGTTGTCACTGAAGAACTGTACATGGTACATGCGAATACTGCGTACCTTATGCCAATTCTGTGTCACTGTCAAAAGATTTAATTACTAAGTATAAACATGATCATATTAATTCAACTATGCTCTACTTCCACAAAAATACATGAAGCCAAGTACAACACATGCTATAAAGTAAAACAAAAAATAAAAACCTGGTAAATGACATTCAAGCATGCAGTTTGTGGTTCAGTCATGTTAAAAGTGGAATTTAATGATACTCACACAGCTTACATGTCAATATAAGCATTAGTTTTTAATATGACTAAAGCACTTCTCTCTTCAAAATACAGATAAATTTCATACTGTACTTTAATTTCCAACCATTATATGACTTTAAAATTTTTTTTACCAATTACATTCACCAAAGACATAGAAATACTCACATGATATCTTGCTGAACTGGCCAAGAATTGGATCGTATGATATCATGGCAGGCCACAAGGGACTTCCCCGAATGTGGACCCACACCAGGTCACCAACCAAGTGCTTACATGGATTCTCTTGTTCGAGTGCACGCATGTTTAAACCAGAGTGGGCAAACTCCTGGGAAACATTAATCTGAATTAGTATAACACGTACTGTATCATAGCTTACATACCTGTACTTCAATGGTTTTACTATTACGATATTCCCATGAATTGAACACTATAGGAGCTCACCTCATCTAGGCTTGAGCTGAGCAGTGCTTCGCTTTGTCTTTGCTGTTCCCTTGACAACTTCTGCCGCTTGTCCTCATTTGATATATCCATCAGCTGGGGTTTTCGTATTATTCTTCCTGATTTTGTTATTGATGCGAGCTATCAAGTACAGAGACAAAGAAAATAGTATAAAGAAACACCTTTATATAATACACGAGAGCTACGAAGCCATGAACATTGAATGAGTATCCCTTAGGGAAAAAAAAAAAGCAAATCAACAGTAGTCAGAATATATCATGATATTGTGGCAAGTGAGAATAATCATAAAATGGTCAAGGTTGCTAAATCATTTATCCCAATCTATAATTTTTATGAGAACATGTGGATAAAATGTGAAGGAATATTGCCCTTCCCTCTATAACCCAAGTGCTGCTATGCTATCCTGTTATTCACACACACACACACACACCAGTGCTTCTTAGATACCCAACCTTTTCACCTCTTCATCCTTCACCCATCTCTGAAATAAGGTACTGTACACTCTTCTGACCCATCTCATTCCCAAGTATCTACACATGTCCATACCTCTTCAGCCTACCTTTCCTCCATTTCCACACTGACTATCAAACACCTGTCTTGGTTTAATTAACACTTATAATATTACACCACCCTTTCTTTTAAATGGAGGAGTCAAAACATTCTACCCATCTCTTGGTATTTTCCACCTATATTAAACATAACTTACCCAATTGTCATCCATTTTATTCCATCTCCCCCAACATTTCTGCAATTTTTCCATCCAATATTGTTACCTAGTAATTCTCAATCTTGCTTAATTATTGATTTCTAATTTCACTGTAATACCTGGTACCTTTCATTCCTTCTTATGTTACATTTAGCCACTACAAAATATTAAAACAGTCAAAACTATAAGAAAACTACTCACCTCTTCACTCTCTGCTTTAAACTCTTGAGATGATTTGCGGGTGGAGGGAGGTCTAGTCAATGACTCTGGATCTTCCCCATGATCCTCCTGAGAGTCTTGAGAATCCGTTGAAACTGAATTTGATACATACATCGGAGGCTCAATTTCTGGGATTGTTTTTTTGGGTCGCTTATGAGGAACCACTTGCTCACATGCCTGGAGAGAACGCTTTATCCTGGACACGTCGGATCTTCCTCTAAGCAACCTGTCTGAGCTAACAATGGAATGTGATTCAGTAACCCTCGTTACTGAGCACGATCTTTTTCGGAGGCTTAGTCTCCTCCGTCTGTCATAAATGCTTGCTCTATCCGACACATCATCAATGCTGTCACCAGATTCTGTTGTATCCACATTTGTTGAATTACCCTCTTGTGTGCCAAAGTTTGTCGGCTTAAAATTCATGTTCATCTGCTCCTCTACATTAGCGTTCTTTCCAAAACCACCATTAGAGGCTGTGTCGTTCTTCAGCTTTAGATCTCTGTGTGTGTCGTGCTTATTTCTAATATACTTACTTAAGTCTTTATCACTACTATCACTCTGCCCAACACTCGAGGTTTGTACTAATATTTCATCTTTGGTTTCAGATATTTGTACTTTGCTTGAAGAAATATTCCCTCTTATTTCTCCACCTTCTCCCTCATCATACTTGACTGTACCATTCTGAATAACTTCTTCATTTACTTGATCTACATTGAGCTTATCTTTAAGGTCCTCTTTTGTGATGTGCTTCATTTTCTGTTCTGGACTGGAATTCTTAGAACTTGAGCCTTTGCTTTTCTTTGGACTACCTGAGGTAATTTTTCTTAATTCATTAAAATTTATGGTCCCAAAGAAAAACCCATCTTCAGTCTTACGCTTCCTTGCTCTCCCATAGCGACTAGTAGCAGCAGTCATGAATTCTTCCTTGAAAGCTTGTTTTAATTCCTGGTCAGATAATACATTTTCCCCACTTTCCTGGCCAACCTTTGATCTACTTCTCAAGGCTTTAACTTCTCCATTGTAAGGTTCCTCAATACACTCCTCACAATAGGGAGAACCACTTTTCCTCTTGTTCGGTTCATTTGTCGGTAATGACACAGAAATATTTTTGGATTCTGGCAACATTTTGTCTGTACTCAAGTTTGGCATTTTAACTAAATTCACTGTTGGACTATGATACGTTGTGGTTAAGTTCCCATACTCATCAAAACAGAGCACAGGCTGAGCAACAGTTGCTTCACCAAAACTAACAGATGAGGTAGAAGGAAGATCACCTGTACCCTTGTTTATGACTTCCTCTTGATCCTCCTCACTTAATTCTACTTCACTTTCTGTTGAAGAGTGTTCTACCTCTTCACTACTGCTCTGCCACTGTTGTTCAGTATTCCCTACACCATACTCAGAACAACCCACCCATCTTTCTTTGGCCCTCTCTTCAAACTGACCATCCACGTGACCTTGTGTTCCAAGCCATTCATCATCTAACTCATCAGCACTGTATTTGCCTTCCTCCTCTGTACTTATTTTGCATTCTTCGTCTGCACTGTACTTTGTTTCGTCCTCTTCGGTGCTATACTTAACTTCGTCTTCCTCTCCGCTGGATTTTACGTCTTCTACGCAGTATTTTGCCTCGTCCTCGTCGGCACTATACTTGGCTTCCTCCTCTGTGCTCAAGGTGATGTCGTCCTCTTCTGCACTGTATTTTATTTCCTCCTCTGTGCTAAACTTATCTTCATCATCAGCATTGTACCTTTCTTCCTCATCTCCTGCACTAAAATTATCTTCATCCTCTGCACTGGACTTTGTCCTCTCATTCACATGTACACTGCCTTGTAACCAATCGTCTCCTATTCCCATATGATTATCGATGACACAAAATTTTTTCTGGTCACTATTAGTCTCATCATTTGTAATCCAATTTTCCATACTGTTTTCCTGGTGAATATTTACTTGATCCTCATCTTCTGGTCTATTACATCTTGCTGAGCCATGTGACATGCTTTCTAACTCTCTTGATACATCTGATGTGAAGTAAAAGGTGTCATAACCCATGCCAGATCCGGAGGAGACATCATCCATCGAGGCCTCAAAAGCCGTGTTGTTTAGATATTCTGCAAAAAATAAATAAATAAATAAATTCACAGCACATAAGACATTAATTACACACAAACACACGCAGTACGGCAGCCCCTCATGTTCAGGGATGGATGGCCACCTAGACACACGAAGCTGTCAACAACAACGGCCACACCGAGCTAATGACCTGTATGACATAAGGTTAAGGAAAAACTTGCCAACTGCACTGGTTAACCATCACCCTAGAAGCCCGATTCACCAATTGATTAATACTGTATCTAGGTTCCCAATTACAGCAACATAGATGGGGGCATATGATAGAGAAACTAGCCTTGCCTGGGAATCAAACCCACAGCCACTCAGCTGCAAGACGAGTATGCTGACCCCTACACAACACACACACAGTATACTGGTACGTAATTCACTTATAACAAATATTCAATCTACCATAAATGTAGTCCCTGGCTGACCCTTCACAAACTGACAGACCTTGAGGGATTTGTTAATTATATAAAAATTAGTCAAATATGATCACATCAATTCCCGACAGAAAGGTTAATTTAATTTGTACACCAGTTAAACCCAACAGGATCGCACCAAAAGGAACTCAGTTTCAGGTTATTTAGTTGTACCTGCTGTGCTCATGTGAAGGCTCCAAAACAACTGAAGTGGATCAATTGAACTTGACTTTTACAAGATGCAACCAATAAGGAATAAGTCAAGTGGACTGCTGTAATACTGAGGAACCGACAGAGTATCAACTTAGTACTGTATACACTTGACGATCTAAAACACACACACACAAGTAAAAAAAATACAGATCATGAATGAACATTTATGTAGGTAAACAAAATAAGTTTTGTCAGCCAAGACCAATTCCTACTATCACACTTTATAGATGAATATGAGGTACTCAAGCAAGTTACTCTGGCTTTCATTTATTTCACCTGCCAAATTCTCCAACACTATCACTAACAGCAAGACACACCTGAACCAGAGTACAAAATGTGACCCTACTCCAGTAGGCAGTGAGGAGTCAGCTAGGAGTACTGACTCATTGCCAACACAATTGTATATTCTCCAAAGAAAATATTAATAACTTTGTTTAAATTTTTATGGGCTAGGTTAGCTTTAAAAGATGGAATACAATGGTATCCAACTTTTAAGTGTATTGGAAACTTGCCAGTTAACAATAAATAAAAGCTTATCATAAAATCAACTTCACTTTAAATAAGAATCAATGAAAAGGATCAAATTGGTTCTCCAACTATATCACCGAATTTGACTAAACGTATGATCAAGTGGTTAAGTAACAGTCCCAAAAAATGGTTTAAGGAGATTGGGCATATCTAAATTGTGCAAATCACTTGGAAGTGCAAGAAATTGTTGAACAGGATTCAGTTTCATTAAGACATGCTGTAGTCAAACCCATTACCCTCACTGTTTTATTCCCATTTTCCACACTTATGTGGGTTAGCAGTCTTTACCCAATGACAACTCTCCCTACTGCACAGTCACTTGCAGCCTCCCTCACCATGTTCCTACCTCTACTCCAAGTCATTCTTGATCTACCCCAAGCTGGAGTTCCTTACCTTCATATTAAAATTTATGAATCACTTGTCCCAGTCGGTCCCCAGATACCCCAACTATCTCAGCCTCTCTACATGCAACACCCTAACAAGACAGCTATTACTCTATTTGTGAAGTTTCTGTATCACAAACTTTAAACTGACTAAATAAACATTACAAACCAATTTTCTACAAATGCAACCAATTTTCACATTTATAAAATCTCACACAGGTAAGAAACTAATTGCATGGTTAAAAAGAACCATTGGTACAGTACGGTACATATAAGGAAACCTCTTGGGTAGTGTTGGTTGTATGCTGGTGAATGCACGACGTCATTTGTTTCACGTTTTATTTTTTACACGAGTTCCAAAATGAACACATTGAGTGTGTGTGAGTGGGTGGATGGAAGACCTGTTGTGGAAAGTGGAAAATACCATCACCTCTGCAAGTACAATAGAGTGTTGGCAACACGTACACTAATCCAATAATATGCAGTGAGCGTGAGAGGTGGGTACTCAAGTGGTGCAGTGGTGTAAATGGTAGACAGCAGATGGTTCCTGACTAAGTGTGATGCGTGTGATGGTATTCGTGTGGCCTTTGCAAGAATGGAACACGTCGATGAATTCTGCTACAGTACTCAATATACAGTACTGTAGGTACGGGACCAAGAGTCACTGTGAAGTAAGTGAAGCGCAATATATTATTCTGTGTATGTATGTACTTCAATAGGAGACCACTTTTCTCACTTCACTGTCTATACTGCATACATGCTGAATCAAAGTAAACTTGTGTGAAAATTTTAAAGAATATCTGCCATGTAAGTCTGCAGACATTAAAATAACAAAAAAATTTATGTTCATCAATTTCTTGTATTACACTGAATATACCGGGTAAGTCTAGTATGGGAGCAAAGAGAATTAACAAGAATTTATAAACAAAATGGCAAGCATGTAACACAAACCTGGTGGTCAGGTACCCTGCTTTCACAAGATTTATATACCCTGTATGTATGTTTATGACGTTTATGATAAATTGGTAATGTTCCATGTGTGGTTTTGGGTTAGATACACAGTACTGGGTAACAATTGGAGATAAAAATACCGATATTCATTTTCATTAACCCAACAATATACCGTACATATGTGCAGTATAAAACACGAGGCCTCCAGTAGTCTTTAACGATACACTATATTTTTAAAGGAAACTATACCTAACCCAACCTGCACTTCAACAGCAAATACTTTTTTCTAAGAGTAATTGTGGCAGAATTAGACAGGGAACTTGAAAACTACACGATAAACAATAATGAAGTCATAAAAATATTAGTGAGGTTTAGAATTAAATGATGATATTGTATTGGCTGTACTGTACAGTATTATACTAATACCTTTAGTCGGGGTACCCAGCTATGCAAGCTGTCAAGTTAATGGCCGGGGTACCTAATTATGCAGGCAATGCATAAAAGTTACTGACAACTAATTAAAAGTAAAATAACTCTAATTTCAGCAAGCTCAGACCACTCACCAATACCGTGCCAATGAGACAGTTCAATAATAATTTTTCACTTGTGGAGAATGAAAAAGTAGTTCCCCAACTTAATGTTTCATAAATTCAGGAAATTAAGCATTTTTCTTCCACAAATTTACATTTTATTGTGAAGATCCAGACAAAATCATATTACAGAATTAAAAATGAGGAGGCATTCTAGATACAGGTATTTATAAGGGCGTGCTTACTAGTTATATCTGACCAAAGACGATATGGACCAACCACACACAGCCAAGGGATAATGTAAGACCTTCAGATTAGATAAGATTGGCTAAGTTTAGTTACTGTATGTCATCAATTCAGAAAATATATCGCATCATAGTCTTTGGCACATTTTCCTCTGATCGCCCAACCTGACTTCCTTTCTAGACACTAAAACTAAAAATAGGTTCCTCTCCAAACATTGCAACAAGGGCACCATAAAATGACCCTGAATGTACAGTACCTTGCATGTAGTTCACAGCTCCAGAGTTATAAGTGCTGACCGAACAACTATACATTACTGTACTTAAATGCTTTATTAGTTACTGTTCTATTCCTTTGAGGTTCAACAAAAGAAATCCCTCATGGATCCATACTACTTAAATACAAAAGGTAACCACCAGTGTCATTTGGGTCTCTTTATGTTAGTGCACAGAAAAAGGGGTAGGTTAAGGTAGGTTATATTTCTTTCAGAATTAGGAATATCATAGAAGAAAAATGTCTTAAAATTGTCTAAACATTGGGAGAAACACATTTCTAACACCGAGAGATAGAACGGCGCACTAACATAAAAAGACCGAAAGAACGGTGCACTACTATAAATTGACCATCTGAAAAGCTACAGTTTTCAGTAGGGTTACATTCCACAACAAATGAAGATGGACAGCACGCCACATTGATGAGAGACAAGCTTATTACCAATGTATCACCTAACAAACCGATATAACCATCCATAGCCCACATTTAATTAAAGGAAAATAATCCAGGGCATTAAAAAACTCGTCTGGTGTTACGAGCAAACATAACAGTACAGAACAGGATTGGTTTTTATCAATTCACAAAAGCGGTACTGTACAACCATATAAGGAACAACTCCAGAAGACTACTGTATACATACTAGTTTAGTTGTGCCCTTGTTCTGAATATTTAGGCGGAGCTGGCACCTTAACATAACGCATAATAAAATCCTGTCTTTTATGACCGGGGAAAATGTCACAAACAATTATTCCTTAAATCCAAACTTTTATATTGGGGACACACAGTTACACAAGCTCTAACATTAATGCTTCCGTTTCAGTACACGAAAAACCGCCAATAACTGTATATTTTTGTATAAATGATTATAAATTCTTCCATATGTTCATAATATCGAAGTGGATATTTGACCCGGATTCCCGACCGAATAACCATCGGCTATTTGACCGGGACCCACAGGAATTGTGTATGATTTTAATGGGAGTCTGGTAAGGATGGCCGTGGGCATTACACTATAATTTATGAGTTTCTTGGAGTCATTGTTACTAGATCAAAAATTTGTTTCACAAAAATATACTGTTCTTACAACCCTCTCTGAATCTTCTGTTATATCTAGCCGGTCAGATACCGGTCAAGTAACCAGTGGGTATTCAGCCGGATACCGGTCAAATAACCAGTGGGTATTCAGTCGGATACCGGTCAAATAACCAGTGGGTATTCGGCCGGATACCGGTCAAATAACCAGTGGGTATTCGGCCGGATACCGGTCAAATAACCAGTGGGTATTCAGCTGGATACAGGTCAAATAACCGGTGGTTGTTCAGCTAGATATCAGTCAAATAACCTCTGCCTAATAATAAGGATTTACAGCGTATACTTTCCATGGTGACCAAAGTTTCAGCATACAGTATATAAGATGAGCCAACCAAACGGGTAAATTTTTACTTTCGAACAACACGGTAATCTTAGGAATTTTATCTTTGCAATCAATATTTCACACAATACCAAGACAATTTTCTTCTATGATTTTTCCCTCAAAAAATACCTAACCTAACCTCCTAAGTGGGGGACCTGCACCCCCCTGGACCCCCAGGCAGATATAAGTCACAGAAGAAAAGTGTCTTAAAACTGTCAAAACTACCTATAGTAAAGATAAAATTCCTAGCATTCCCGTGTTGTCCGAGAGTAAAATACCACCAAACCTACATACCCTATGGTATGGGAACATTATTTTAGGCTAGGTAGGTTGGTTAGGGTTCATTTTATCTTATTTTCAACAAAACATAAACACAGCATCATCCAGGTGTAAACAGACCACATTTACTCATCACAAAAACTTGGAAAAAAAAAACTAAATAAGAGTTGTAATTCGTCCACTTTCTTTTTGGTTAATATTGGTCCATTGGCTGTCTGCAGGTTCCAGCTATGTTTAACTGGGGTTATACTCCTAACTTGGAGACAGTTGTGTCCTCCTTGTAGGTTAGGGTAGGTAGGTTGGTTCTTTGGTATGAGAATAGGTTTTCTTTTGTGTTTTTTTCTTTCTTTTTTTGGCGTGTATTACTCAAATCTGACCTCCATTTTTGTGCAAATTATGTTTCTGTTTAAAATGAAAATTTTCTTCTTTTTTTTCCCAAAACCGCTAATTTGCACAAGAAGTGAAGGTCAGATTTGAGTAAAACAACGAAAAACGTAAAAAAAATATTCTTCACATACCAAAACCGTAGAACAGCCAATGGACGAATATTTACTCTTATAGTTAATTTACCTAAAGTTGTTTCTCACGACTCATTGGCTGAACTCCAGTGACATTATGGCTGAGCACAACACAAAATGGTGCTGACGAAACATAATGCAGGTTTAAAAACATTTTTTTATACCACAAATATCAGTAATAACCCTATCCAAATTTACCTTCCATAATATAGCAAAGTAGCAATGTATTTGAATTATTCGCCTCCTTTTAATCATTTAACCCTTTAATATCTTTTAAAATCAAATTCCACCCATAATTGTATTTTTCACTTACATTTAAAAACAGCAGAGCGAATTTTTCCCTGATGATCTTGGTTATAAAAGCTGCAGTTCACGTTAATGTTAGTGCTGTGGCTTGGTCAGTCCACCACTCAACTTGTATACCACAATACTATTATTTTGTTCTAGTAATAAGTAAATAATAATTAGATGAACACGAGAGTACGGGATTTGCTTGCGCCAGTGTGTGTGCTGTGGGGTAATGGACGCCCGTGTGTGGGGTTCACTGCAAGTCACTTAAAAGCACTAATACTTTTCCCAACTTCACTCTTCACACCATATTCCTTCAACATTTTTAACTCAACTCTACCTAAGGGTAATTTTACACACTCTCTCACATCAACGTTAAAAAACTATGAAAATGCGACGAGAAAATACTACTAAAATGCCAAAACTAAGCCGCCATTTCGATTTGTAAGTGAAATAGTGTGCAGATGAGCGGCCTCAGTCCCCCCCAGCTTCCAACTAAGAGACTTTCTGGTGGCGTTCTTACCTCACCTGTCATACCTACAACCTCTAATTACCACCAAATCAGACCTCTATTATCATCCTCTTTCATTCTTACTATTGTTATCTCCCTCTAATAATAAATACCACCAACATACCCGATTTTAAAGGTTGTATTTACGTCGCCGTCGATCCTCTATGACAGCCATTGGTGTTTGGCGGCGCGGGAACCAAACTCAAATATGATTGGCTGAGCCGCCGCCAAGTTTGAAATGCCAAGAAAACGTGAGCGTTAGTGTGCGTCCCTCTCCCTCCCTCACTACAACCTCCATCAGTCCCCAACCATAACCTACATCACCCACACTACATTGTTGTCTCCATCACCTATAATATACTCTCTCTCCATTACCAATATCGATCCTGTTTTTCATGTTGGTAGTTTGTTAATGTTTGAATTCAAAATCTGGTTGATAGCGTGTATAATATAGGTTATCAGAATATATCGAAAATGCTCTAATTAGTATGAGAATTTATTTATCCTAAATAAATGTATCGAATTTTACGGTAACTAAGCAATCTATATTAAGACTTGCTTTATATAAAAATATTGTGTGGAGAGTCATGTTGCATCATCTACGGTAGTAAATTTCATAATTTTAGCAGAAAAAGGAATTAATTTATGAATATAAATGTGTTATATTTTAACACAATGCCAATAAAACTAAAAAAAAAATTAAAATAAAAAAATTTAATGACGTAAAATAACCCAGCAGATAAGAGAGCGAGGCTGTGTTTAATTTGAAGTAGCCAACAACGGGCGACTCACGAGTTGGGTTGGCAGCGACAAAGCTCAGCGGATCAATATATTTTTTACCACTTGTTGCACCAGAGACGAATCCTGTCTATACAGCTCCAAATAAAGTTTTTGATCAATAATGTTCTGCCTGCATTTTTGGAGGGCGTGGGGGGGGGGCTGCAGTTTGTTCCAAGAGATCGAGTGGTGAATGATTTTTTTTTAGAATTTTACGTTTGTTTATGGCGTATAAATAATCAATAGAATTATGAATTCACATTTTGTCCCGAGAAGAACCTAGTATGAAGAGTGAGCGTGTGTTTTCAACACACCGGGAGCTGCAAATCTTGAACAAGACCATGCGGACAAGCACAGCTCAGGTGCGCCAAAAACATTTCTAATATTGTATTGCTAGCTCCTTTCACCCTCGAAGTGTGGGTAACGATTATACCTAAATCATCGGGTATCAGCATTCAGTATCCACTTGCGGTTAATGACTCCTTGTAGTAGCAGGTCAGCGACAGTGAAACATGCGATACAAAGTGTTTTAAAGGGGTGTTAGCTGTGGGATGTTATTCAGTTGCCAGTAAAAAAAGTGCGGGACATACTCCGCTTCAAAGATTGGCCAGATAAGTGAGTGTGTATCCCAGCTTAATGCAGGGAGGGACAATAAGTCTACGTCGACGATACTTGTATGAAAAAGAAATTAATCATTGTGCTGTATGGTAATATCATCAGCCCTTTCATTATCACAAGGATGGGTTGTAAGGCGATCGAGCGGCTCAAGGTATTATCTGTCTCAGTTCAACTTTTCAAGGGTGTAGCACTGGAGCAGGTACAGATACACTCAGGAGCCACTCCATGCCCAGTACTTGCCATCAGAGACGTGACCGATCGCCCAAGCCGCTAAACGAGCCGATAAAAGTAAAAACCACAGACTGTCGACCTATAGTCACATTTATGGACAAAAAAGTACGTTGTCTAACTTTCAACTAACATGGGTAACTTAAAAATACTGTTGGCTATTTAAGTAAATTCCTTAACTGATGTACAAAGATTGTCCATGCCTTTACACTGACTAGGTTATTTCTATAGTATTTGGGTTATCAAGAGCGAGATTTAATTAAGGCACGGATCACATTATCTTCACTACTGGTTCAGTCTGAAAATAAAAATACTGTATTAGTTCTGTATATATTATTCCCACAAATGCGTAGGGTAAAGACAAATGCCCTCTCAGTGAAACGTAGCCTGGTTTAAGTTACCTTCAAAATCATAATGAAATTTGTAATATAATGCGTTAGATATGAATAAAAGTATTGGGAAGTAAAGTTACATAATCAAGTAAAGATTAGGCACCCTAATTTTACTGCCTTTGGGGGAGTTAGGTTAGATCATGTTAAGCTAGCTTATGTAGGTTAGATTTGGTTATACTGGGTTAGGTTAGCGTTAAGTTAGCCTAATTTTAGTTATTCTTAGAGTGAAATGAGCTGGTGGCTAATCTTCAGATGATCTCATTACAACATAACGCCCAAGTGATGATAGGTGGACAGACTGAGCAAAGATCTTTAGATGAACTAAGATCACATATGAATAAAGATCACAGGATGAACAAGGATCACAAATGAAAAAAGATTGCATGGAAGGCATAGGTGAATTTGGGACGGATGAAACTTGTGTGGATGTGGAGACGATTGGTAGAGGATGTGATAATAGACATTATATATGTTATTTTAGGGTTTATTTTGTCGTCTTGGAGAGTATGGGAGTCAATTTACTTGGAGATGAAACATGATTGGAGGAGAAATTTATGTGGATAATGATGACTGGAGGGGTATGTGAGATGTGTGTGTGAAATGGAGTTTGTGAGGGTGATGGGGTGTATGAGGGTGATGGGGTGTGTGATGATGGGTATAGTGAGATGGTGATGATGGTAATGATGGCTGTGGTGTGATGTGATGGTGTGTGTATGAGGGAGTGATGGGGGTGATGGGGTGTGAGGAGGGGGTGAGATGATGTGTGTGAAATGGAGTTGTGTGAGGGTGATGGGTGTGGGGTGGGATGAGGGTGATGGGGGGTGTGTGAGGGTGATGGGGTGTGTGAGGTGATGGGTGTGTGTGAGTGGTGATGAGGGTGTGTGTGGGGTGTGTGTGAGGGTGATGGGGGGTGTGGGGTGATGGGGTGTGTGGGGTGGGGTGTGATGCAGGGTGATGGGTGTGAGGTGATGGGGGTGTGGGGTGATGGGGTGTGTGATGGGGTATTGTGTGTGAGGGTGATGGGGTGTGTGAGGGTGATGGGGGTGTGGGTATGGGGGTGAGGTGATGGGGTGAAAGGGGTGTGTGATGGGTGTGTGAGGGTGATGGGGGGGTGTGGGGTGAAATGGGGGGTGTGTGAGGGTGATGGTGTGTGGGGTGGTGGTGGGTGTGGGGGTGATGTGGGGTGTGTGGGGTGATGGTGTGGGGTTGTGTGGGGGTGATGGGGTGTGTGGGGTGATGGGGTGTGTGGGGTGATGTGTGGGGGGTGGGGATGGGGGTGTGTGGGGTGATGGGGTGTGTGGGGTGGGGGTGATGGGGTGTGTGAGGGTGATGGGGTGTGTAAGGGTGATGGGGGTGTGTGAGGGTGATGGGGTGTGTAAGGGTGACAAAAAAGCGATTATGATGGATATTACAACATAAACATTCGTATTACCTGAAGATTAGTCACCCTAGCATATGTCACCTAATGATGATGAAACACTTTAACGCTACCCTCACCTACCCCTACTCAGGTAGACATAGGGTATTTCATCATCGGCGACAGTAGTTGGGGTGCCTAATCTTCAGGTGATCCCTATCCTATAATGAAAATGCGTAAAACCGACAATGAACAAAGTCATACGTCAAGTGTGGTTGTTTACGCGTGATGTTTGTAAGTAATTTTCTTATTGGTTTGATGTATCTGGTGTGAGTTAGCTTTTGTAGTTAGTAAACATGAGGTGGTAGAATGATATACAGTACACTTGTGAGGCTCAAGGCATGCACTGTGCTTCTCGCAGGACGCACCAGCTTGTGTTTAATATGAACTGCACAACCCCCAGACTAACTTTAGTACACGTGCACTTAGTCAGAAATTACATCCTTGTCTGAGTGTCCTCCTCCTCCCCTCCCATTTTTCTTCTATTTGAAACACTTCATCTGGCTCAATGATTCGTAAGGTATTTATATCCCTTTAATAGAGATTATAAAACACATTTATAGCAGTCTCAGTGAAATTTCGGACCAATTAACTCTACAGTTAGTAAAGGAGATAATATATTTGTATATAATATTCCTTCTCGTCCTGTACGTTTTGTATGATATAACTGATATAAAATTTAATGTTAGCTTGTTGGTAAGCTGAAGTCCTAGAAGTGAAACGTCATATTTGCTCTGATATACTTTAGACTAATCCTACAGTGTACTGTGTTAACTTTATCATTATTATTTCAGTCATAAACATGTGCTGGGACTAGTAGTCAAATGTCTGCCAGCCTGGGAAACATTTGACTGATCATAAAATACGGGAGAAATAATAGTGGGCCCAATACTGTACACTGCTCTGAGGTAGTCCTATATTTATACAGTTGCTGGTGTTGGTAATACTCTATCTCTTCTGTGACAGCGATAATTTCTTATTACAGCCGTACGCCCAGGGATAGTTTAACCTCATCCCCTTAGAGGGCAGCCCCACATTTGGGTATTTTATTCTGGCTAACGCAAAACGATTTTATTCAGCTGGGAGAAAGTTCGTACCCTCTAGTCTAAAGGCTTGCTGGAATCACTCATTCGTCCTCCAAGTCACGATCACTGTCACGGGCTAACCTTCCTCGTCTTTCCATTTACTACATATGCACTCTTCAACAAACCATTAAAAAACACACTACATCCAAACTGTGCTGTAATCATAACCCGGTGTGCCCCTACCAAACCAATATATGGTCTTGGAACAATTGCTAAACAAACCCCCTTGAAATCAGTTATTGAAAGATTCCTGGCTGAGCACCTGTCTTCATTCCATAAACCTTAATCTACAATCAGCTAAACTTATTCATCAACGAAAAATTCTGTCTTTATTTTTAATTATTTCGCTTCACTCTTCTCAAATTCCGAGTGTTGTGTAATTTGTGTTGGAATCTACTGCGACGGAAACGCTGAGATTTCTCTGAACGTGATTTCTAAATGTTCATCCTCAAAGACTGATATCCTCTACACTTCAAATGTTACCAAACACACGTCCCTTGTTTAATTGGATTAGAATAATATGATTGGTTCATGTTTTTTTTATGTTCTCGGATTTTTTCCAAGACATTCAGGCTGATGGCAGCGTATTCTAATCAGGTAAAGAGAGGGTGGTAATTTTATTGTGAATTATCATGGATGATTGTCATCCCGTTCTCATCCCCCTCAAGAATGACAAAAATGATTCCGGAACTTAGAAACCTTCCATATCAGGATAGGTTAAAGAAACTTAACTTGCATTCCCTAGAAAGACGAAGAGTGCGGGGAGATATGATAGAAGTATTTAAGTGGGTGAAAGGAATCAATAAAGGGGATATAGATAAAGTTCTTATAATATCCGAGCAGGATAGGACTCGGAGCAACGGATTTAAGTTGGATAAGTTTAGGTTTAGGAGGGAGATAGGAAGAAACTGGTTCACAAAAGGGTGGTGGACGAGTGGAACAAGCTTAGCAACTTTGTAGTAAGTGCTGGAACTCTGGAAAGTTTCAAAAGGAGGCTAGATAGATTCATGGATGATAGAGTGGTAGTAACTCTCGACAGGAGCTGCCATGCACAAGCCAACCGGCCTATTGCAGGCTCCTTATTTTCTTATGTTCTTATGTTAATTCGATTCCTAAGAACAATTATTATCTACTCATAACGACCAAGTAGGAGTAAAGGGGATTTTTTTTCTTTCAACTTTAACTTGTTACTAAATTGGTCACTTTTTTACTAAATTCCAAATTATTGCTTCTACAGAGTGAGGCGCGGGGATTGTATGCACACACTAAACACGCCTGATGGTACAGGAGTCACTAGAATGAATAATTGCATCAAGGAGAACCTTCCCTTATTGTGAGAATATAGTATACGGAGGATGTGTGGTAAGAGGCCAAGGAGATTTTAAAGGTATTTGTGGAAAGACGCATACAAATGTTCATTGCGAATTGATAGCTATTATACACTTTAATCCTTTCAATTTCACATGTCTCTCCTCTTACACAGATGGTTTCTAATTCTCATAATTTTTAACCTTGTTATACACTTAAAGACCTTAGTTGCTGAGGCGCAGTAATAACTTTTCTTCACCACCTGTTTGCTTACTTTTCAACTAAGGGAATAATCAACAAACTATTCAGTCCATTGATAAATACTAATCATGACTAATTTATGTTTATGATATTTTAAACATGTAATTAAAGACTTAAATTATTTCAATGAGGAATATAAAATGATAAAACAAAACACTGCAATATGTAGTTTTAAATGGTGTTACCTGGCAACTTTCTGGCAACGCCGGTGGTGTGCTCGATAACCGCGTCGGGATTCAGAAGTGCCTGGGTAACTTCTTTTATTTGGTGATGCTGTAGCCCCACCTAAGCGCATTATTTTCTTAAGTTTACCGTGAAAAGTTGCCTCTTGAATATTTGTTACGTAATATGTAAACTTCATTTACCATCAACTAATTCGTATTTCAATGTATACTAATTAAAAAATTGCGTCCAGGCTCCTAGTATATTAAGATTTGATAATGTACTCTCGGATAAGTTCAGTAACTTTATATAATGTACCTATTTTCATTACCTTTTTCACCTAGTTACATGTTAATACAAATAATAATAATAATAATAATAATAATAATAAAAATGCTCCACTACGATTGCTTAGAATGTGAAATTGCGAGTGTGTCTACAGGTGGATACTGGATACAGGGTCAGCTACAAGAAGAGAATACTGTACCCCACAATGAAGTTCAGGAAGAGTCCCACATTTATTTCCCAGCAGTTGGATATGTGATTATGTATTTACCTGACTTAATTAAGGGATGATACAAAGAAATGATCTAGAGTGACATCAGAACAGCACTGATATAGATAAGTTCAAAAAATTTATGTAGTGATATTATTAAATACAAAGTGAAGAAGAGTGACACTATGACAATGACAGTTACTAGTGTTCAACAAATCGTGCAATTTACTAAAATTCACCATAATATGTGTGGATCTTTCAGTTAAAAGCACAGAAACACATCTTAGAACAAAAGGCGAAACGCGGGAAAAATAATGAGAAAACGAGACCAATAAATCAATACATTTTAGACATGAACTAATAAAACTTAAACTAACATTTATCTCTATAAAAGGATTCGGGTCCTGGGGCTTCGGTTAGTTAGTGGGTTTAAGATGGAACCTTTTTGAGGCAGGTATAGTGAGTGTCTGAATGATGGTGGTAGGTGAGACAACACCCCAAGAGGACCACCACCACTATACCACCACCATCCTCTCATAAACAGATGGCTGCTTCTCGTAGTCAAGGACATATTCCAGTGCCTCATGTATAAGAAACCACGCCCTTACTTACGGTGAGACACTATGCTGATACGATAAGGCTGAAAAAAGGACCAAGTGATGGCGTGCTCGATCTACCACAAAGGTTGAGGATATAGGACACCATCACCTCTTTATCCATACTACCATTACATTTCAACTCTTTTAAAGATAATATAAAAGGAATAAACTGGATTATTTTTCGTTAACCACAAGAGGATACATTGACATATGTATCAGTGTGTATATTTTACTTAGGTTAAAGAATAAACGCCTAGAATGACTTACGCACTTAGTAATATTTTCTTTTCTTTATTTATATAGTGACATACAGTATATTGAATAAAATCATCATGCACGTTTACAGAGGTTCAGCATTAATATAGACAGTGAAATTATACAAGTATTAATAAACAATAAGTAAATACAACCCAGGGAAGTGTTTTAAAGCTGATTATTCTACATAGGTTAAAGCTGATTATTCTACATAAGAGTTATTTATTATGTGGTGTTGGAATGACTGATCAAAGAACAGACAAATCTACAAAATCTGATAAATATATTTGTCTACGAATTTTACAAACTGTATTAATTTTTTTGCTTTGTTTCTTCCCCAATCAAACTTTCTTAGGCTAGTAGAGTACCGTAAAGTAACACAAAAGATTACCCCCTTCTGTTACTGTAGCTTCATTAGTTGTGTCAATGTTTAACTTTGATTTAAATATTATTACTAGGTTTGATAGGGTTAGGTTAATTCTTGTGATTTATTACTGTAGATAAGAAAGTATATTTTTTAGGTGACTGCAACTCTAGGCCCTACAGTGTGGTACAGTTTACATTTACTCGGTTATTTGTCCGGTTGCGGATCTTTTAATTACTTCTGCTATTTATCTGGCGTTCGTTCTGATTGGTCGAGGCGGATGACGCTCATGATGTTATTATGCATAGGTGATGCAGCTTTTAAATCCTCTGGAGAGGTGATATGTGCTATGGAAAGTTTGAAAAATCTCAGTTTATGGGTTGTCAGAGAGATTCCAGAGCAATGGTTGTAGCCGTGAAGAGAGTAAACATTGACAACCTCCAACGACATAGTACTGTAATGATCGAATTTCATCATTTTTCCGTCGTGATAATATAACCAGAAAGCGAAATTTTGTGTCGTGCGTTTTTCCAACAGCTACAAGGCGTTTTGGACAGTCTTGAAATTCCTCTAACCAAATCGAATCAAACCAAAATTAATCTAACCAAACTTAATCAAACCTAGCCTAATCTAACCTAGCCTAACCTAATCTAACCTGTAGCAAAATTTTGTTTTCTGGTTACAGTATTTTGAAAGCGGAATCCACTACACCATAATGCGTTGTGTTCTTTTCTTTTTTTGTTCAGTTAGCAAATTTGTTCTTTTAGCCTTAAACATACGTAGTCCTTTTATTGACAAAAATTTGAATGGGTAATTAAAAAAAAAAAATTGATGCGTGTGTTTAAAGGTTATAATAAAAAATTACCTGCATATTTATGACTACCCAAGAATTGCTCTGTATTCTGTAATTATTTTCTTTAAGTGTGCTAATGTATTTTTTGTAAAATTGAATTATTAGTCTTCACTGATATTTAAATTAAAAGTGTAAATACCATATCCCCGCAGATGAGGCGGGGTGCCTGAAAATGACAGCCTTATATGCCTGGGGGGCCAATAGCCATGGGCAGCTAGGCCTGGGCTTTGTCAGTGAGCAGGTGTGTAAAAATGTCCACTTTTAATGTTTGTCTTGATTTCTCAAAGTTAATATTAATCATAGTATTGTACTTAATGTAGTTTGTCATAATGTAGTGTGCCATATTCCCCCCCAATTTGCCTTTGTCCTTAGTCATTTAGTACAGTATAAACATCTTAGTTGAATCATTAAGTTGATTTCCTAGTACGGGTTCTCACTCGTCTTAGAAAATTCCATTGCCCTTCCTTGTATCATCTGCAGAATATACTGTGCACATATGTTTCCTCCTGTTAGTCAATAGTGCACTTGCGGTTCTAAAAAATAAGAATCTTCTATCCTTATCCACGTGTCAGCTTGAGCATTCTTCTCGGTCAGACCTGATAGACTACCCGGTACATGATTTAATTCCCTTATGTTTGACAGGTGACGATGCCCACACGTGTAGAGGACCTCCCTGATAACATAAGTGAACCTTCCATACGTGTTGCTGTTGGTGGGGGTGGTCATACTTTCCTACTCACTGCTCAGGGACGATTATTTGGTGCTGGCTGGAATACCAGTGGGCAGGTAAAGTTTTGTAGTTTTTATATTTAGTTTGAGTATACGAGTCTTCTCCACATAGCTTCTGTATTGTTAAGATTACATAAATGTTATGTCTTCTTGATATCCATGTTTATATGATATGAGCCATTTGGTACACGTAGAGCGAAATATTTTTAATTGAAATAGAATTGAATGGAACTAAGAGCCAGTGATTGGGTCTCATTTGTGAAACAAGTTCTTTAGAAGGAACAATTTGGACAGTTTTCTCACTTGCTCGGGAGTTAGGTGAACACATTTGGGAGCTAGTTTCCACACATAGATGGGCTTATTAAATGTGTCTCCAAGGCCTCTTATACCAGTCGTATGCATCAGAGAGGCCTTGTATGTACTGTATGTGTAATTCTTGTTGACAGGTTGGTGATGGGACTCAAGTGCGTGCTGTGCCAGGTTTCCAACTCATTCGAGGGCTGGAGGGCCATCGCATGATTGGAGTTGCATGTGGATGGGCTCACTCTATTGCCCTGAGCCAGTCTGGACAAGTCTGGGTTTGGGGATCAAATAGTCATGGCCAACTGGGGCTTCCAAAGGATGAGGTGAGACTGAAGCTGGTAATGGTATACTGTATAGTATGAAATATTTTAACATCACGTTTGTCTTGAGGAAAATTATATTATTTATTTTTATGACCAACGCCCTTCTTTAGCTGCTTCATGGATCATAGCCTGGAGTCTTGGGTTATTAATCCAAGTGTAACCTGTATATATCATAGACTTGGACAAATTCGTGAATAAGTTATGGTTCCCTATCACAACTGAAATCTCCACTGCTGTCCATAGGAAGAGGTCATTGATTCTCCTCCTATACACCTTAATGTATGGTTCAACTACATGGTGTACATAATTGATACAAGAAGAACTCTGAGCATTGTCTCAATCTTGTGCATCAAATGTCTGTGAGCTGCTCATCAATAAGTGATCTTGCATGACCAATCCTTGACAGTGCAAGAGATGAGGCTTGATATACAGTACCGTAACTTATAGAAGTTTTGAGTTTAGCAAAAACAAATATTCCACTTTCTTACCGCAGGTGCCTTTCACAAGCCTTCCAATCTGCCTGGATTTGACCAATGTGGTGAGTGTGTCTGCTGGACTGCGTCACACTGCTGTAGCCACACGGGATGGGAGAGCTTACACCTGGGGTCATGGTCATCGTGGACAGCTTGGACACATTGACAGTGAAGGACAGTTGGTGAAACTACAGCCTACCCCAAGAGTTGTGGACCACATTGAGGGGAAGGTGAGATATTACCATCTCGAGTAAGTTTCCTGTAGACTGCAAGGTTATCTTAATAGGGTGTGTAGATGCTGTTAATAAAAAAAAATAGTTTCATTAATACTATGTTTGTAAAGCAACATCCATCTTTAAGAAAATAGTTTGTTTAAAAAATTTTAACAGTTAGCTTACGATTGCTGGATATGCCAAGATGTGTGCTTACTGATATTACTGTACTATGTGGAACTGTAGCTCTAATAATAGTAATATGCTCCTGTGAAAAATAGCATCTGAATTAATTACTCTTCCTAATGTACATGTGTGGCAGTGGGTAAAACTTCCATTGTGTTTTATTAGTGAAATAAATTGACAGCTAGGAGACTAAAGTACTACAGCATAAATAAGGAGAAATAAGTAAACAAATAAAGGGAGAACAACTGAAACTACAAATTACATGTAAGGTTATTGTTCTTTTTCATACTGTTAGGATTATTACTGCAGTTTCGTTTTAAACTTGTGAAAATGATAATTATTATGATTATTAATTTAAATTTGATCTTGTTGTTTCCCATAGGTGTTAAGTGTTTCCTGTGGACAGAACACAACATATGCTCTTACAGCAGAGGGTCAAGTTCTGGCTTGGGGAGATAACAAATGGGGACAGCTTGCACATGACCCAAGGTAAGGATCTGCATTTATCACTTAAACTGTTTCCTGGTATACAATAGAGTAGTTTTTAGGCTTTTGTCAAACATTTTCCAAGCTGTAAAATGCGAAGAAAAGTTTGCAAATGAATAAATAGAAGAGATACTTTATCTGGGGATTGAAAAGTATGCTCCAGAGATGTTTATAAATTGGAGATCTTCCTTGAACAATCTTTGACAGTCATTCCATGCTTTTTCAATCTTCTGTCTATTGTCCTCAAGGGGAAAACCTTTAAATTTAATTTCCTGTTGAGGGCTATACTGTAGTTGAAATAGAGGAAGTTCCTAATCCTTTGTTAGTGCAAGCAACTAATGTCAGATCTCCAGAGTCTAAACCAACTGTTTAGTGTGTGCATTACCCTGGAGATACCTTACTTATTCTGGTCTTGGCCACAAAAAAATAGGATTTCAGGATCAGTCCTTCATGTATTAAGACTTATTCACAATTTCACAGGAATGTAGCCTACTTCACGTGCCCTCTGACAATCCCTCATAACTACTTTGGTGGTGAGCGTGTAACATGGCTGCGAGCTGGATGGACTCACTGTGTGGCTGGTGTGACATCCGGTGCTGTATATGTGTGGGGCAGGGCAGACTATGGACAGCTTGGACCATCAGAGGACGAGAAAGAGGATTCTAGCTCAGATACCGCCGCCAGTGAAGTTCTTCGGAAACGCTGCAGGTAAGAACTGCAGGATAGTACAGTACAGTATATGATTTGAAGGACTACCGAGTTATTTTGTTTCATTGATTTACTGCTAGTACTTTTATCTTCAGTGCCGTTTTCCATCCATTTTAGATAATTACATGTAATACTCTTCTTACAAACTTGTTACCGGTACTTTGCCCAATTCATATATGGCATTATGGGAAGAGTGTGTGCCTGCTTCTCTGGGTTTTCTGTGTGCTGTGAATTGGTTAATTCCTGCCAGTATTGCCATATGTATGATGATACCCTCCAACACATTTGGCTAAGTAAACAAAAGTACATATGGGAAACAAGTACTAAATAATGTATAAATAAATAATTTTCCTTAAAAGAAAAAATAGAAAAGCATTAATACATTTAAGTAGTTCATCAGCTAACTGACACAAGTTTCGAAAATGGTCATAAACCGTCGATGATGATGATTCTAGATACCAGTGAGTACAGTTATAATAAAAAAAAATATTAATGTATTTTATTAATATTCTGTTCAATGCAACATACCACGAGAGATGTGAAGTTATACAGTATAAATAGTCCATCCTGGAGACATATGGGCTTTACTGCACTTCCACAAAGTTTATCTACTGTACTGTACTGTACTATTCAGCCATTATATATTATTTCCTCTACTAAATTTGTAATTCAGCTTCTGTGTTAGAAAATATTAATATAGTGCTCCTATTTCCATTTTTTCACTAGAATGTTGTTAATGAATTAGAAATTATAATTTGATTTAAAATGCATTGGTTCATTATAACATTGTCTTCATTATAAAAAAATAAATTATTTAATGTACAACATTGCATGTGAACTACATTGGGTAGGAATTTTAATAAAGCTTAACACTTTATCTCTCCATCTCGTACTCCCAATTGACATTAGCGCCACACTGGTTAAGGCTGGGTTGTGTCTTGAACATTTATCGAGAGTTTTTCAACCTGTTAAACATTAGCAAATCCCTGCAATCATGAGTGCAAAACAACCAACAAGAGATATTGTTGCTGTGCATTATCGAAGGCTGGGAAAATCATTTATATAGAGATAATTACTGTTTGGATGTGCTACACCAGTTAAACGACAGAAAATAAGCCAAGGGCATCACCAGGACCTTAGCCTACCTCCTATGGTGATGTGATATCGATTTTGGTGTTTACAAGTTTTTATCTGCGAATTTTTCACCAAGAGATGTTCCCAGGAATGTATCCTAAATGTTTTGTTATCCTAACTGTGGCAAAATAGTGTTTCATTTACAGTATATTGTTTTATGCGATGTCATCTTTTCCAGGAATGCAATTTTTGTATAATCCTACAAAATAATTAGTTTATTTTGTACAGTACTGTTGTAGGATTGAATTTCATTGAAATACTGTGATGTCTATGGTGTATAGTTATCACAGAATATAGAGAGGTTTTGATGACATTTGCTGAGAAAGACACCAGAAAATAAAAATGCTGAATGTAATTTATTTCACAGATATATCCCAAATTGCTTGACCCTTAACAAGAGTATACGAAGTGTGGCATGTGGATCAGAGCATAATCTTGCCATAATTGGAAATAGTGGTGAAGATGGTTTGCTATACTCCTGGGGATGGAATGAACATGGCAATTGTGGAGATGGTACGACAACCAACATTCATCGTCCAACAAGAGTTCCACTTCCAGGAAACCTACAGATCATAGGAGCTGGCTCAGGACACTCATTTGCACTTGTTAAGCTTTTTTAATGTTTGTATTTTCTGCAAAAAAAAGAGCCTTTAGATATACTCGGATGAAAATTTTGAGTGTTTTTTGTGATGGGTGTGTTGATGTGGTGACTGTGAGGCTTTATCTCAAGCTGATGAGGCAAGTGTGGATTCTTAATTGCTCTAAACCCGGTTTACTATATTCAAGTTTGGAAATTTGCTGGCTAGGGTCTGTTGTGTGCTCTGAGAACCTTGCTTTAGCATCAATCATAGTACAGTAAATACTGAATGCTTGGTTCATTTGTTTGTAAATGTAGATACATGATGACAAATCATTATTTTCATCCAGTTTGGTTTTAACTGGTACTTTATTTAATCAAGAATGGACTGAAGGTTTTGTATCATTATTCAATAGATTATAGATTTGGCCGAGCAGGTCCTGGATGATTTGATATATCACTGAGCAATTATGGTGTATATAAGACCAGAAGTCTTTCTCACAGTATTAAAACAAGGGCAATGGAGAAATATTTCAGCATTATTCATATATTCAGACATAGTTCTCATTATATGTACATATGTTTCATCAGTTGTAAGAACTTGTCCTGCACTGGAATACCTTTAAAATGTAAGCAAACTGTAAACATGATTAAAAATTGTACATTAGTATTCTCATGCATCAATTCTCTTTCATTCATCATAACATAGAAGGGAAATGATTTTTCTTGAAGGAATCTCTTCATTTGTATTGACAATTTTAAACTTACTCAGGTCTTAATGAAACTTTTATTAATATATTACCGTTTTAAATCAAATCGGCAGTGAAGGGAAAAGTGTGGGATCCGATAGGAATTTGCGGTAAACAATCACTTACGCAGTATTTAATTTAACGTAAAGGTTGACCAGTTTGATAAGCTGTATGAAAGCATATTAGAAATCTTAAGGAAAATATTGATGCTTTTTCATTATGCGTTTTCATAAATACGGTTACGTAGATAATATTTATAAATTTTGGAATTATGTTGGTAGTTTTTATATTTTTATTATTTATCTAATAGCATAAACTTTGTTTGCTGTACCTTCTCTTTGTCAATGCTTTGTGTGTGTGTGTGTGTGTGCGCGAGATGCAAATAATATTTCATTCTCCCCGCTTATCACTCATTTTGTTTGTAAAGTAATATGGACCATTCACAACCTGGGTTTTTTCCCTACCATTGTTTGTAGGCTCTTCAGATAAACTGTACAGTAATCCCTCTGTAATTAAACATTTCTGAATTTTTCCTATTTTGAAACTTTTTGATGGTTCTGAAAATTTTTACAGAAATATTAAAAATTTTTTTAATATGTACTGACAGGTACTCCAAATTGGAAGAAATACTGTATGTATTCTATAAAATAAATGACCTATTGTGCCCAATCTGTAACCATTCCAAAAGTTACTTCTTTGATAATCTATAACTTTAGTAATTTTCATCATATTGTCATTAATGTGTGATAGAAATACAACATGTATTTGCAGTATATTGTACATAGGTATACCTCCATTCACGTGTGAATACTTGTGCTACAGTACATATTCGTTTGTGAACGCATGTTTCACCAACTCCTGACTACAGTAGTTTGAAGCCCAGCCAACATTGTGCTCTTGTGATTTGTTGTTCAAAGTTGTCATCAAATGTTCCTTCATTTTGTGATATACTGTATGTGATTTATATACTTTTATACGGTGATTTACTTGTTGCATTATGAAGCACTGTATTTGCCAAATTCTACCTGATGCAGAATCATCCCAAATTCAAAAGGCTTGAGCCCCAATTATGCCAAAATGCAGAAGGATTACTGTACCGAACTTGTATTTAATTCTTAAATCAGTTAAGCAAGGGGCGAATCCTCTTAATGTCTTTTTATCATTGCAATTATGTTTGTCTCTTCCTGCAGTCAAAGTAGGGTGATTCATGTAAAGGCTTGCCTACCACTAATTGAACTGACCATTCCTCTCCTTCAAGTATAAAAAGAACTGACATCAGTGTTCTGAGAATATGCTGAAGAATTATTGTTGTTGGTTTGGCAGTCAAGTAAGTGAAGCAATTATCATTTTACTTACACTATTAAATACAAATAAGTGATTGTATTATGGCTTTCCTTTTATTTTTTAAATAATTCACTATTCATTTTACAGTATTCATTAACCTCTTGTTTGAAGGCAGTTTTCATTAGAAATTAATTTGGAAGTAATATCCATTTGATAAGACATATTAAGCATTATTTTTATTTAGCTCTTATCTAAATTTAGTTGTCTTGTACGTATATTGAGTGGGTCAAGGGTTCCAGAAACCTCAAGTACAGTAAACGTAAGGGGGAAATAGTGTAAGATGAATGTAAAAAGTAACCAGAAGGCAAGGTTTGGTACAGAATAGGGTGAGGGTCGTATGTTAACAAAATTGTATGAGCAAAGTTAACTTCTTATGAGAGGTTCACGTACCTTGAGAATTTATGCATCCTCCTATAATACAAGATTTTAAGCAAATCTAGATATTATTAAAGTGAGCTGAGCTTTCACATTGAAAATGCAGTATACTAATGCAATTTACAATATAAATGAGTAAATTTACCTTGTTAATACTGTGGATTTAATAGTGGATGATGATGGTCAAAGCAGTGGGTGGCAGCTGGCCTTAGTGCCTTGAAAGTTTGTCTACTGGAACAATTTGCACTTTAAACAAGTAAAAACTTTGAAGATAGTAGATGATGGTGTTGGTGATGCAAGTGGGTTGAGGTAGCACAACAGGCAGGCATGATGGTTGGCTGCATCTCTGTGTAGGTAGAGATGCACAGTGACTGCTACTGTTTCAGTTTCCCAAGTAGTGTGGTATGTATGCATGTCCAAAGTGGCTGGTAGAATAATAATTTTTCCACAACACTCATAACAAAAATTGCTTGGGCTTCTACAAAACCCTATGTTTGTAGAATGCTTATGAATTGTGAAGTATTAAGTTGCACATTTATAGAGGGGATCACTACTGTACTGTACTATAATTATACATTTGATTACTTTTTTTCAGTTGGAGGGTTTTTAGAAATGTCGTAAGTTGGAAATTTATAAATTTATTTCATTGCTGACTGAAGCATTTAGCTTAAATACATCCAGAATATGGTATTTACTGCAGTCTTTCAATAAAACCTCTATTTGCACTTGAGTATATTGGATGGCAGTATATATGAGTCTATTGTCCACTGCAGGGTTAGACTCCTTGAGAACAGTTGGGCAAACTTAATATATGACAAAATAAGTTAGGGAAAATGGTTGTGGATGGTAACATATTTAGACCCCATTCTAAATAGAATTTTGGTGGCAGGAGTGGGTTCTTGGGAAGTAATGAGTATTAGAGGAGACAGGAATTGTAACTAAAAACCCATAGTGGATTCTTGTGGTTTACAATAGGAAGTGATTGACTTCCATACTAAATTCATGTGCAAGCCTCAAGACCTCCCTGTAAGGTGCTAAGCAGCCTTTAAAGCCCCGTCCACACGATCGAGCAGTGCCCGGAGGGGTTTGCCCGTTTACCGGGCAAAGCCTGTGTGTTGTACACACGGGGGTGGTTGGCGGCAGTCATAGTCTGGCGCCGGTAGCTAGTAGGTGGTTGGCAGTGGCGGGTGCGGTACGATCACCATGGTGTCGCAGGAATAATCGCCGGACAGTTAAAGCGAAGAGCATAGCGTTGTGTACTATAATAATTGCTTCTATGTGCAAAAAGAAGAACCAAATGCAGAAAAGGTAATGGTGCAAAGAGTGGGAAGTCTTGCCACGATTTTACGTGAACTGCAAGATGGACATGAGCAAGACTTCATCAATTACATGAGAATGGACCCCAACACATTTTACAAACTTCTAGCAAAAGTGGAACCATATATAAAAAAACAGGGTACCTATATGAGGGAGAGTATATCCGCAGAGGCTCGTCTAGAGGCAATGCTCATACATCTTTCAACTGGGTGCACCTACACGTCACTTCAGTATAGAACGAGGATATCAAAACAAAGTTTGTCTGGCATAATACCTGCAACTTGTCAAGTCATGTATGAAGTACTCAAAGAAGATTACTTGCAGGTTAGATTTGTAGTACATAAAAATTCATTGAATAATGTTAGAATTATGATATGCATAGACAGGAAGCTATGGGACTAGAGTGAGGAGAGTGGCAGGAATGAAGAACACACACGAATGTCCTCATTACACAATACATAAACAATCTCCCGTTTAATGTCACGCCAATAATGTACATTGCATAAGCTTATTTGGTTATACACTGGACATCTGGACCGAGCTGGGAACATATACGTATCACATTTGCAGTACTGTACTTAACTCGGGTTTTACAAAGTGTTAGCATACGTTCTGTCAGTATCTCTGTTCATACCTCACTGACTTGAGGACCCCGACCCCTGAGGTCAGCGGTGGCATAGTGATCAGCTGTTTTTGACAGTCACGTGAGGTTCCAATAATAACACCTGTCTTGTATTGCAGGCTTGTGTAATGTTGAATATTAATGACAATATTATAGGAATGTCCGTTCTCCGGTTTTATCGATAATTAATAATGAAAATGATATTAAAACATATTAATATTTGTGAAGGGGTCCCAGGGTCAACTCGTTTGTCTGGCAGAGTCGTCGCTCCATATCCGGCAGCAAACCACCAGGCAGGCGGACCATGATTTCGCTCAACGACTGGCACGAGCACTACGCTGGTTTGCCCACCAATTTTGCCCGATAACGGGCATTTAGCGCGTGACCGTCGGGCACTGCTCGATTGTGTGGACGGGCCTTAAAACTTAATATTCCTCTTTATTATGGGGTTTATGTCCAACCCAAAGTCTACCAACTCACTTGCAAAGCAGAGGAAGTCGAGTCTTCATTGTGAGAATCAACTTTGCAGGTTTGTCCTTTTCCTTGCTTCTACTAGATGCTATAATTTCTACAAACTACTGTATTCGTTTGTAGACTCCTTTTGATGAGCGTGCAAACAGTTCTTCTATATCATCAACTTGTATGTCTTCAAAACTTTCACCTCCAAGCTCATGATGTTGGAAATTTTCTTTGCAACTGTAGGAAATCCTTTGACGTTCATAACATAAGTCAAAGAATGAAAAAGGAAAATATTGATAAATAGCTTCCATGGCTCATCAAAAGTTTATCTAGGTAGTAGATCGGTTGGTGTCAGATATCCACAAAGACATTATTGTGGAAGACTTAGTAGCTTGATTATTCAATGAATATGGGGACCATATCGTCACCCAAGTGTGTCTGCTTATGACTGCACCAGTATGACATTTAGAAAATTCTGGTTTGAACTGTATCACATAATTTCTTGCCTTAGGAATACTGTGCAGTAATCGCTCATATATGTCAAATAGTTGAGAGCTTAGATATCCATAAGAAAGCTTGTATTTCTTCTATTGGATGATTTTTCTTTAACTACATTCACTCTGCAGCAGATTTCATTGAACAGTATGGTATCCTTTCTTCAACTGTTGCCGTATCCTTCAGAGAATGAGTTGACTCTCCCTATACATTACATTTTATCTCCTTTATCCTTGGCTTTTCCTAAACATATTGTTACTTTTTACAATTGTGTACATGCTGAGGTAGCTCATATTCCTTTCATGCCATCATAGTTTTGTACTGCATATATTTATTGATGATGGTGACTATTATGTAAAGTGATAAAGACAGTTGGTAGCTGAAGTATTTGAAAGATATTACATTAGCCAATCTACTTCGAATGCTGGAAGAAAGACATGATATGAACACCATAACATCAAGAAATTACATGAAAAAGTATGATACTGTTATGTAATATTAAACTCATTTCTACAGGACTTGCATGTGCCCAAAACATGGTTTAAAATCCAGGTTGATGGTTTCTTTCAGTTGCCCTCAATGGAAGTACATGTAGTTGATATAATATGCAATAATATTTAAGAATTAAATTATAAACCTATGGGAAATATACATTTCTGTCAGATAGTTTTATCTGTTATTTTAACCGTTTCTTCCATGCAAAACCTCAGAACCTATTTTTATGATGCATAATCTGTAAAGAAAAAGTTTAAAGGTGGACCATCAACAATACATTTAGCAATTACCAAAGTTAATTTTGTAATTTGGTTCAGCAATAATTGCCCAGAGAGGTAAGTGTTTTCTTCTCTCTCATATATAATGAAATGTTAAATGAAAGTGTCTTAATAAATCCCAGGAGAAAGAGAGGATCAATTAGAATAGGAAAATATACGGTACTGTACTGTAGTGGGTAATGGCAAATATTAAAAGATAACATGAGATATGATTAAAGTGGGTCTGAAGTGCTCTTGTATAATTGAAATGGTAGTACATGGATTCAAGTTATTATTTGGTTATACATTTTACTACTGTATACTGGCAGAGTAGTAATTTCGTATTTAATAGTGATATGCTAACCATGTAGGTTAACTTTTCAGTCTTCCTAGTAGGAACTTTTGAAAAACTTACCGGAGAGATTATTTATTATATGACTCATGAATTTTATTTAGTCTGTAAAAAGGTTTTTGGGTTTCAGACACCACCTTGTGCAAAAAAACCTGCCACTGGATAATTTTATTGCCTTCAGAAAATAAAATTAAAACCATATTTACCACTTATTTGAATTTCCTGCTCATTTATTTGATGTGATAGGGATGGGAAAACTTTTCACAGTTACTTGATACAAAATGTTAGGTATTATTTATTTTGTACTTTCTTAAAATGAGAATATTTCAGTAGCACCTGTACTTGCTTCTGATCGATGATGCTGGCTTGTGTAACAGCTTACCCCAGATTTGGGGCTGTAATGGGAAAATGAATAGTAATACTGTATCTCCATTAGCTGGAATCCCTCTTAACCGGAACTATCCGATAGCCGGGATTGAAATTTTCACGGAAAATCCTTCCCAAAGTCGGAATTCCGGCTTTGAGAAAAATTTTCTGAAGGGGCACATTTTCTGGAAAAATTTCCTGGTACATTACTCGGGAAATTCCGGGGATGGGGGATAATTTTCCAAATTCAAGAGATTATGTATTGCGCAAGCATACTGCTGTGGCTAGTGTGCATGTATTCCCCTAAGTCCACAACCTCGCTGGGGGGGTGGCTAGTGGGGTGGGGAGGGGGAATGAACACCATTGTCTGTATCACTGTCCTCACCACTGACTGCCTCAACAAACTACATCATCTGGGTCTGTTTCCTTCCCATCACTGTCTTCGTCACCCGACACTATATAACTGCCACTCAAATTAAGCGACTTGATGAATAGCACTATTGTCGAGGGTGTGAAGGAGTGAGGAGGGTCAAAGGACGTGCACCCATCATGATAGTTGGTGGGTACCTGGACCACTAGATTTAGGACAAACATTATGTGCGAGTTGATTTGCGAATTAAATTAATAACAAACAAAACACTTTGTCCCGCCTGGACATCCAAACTATGCAGCGAAAATTAAGGACGTAAAGGAACGTCACCCAGGGCATTATGGTGGACTTGGAGGAAAGTCACCAGGCTTAAAAAAAAAAAAAAAAAAAAAACTATGGCTCTTAATGTCCAAAAACTTACAGCAGCACATTGAAAGGTTTTTGCAATAATATTATGGTGATACATTAAAGCCATTAGGAATTCTGGAGTTCCAGGAACAGGTAACCAAGATAAAGTTTTGTCAAATATAGAATAAAACATTTATTGAAGAAATATACAGAAGTATCCAAAAAGGTGATAACAGATGACTTAAAAATTATTATACACCCTGTAGAGGAAGTGAAATAGACGAGAAAGATCCTTGAAAATGTATAGAATTATTATGCTACAGTACTGGCAAATAGCAAAATCTATGAAGACCAAATGACATCTATAGGGATTGACTTGTGCAAGGGGGAAGGCACACTCTCAAGCAAGAGTAGACAAGCGTATATTATTTAGAGTGTTGGTCAATGCACAAGACAAACATTGAGGATAAAATTTACATAGTGTGCTAATAATAGCCTCTGAGATCCTGGTATAATATCACTGGACAAATAATATCTTAATAACAAAAACAATAAAGTACATCACCTACAGAAAATCATTTGTACATTACTGAAGTACACAAACCCTCTATCC